TAGTTGCTGTGCTTACTTTACTTGCACAGTGAAACCTGTTAAGTTGACCATCTCTATAAGTTAATCACCTATCTAAGATTTTGATGATCAAGTGCAAAACTGGTAAAAACAATTTATTATCATTTTTATAAGATGACTTCTCTTATAAAACCATCAAATTGTAGTTCCACTTCTGATCAGTTTACGATAGTTTCACTGTAGTAGCTTTAATAATTTTCTAAACTCCTTTTATAACACGCAGCATATACATTACCGTGTTTATCATTTAAAGTAATTATCTTTCCTAGTTATTTTGCAATTACTATAAATGTTTCGAAAGGTTTAAAATGTTGACATTTTCGAATTAAAAAAATTGTCGTTATTCAGTTTTCCTGATCCCTAAGTGCATTATGTTTCAATTAACTTAGTCATTTTTATTCATAATTTCATTGTTATAGTTAATTATTATTTGAAATTTCATAGTATATATTTTTGTTTTAAAAACAAAATCCATCTTTTGCGTTTCATCGTCATCATTGGGTGGGCCTTGGCCTTCTATGAAATATTTCTTCATGTCGTTCTCCTTGATGCCAATTCTGATTATCATTTGCGTTTGGTAATACGAATTTTATTTTAATATGATAACTATCCAAAACTTAATTTTTATTTGTTTCATTTATTTATTGCATATTTGGCAAAATGAGGTGAAAAATAATAACTGTAACCATAGCAATACATATTATAGCTTCCTTTAAAAAAAAATAATTTCATCATTTACAACGGGCAAATCTAAGCTCTAGAGCAGGGATGGGCAAACTTTTTTGGTCGAGGGCCAAAAATCGAGAAAAAAAATGTTTGGTGGGACAAATAAAACTTTCAAAATTTAAAAAAAAAAGCGATATACAAGTTTTAATTTAAATATTTAGTGAGATGAATGAAATTGCGATTTCGTTTTTAAAAGTTCCTTATATTAAGGTTCGAAGCGAGATGTGCCTATTTTACGGAACAAGGCTAAATGCTTTTCTGTTAGTCCACTTCTGAAATGATTCTTTCTAAGGTTCAAAGTTGAAAACTCTTGTTCACATATATAAGATTAAGCAAACATAGAGCTGATTTTCTGGGCATGAAATATTAAATTTTGGAAACTAGCTTTTGGTAATGATTTGTAAAACTTTGGCATATTTAGAAACAACTGCTTCAGATGATTGTTAGATTGTCCGCTCGTTGGATCTTAAAATGCGTAGTCTGCCAAATGTGAAGTACAATTTACCTATATTAGATTCCTCGAGAAAGACAAACGCTAGTTAGAGCCAATCTAAGACTATTCTATGAAGAACTTCTGCTTTCAACATTTTACCAATTGAAGCTGTCTGTGCTAACTATTTCCATCAATTTATGTTTTGTAGAACAAAAATAGAGAAAGTAAAAAGGTCATCAGTACTTTGTTAAAAAAGGAAAAACAGAAATAATTTTAAATAGTTGACAAGAAAATGGATGTATATTGTTTATGTATATTGCCACTGATCGGCAAATTAAAATTATATCCGCGGGCCGGATAAAACCTTCCGGCGGGCCACAGTTGGCCCGCGGGCCGTAGTTTGCCCATCCCTGCTCTAGAGAGATATAAAAATTTTCCTATTTTTCGTGCAACTGTGAATAGATCGTGATTTACAAAAGTGAAATGAATTCACTAAAAAGCATTTAACAGTACGATATTTTTTGGAAACTCATTGTCATTCACAACAACTATTTTCATTCATCAGGTAAAATGACTTTGGATTTAATTTTTCTGAGTTTCAAAGCGAGTAACGTGATTTTTTTTCTCCAGAAGATAAACGATTAATAATAGTTGGAGTTAAAAAACATTTTCCCCATCATACTCTCCGTGCATTTTTCCATATATATCTTTGCGATTTCCCGAGTCTACGATTTGAAACATAAACATGGAAAGATTATAGACTCCATCAGTAAAACATATCAAGAATCCAAAACTGAAGCGAGAACGTTTTCAACAACAACAACAAAAATGTCCTTTTTAAAAATGGTAAAGAAGCTGCAAACTTTCAGAATCATTTTATAATGGGAAGGGAAAAAATTAAAAAATATATATATATTTCAGTAAGGAAAAAAAGTAGCGCATATTTAAGATTTGTAGCGTTCGAAAAATAATAAGTAGCCCAAAAAGTAGCAAGTAGCGAAAATTCAATTTTCAGTAGCGGGGACTTTTAAAAGTAGCCCAATCCGCTACTTGTAGCCCAATCTGGCAACACTGGCAGTGTCATGTCTTAGATCCATAGAGTAGGACAGATTTGACATTAGTATTAAAAATTCTAATTTCTGTTAAATTTTTTACATTTTTGCTTTTCCAAAATTTATTGAGAATAGTGTAACTGAGTTGGGCTTTATATAATCTATTTAGTATATCTCCATCAGTTCCTTCTTTGTTGTTAATTGCACTTCCAAGATATGTAAAACTCTTTTACCTCCTATAGCATGGTGCGTCGTGTTGTTAAAACGTGCTTAAAGGTGCTTATTTTCGTATTTTAAAAGCCCTTAAAGGTGCTTTTTTCATGAGGTGTTTTTAAAAAGTGCTTAATTTTCCCTTTCCTTAATTTTTGTCGATTTTCCCTGTGTGTTATGCAAATGCGAAGTTTTCACATAGTTCTATTCAACTTTTTAATAATTCATTCATCCACAATCCATTCCGACGGTCCGTAACGTATGATACACCAATCATGTTGCATGTTTGATGAAATACTTGGGAGTCCGCACGTGCGTCTACTGAGATTCTTGCACTCTCATGTGCAACTCTGCTTCATTTTGCGAGATATTCTAAATTTCAGGCTTCATTTTCCACCCTCTGATATCGAACCAAAAAATCTCTTGATCATTCTTATATGGCTAATGTAATCAAGAAAGGAGTTCTTTTTTAGAAACTAATTATTTTATCATGATCATGTAAAATCTTTGAAAATTATTTTGCCTTTTGTTAATGTATATAGTGCTTAATATATTTTTTGAGTGCTTGAAAAGTACTTAAAAGGTGCTTATTTTTTGTTAAAAGATTTGGCTACGCACCCTGTCTAGGAAAAACTTTTATTGGCAAAACTTACCAATAAACATTTTTTTTTTTTTTTTTTTTAAGAAATTGTTGAAAATGAGATAACAAAAAGATTCTTTTTTTATGACTTGCTAAATTTTTTTATTAATTTATAAAGAAAATAAATCATGTTGTTTTTGATTTAGTTAGAACATTCTTTATGTTGTTTTTAAATCATTTTATTTTTATAACTCGGAAATAATTTATGTAAAAAAGGGTTAACTAGGCAAAAACAAGACCATTATATTTCCTAACATGCGCTGTGCTATTCAATTCTAAAAAAAAATATTTCAGCCAACTTTAATCTCGTGATTTCTGGTTGCTTAACCATTGATCTACGTTCCATTGAGTGAGCGCTGTTGGAAAATGGATCTAATAATGAATTTTTATGAGACGCCAGAAAAAGAGATGTGAAGCCAAACGTCGTTTCTAAGCCAACGTGTCCGTATCGATTTTGAGATATTCTCCATTGCAGCTGCTCCAACTGGACTCATGTAAACATTGCGGAATCTATTCATTCCTCATAGGGGGTCCCTTTTTAGAATATTTTCTAGAACCCAATTAGTATTTATTTTCATTTAATAGGCGCCCTTTAATTTTGCTTTTTAATCTTACCTTCTTTATTTTAAAATAGAAGAAGGTTATTTTCTTTTGAAATAGAGTTGTGATTATTTTTTTTTAATAGAAAGAGCCTGGATTAAATCGAACCATCACATGATCATATTATTTAGCAGGATTAAGAAAATTTCTGTTTAAAATATTAAATTTTATATTTGTGAAAGATTCTGCTTCAAAAAAAAATTAAATCAATAAAAATAGTGGTGCAAAGAAGTAAGTGTCATTATAACATTTGTTGTTATTTTAATGGATATCTTATTGTTTTATTTCATTTAATTTTAAAAAATTTAATTTTGATGGATATCTTATTGTTTTATTTAATAAAGAATTTTTTTTTTGAAAGATGATTAGTTTTTTGTTAATTTTATCTTACTTATGTGTTGTTTTATTTATATCTTAATTACTTAATAAATAACTGTAGTATAATAGAAATTTTTAAAAATAGTAAAAATCTCAATTGAAAACTTGTATTTTCTCTTTGTGAATGATTTTACTTAGAAAAATAATTAATAAAAATACTAGTTTAATATAGTAAGTTGTTATTTTAATAGAGGTCTCATTATTATTTTTTTCGTTTGTTTATTTCTGTTTCTTTTTCAAAAGAAATAAGCAGTATTTTTGTTAGATAATTTTTACTTTATGTTATTATTTAAATTATATTTATTTTATTTTATTTTAACAAAAAACTGTAGTGTAATAGGCGTTTTTAAAAATTAATTAATTGTAAAAAAAATCTCAATTTTTAATTTTAATAGCCTTTTGTTGATAAAAATCATAGTTAAATTATTTTAATGGATAATTTAAAATAATTAATTATTGCTTCGCTTTCATTTCATTAGTTGTTTTATTATTTAACAACAACAAAAAACAGTAGAAAATAAAAAATTTTAAGAATTAATTAACTGTAAAACTCGCAATTTAAAATTTAAATTTTCTCTTCGTGAATTATTCTATTTTGCAAAATGAATAAGAAAAATTATACTTTAAGAGAATAAGCTCATTATATATTTTTCATTATTTTTATGAATATAATTGTTGTTTTTTTTTATTTCATTTATTTTAAAAAATGAGTCTTTTATGAAATTTGAAACATATTTATTTATTTTTATTTATTTATTGAAAAAATACCTAATTGTTTTGAAACTTTTTTATGAACTACCTATTTTTAAAAGATACTTTTTTTTAGAAATTGTTTTCATTTATTGTTTTATTCATTAAAAAAAAAACACTTTAAGTAATGCCTACATTTTTTGAAGAATATTTTTTGTGGAAAATTTACAATGTTTATAATATTTTTTTTTAGATTTAATGCTCAAGGCATCAATAGTATCAAGCTTTTGCAGAATGTTGACATAACAGAATTAAAATACAGACTAAATAGTGCAGAATTCAACACATTCCTTAAAGCTAGTAGGACCCTTTCATTTTCACCTGATGAGATCGCACTTCTCAACAAAAAATTATGGCAAGAAATAGAGGAAAATGCAAACCGACCATGGACTACAGGTGATTTGTTTTACATTTTCATTCTTTATCATCTACTATTGCATTTTTGTATCAACACATATTTCAGGGCACTGTAAATTAGTGTGAAATATACTTGCTAATTTTAGCAGAAAGTATGAGATATTCTCACAGTTTGATCAAAACTTTGTTAAAATGAAATAGTTTAAATTAGTTAATTGTGTAATCGTTGCTTTATTTTGATGTCTGAAATTAAAGCTTTCTCTCTGTTTTTCATATATCATTATGATTCATATATTTTATCTCTTCATTTACTTATGCGCACTGAGAAAGTAAAGAAGGGAAATTTAACTCTCTGTATTATTGTATTAATATTAAATTATGGTAACTTTTTATAAAAATTTTAATTTAAAAAAACATTTAAATTATTTATTTTATTTATTTATTTTTGTTATCTTTAGGTTGTGAAATGCAAATAATAAATATGTACATATATGTATTATCATTTTCTCTGATTTCGTTAAAACAATTTTAACTTCTGTTTCATTAAGTTTAAATAATTTTAACTTCTGTTTCATTTCAACTTTTCTTATTTATACTTTAAATCCATATGACCTTAACTTATTTTGTCAAAAAGAGTAACAAATATTTTTACCATATTAAATACTGACTAATGAACGCATATAGGGCATGCAATACTTAAAAAAAGTTACATTTTTGTTTAATTGCAAATAATCAATCATATGTTTGAAAAACAAGTGAGTGGTTATTTAAAGCTTTCTCTTATAAATTCCCTTTTCCTAACATTTTTAGTTTCTAAATTTAATGTTTCCCTCTAATAATTTATTGTTATTATTATCATTATTTGTATTTGTCTGTTTATAATTCAACTAAATTTTTTTTTTTTCATATCACTAAACATTTTGTGTTAAATTAAGTTTAAACTTTATTAAATATTTTTTTTAATCTTGGTTGTTATTTTGATGTTTGAAACCTAATTAATATTTATTTCAGTTAATTTTAGGTGGTTAAAGAGTAATTTCTTGCCTAATTATTAAATAATTAAACTGATCATCTACATATTTTATTACTCATGTTTATATTATGCATTTATAATTCTTTTTTTTTTTCTGTAGTGTTACATTGTTTTATATCAATTTTAGCATTATTTCATGTTATTTTTTTTAAATATCATGAGTTTCAGAGCTTATAGATTTTCTTTTAGTAAGTTTTTAGATCATTCCTCTTATTTCACATTTAATGACCTAAAACTTTATAAACTATATATTTTTTCTTATATTGAGGAAGGGGTATGGAAAAAAATTGAATGTTATTGCTTTTATTGTTTGTTTTACATTTGGTAACCAAAAATTACTTGCTCCGGACAGCAAATATATATTTTAACGTGGTAGTTTATCAATTGTGATTCTTGGTTTAGAAAATTCAATTTAGTAGATTTTTATCCACCACTATTTATAAATAATTCGTAGGCTTATCTAATTCACCACTTTATTGTACTTATGTCATGCTATACCTTTTAAAAAGTAAGCAAAAATAGTCAAATATTTGCAAAATTTACTTTGTAGTTATTTACCGTTTTTATTATTATTATTTTGGCATGTCCGGAGCAGTTGGCATCTCTGCAAATGTAACAAACGCTGTGGAATAGCCTTTTAGTAAATTATGTTAGTTTTTTTAATGGAAAAAATTAGATTATGCAACAAGACTACATTTTGGATATGTTATATAACTAATTAGTATTATATAATTATTATTAATATTTTTTATTGCTCTAATTATTGTTTTGTGCTTAAAAAGGCGTGTTTTTTTTCTTCATTTGGATATCTTATGACTCTATTATTTCGTACTTATGAATCTTATGATTAATGGAATTTTTTTCCCTTTTTCTTGCATTGAACTTGCATTAAGTTAAGCTGAGTTATCTTACCTTTTTCTTTTACATAATAATACTTTGATTTAGATTTCAATACTTATAGAAAGTTTCTTGTAAAAAATGTGTTCATTGATAGCATTCTTTCTTTTCAGTTGGCACATTCATCTTGTCCCTTTGCATAGCTCTCTTTTCAGGCATGGTGTTGACCATGTCCCAGCCTAGATTAATCCATCCACAAGTGACATCTTCAAAGCTTGGATTCCTTTCATATGTAACTGGTAGATATCTTTCACCATCCAGCTGCAAAGTTGTCTTTGATTGGAAGGAACCTCAGTCTGTGGGAAATACTATGAGCTTCACTGTTAAAGTAATTCCTTTTCCCTGTTTTTTACCTCAAATCTCAATACGGTCTCAGAAATTTTACATGACCTCCCAGGCATATTAGTCTACAATAAAATACATGCCGAAATGAATTTTAAACAAACACCTTTCGAATACATATTAATAAAAACATATTAATGTTTGTTTTATGTTTTTCTGTCGAAAAAATTATATTAGCAAAATTATATCTGCATCAATACTTTTATTTTTATAAATCAGAAGTATTAATAAGAAGAAGTTTTAAACATGAATAAACATTGAGGAAGTATTATTGAATTAACAAATATGTATTACTATCAGAATTAAAGTATTCTCAGCAAATATACGCCCTTCAATATCAGAGGTGAGTGTATTCCGGAATTCCGCTATTTTCGTTCCATTTTCTGGGTCTGAAAATTGGAAGCTAAGCAAATGATTTTTCTTCGAATATCGTGAAATTCCGCGTTTCTCAAGACCATGAGTTCTCATACTTTGGTTTATCAAAAACATAATCCAACAAAATTCTGCTATCTAACATTTTAATTTTGAAACTTTCGCTAATTCCATTAACGAAACGCTTATGTGCATGCAATTTCTGCACGCCATTCTGAATATTTGAAACTGCCCTTTAATCCGCTATTATCGGGATTCTTATTCACATGAATATGTAACTTTGAAAAAACGATTCTTTTGTTTGCTTCCATATAGCAGTTTCAATTTTATTTAAATTGTTTTCTTATGCACAGCAATTGGAGTAAACATTCTTTTAATAAAAGTAAGCATGGTTAGAAGGAAAAAAAAGAATAAACTCATTTTGTTTTATGAATTATTATTTTTACATCATTAATTTCAATAATTTTAAATATTAAGTATAATGCATTTTCTTTTTTCCCTATTTATCTGCCTCAATTGGCATCTTGGCAATTTTTGTCGAAAATTTGAGGGACACTTAATCAGTGGTTAATGGTATTTCTAATTAAATATTTATATATCTGGCTGGGTATGTATGATGTTGTTTCTTGTGACACTTAGACAAACCAAGCATGTAAGTCTAATTAAGGCAGAAAAGTGACAAGAGTTTTAAGAGTTAAGTTTTTTGACAAGAGCATGGGTGAAAGTGTGACTTAACTCAGAACCTCCAATAGATGGCAACAGCTCCCATTCATGATGCCACTTCTAGATCTGAAGAGGGGGGAAATTTTCTCCAGATCCCTGTACCCATGGCACTACTCAGCGACTAACCAAAGGATTTTTGATTCCACAGATTTTACAAGCACATATATTGCATGTACTCGGTTTTGTTCTAATGATCGGTTTGTTAAGTTCTAGTACTCTTAAAGGATCAAGGATGTAACCTCAAATATTCTAATTAATTAGTGCAGACAATATTTTAAGTTACGAAATCAGACAAAAAAACGTTTTCTCTGAATAAACATACCTTATTTTCGATGGATTTGAATTTCTGATCTCCATGATTCTAGTAGTTTGGTCAGGAGAGCTGTCCAAAGTTTTGGAAGCCTTAATATTAATTTTATTTTTTACGACTTTCGCCATATCTCGCGAACTTTTTAAGCGAAGGGGAAAACTTTTGCACACATTTATAAATTTCGTTTATCCAAAGATAAGCAGATTTATGTATATATATAATCTTATCTATGCAAAAACTAATTTCTAATAAATTTTTATTATTTTATTTTATAATAGTCTTACATTTAATAGTCTTACTTAAAACATTTTGATTTGTAAGGTATACAAATTTTCATACCATTTTAAAGAATGTAATTTTCTATGGCAAAATACAAAATTTGAACGAAATTGATCATGTAGTTACTGTGAAATTGAATTTAAAAAAAGTTAATTTACATTTTTTAAAATTGTAAAAATTTGTATACCTTAAAATTCAAATTTTTTTTTACAATTATTAAATCAAAATAATTGTTAAAAAATATTTTTAATTTGTGGGATTATCTTTGGATAAACAGATTTTATAATTGTGTATAAAAAAATTTCAATTCGCTTCAAAATTTCTCGAGAGGTGACGAAGTACGCAAAAAGTAAAATTAATATTAAGGTGTTCAAACTTTGGATCGCTCTCCTGACCAAACTATTGGGACCATATTTCCCAGATTTCGGCCAGCCCATATTTTTGGAGTTTTAGAAATCCAGATCTACTTTTAAAAAAATTACTTTTGTGCAGAGAAAGTACGTTTTTGTGTCTGATTTTGTAATTTAAAATGTCTGCAGTAACTATTTATTATATTTGTGGTCTCCTCTCGAACCATTAAGATTGAGTCCTAGTATGTGAAAATCTGATCATTAAACCAATATTTATTCAAGGTGGCTTTGCACATATATTTTTTTATGTATTTCTAGTTTTATCAGAGAAATGGCCAAGCATATCCTATTTGTAATGAAGATAACATTCTCATCGAAGTTACTCAGGGAACATACAAGATAGCTTGTAGTATTGAATATGGTGGACCACAAATTTCAGATGCTAATAAGGCTAAAGTACATTTCACGGTGAGACGTTCTGGAGAATATCAAATTTGTGTCCTTATCTGTATGACCCACATTCGAGGAAGTCCTTTTAAAAAAGAGTTTATACCAGGTATTTATTTTGGCTGTTTTAATTGTTTGTTTATACCTTTGCAATAACAAAGAGAAGACCCTGAATAACTTTTTATCTAATAATAGAATTTTCACAAACTAGAACTCAGTTTTCATGGCTCTTAATTCTAATATGCTCATTAATTTCTGTAGAAAATATTTAAATTTTAAGTTATAAAATCTGACTCAAATACGCTCTTTCTCTGAATAAATAAGCCTTTTTTGACCTGACCCTTAAAATATGAGGGGCAGAGCAATTGAAAGTTTGTACTCCTTAATGTTTATCTCACTTTTAACATATTTCGCGAGTTTGTTCAGAGAATTAAACACATTTTTACACTCTTATAAATGCTTTAATTCAAAGAGAATTCCATGTAAATGTAATTTTCTAATAATTATTTATTAGTATTTTATTTAATAATACATAGTTGAAAATTTTTGAATTTTTTGGTATACAAATGTTTACATCATTTTAAAAGTATATAATTTTAAACGTTAAAATACAAAATATAAGTCCCTTTTTCTACAAACACTATAGCCAATAGCCAGCTATGGCTATCTCAAACAGCCTTATCCATCTTGATCTGTCAGATGCCACAACTCCCATATTGGTCAGATAATTTTCCACATTATCTAAGCTTCTTGTATGTAACCCACCTCTCTTTTTTTTCTTGCTTGTGAAAAGTCAAAGTATTTTTACCATTGTGAATAGTCAAAGCCATCTCATCTGTCAAATTTTAATAAACTTTACTATGTTTGATTCCATGAATTTGTTGTAAATTTCCAAGTTTTAGCTTATTTTCCATGCATTTTTCTCATTTATTGCAGCATAAAATCTTTCATTGGGATATCTTTATCTATTTCCTAATTATCTAATAATTTTTTTCTGATTTATTCTTTGTCCAGCACTTACTTCCTTTTAAAACTAAAGGTCTTGTATGGTTGTATTTTTGTTTCCCTACATAAGTATTTTGATTTGAACTGTCTTCGTAATTTAAAATAGCATCGATTAGTCATATTTATTCTGTTGCTAATTTCTGCTTTAATATCATTATTATTGTTTACATTGCTCCCTAGTATTTAAACTGAACTACTTTTTCAAAGGCATACTCTTTTGTTTTCAGTGGTGATGAATCTTGTGTTTTGCTTGTTACTGCCATGAATTTAGTCTTTTCTTCTTTGGCAAATGAGCCAAGATTTTTATTTGCAGTATCAAGGGTTTGAAAGCTTTGATCAAATCTTTAGTTCTGTGACATCATACAGTATCTATATCATTAACCAATGCTAATTATTGCACTGACTTTTGGAAAATGGTTTTTCGTGTTTGTATGCCTGCATCTCTCACTGCTGTTTGTATGCCTGCTTTTCTAAGGGAAATAGTCTCTGAATTATTAAACTTTTAAAAGTTGTTTACTTTAATTTTAACTATTTTATTATTAAAAATAATAATAATAATTATGAAAAATCATTTTTTGATTTAATTATCTTTGAATAAATAAATCTTATAAATGTGCTAAAAAAATCATTCAATTTGCTTAAAAAGTTCTCGGGACATAGAGAAATATACAAAAAGTAAAATTAGCATTAAGAGAACTAACATTTAAAACGCTGTCTTGACTAAACTATAGAACATATATTGAGGATCAAAAATCCATCAGAAAAAAGATATATTTATTCAGAGAAAATTTGTTTTTTGTACCTTGATATGTTGTCTACACTGATTAATTAGCATATTTAAGGCCAGGCTTTCAAACCATTGAAATTGAGTTCTGTTTCATGATAATCTGATCATTAGATCAAAAGTTATTCACGGTGTCCACTTTTTAGCACATTGTATATAGGTGTTTGAAATTTCAGAAAATTTAAAATTTAAATCTGTCCATTTTAAGAACATGTAAATTATGTCTTAATTTAAAACTGCGAAATTTATAACCACTTTTTGGATGAAACTCTAAACTAAAGTTTTTTGATATGTGTCTTTAATTTATGTATCTTATTTCTTAGCTCATGTGTTTGTGATTATGTTCTAAAAGTTTTGCAAAGAATAATCATATTATGAAATTATTTTTTTATTTTATCATTGAAAAGTTACACTGAGTTTACATGAAAAACTCTCTAATGTCTAATAACTATTCATATTAAAAACTCAATACTATTTTATTATGATAAAAATATATTTTATTTTACACCATTTAATAATTATTTGTTTTATCCTTTTGTTTCGATTTTGTGTCTTAACTCAAATTTTTTAAATAGAAGTACTATAGAGTTACATAAAAAATTGCCTATATGTTTCTAAAATTATTAGAAAAATTGTATAACTCTCGTTCACATTTTGTTTCTAAGTAATAAATAATATGGTTTTTATGTCATAAATTTCTGCTATTAATATAAATTTCATTTCATTTTTACTCACAATTATATTTTATTCAGGGTGCGTAGCGTTTTTAAAAAGTGCTTAAAGGTGCTTATTTTCGACTTTCGTTTTTTAAAAGTCCTTAAAGGTGCTTTTTTTCAGTGGGTGTGTTTAAAAAGTGCTTAATTTTCCCTTTTCCAAAATGAGATTTTTTCCTTTACCATATCAATTTTTGCTTCTAATTAGTCAAAAAGTGTGGTTTTCACATTGTTCTATTTAACGTTTTCATAATTCACTCAACCGCAATCCATTTCGGCATAACATCAGTTTGTAGCATATGAAAGCGCCAATAATTTTATGAAATACTTGTTGGTTCGAATACTGAGTTGGATTTGGTAGGAAGGATTCGTGCATTCTCATGAGCAGCCCTGCTGCATTTTGCAAGCGAGATAATCTTTTATTATTTTTAATTTTGAATAAAATTTTTTACGTAATTGGGTAAAGTAATTAACTACTGGAAAAAAAGTCGCCATGGATAGGAGGTGTTGGAGGCTACGCGTGGTTGAGGCAGCCAAGGCCTATAAGGGGCAGTCCTGCTGAAAAAGAGGAATTATAAATTTAAAAAATTGAATAATTTACTCAATATTGAATGTATTTAAAATTGGGAAATTGTTTTTATGATGGCTAATATTATCACGAAAAAAATTCTTTGTCAGAAACTAGTTATTTTATCATGATCATGTCACTTTTTGAAACTATTTAGCATTTTGCATATGAAGAACTTTCAACAATATAAAGGAAAAAAATTATTAGTGTGCATTTCCTAATTATAATATTAAAAGTGCTTTAAAATATTTTTTGAGTGCTTAAAACGTATTTAAAAGGTGCTTATTTTTGGTTGAAAAAATTTGACTACTCACCCTGTTATTCATCTTTTCAAAAAATGCAAATTTGCAATAAAAAAAACGATTGTTTTTGCAGGCCCACCAGATCCTATTAAAACCAGTTTTGTTCAACATTGTTCTACAGTAGTGGGGAGTGAAGATGTACCTACTCAACTCTTTATAGAACCAAGAGATAAATATGGCAACCTATGCACAATAAATAATGACTGTGATCCAGCTAATGAGTATAGTGTTGATATCATTGAAGTGAGTTTTTGTTGTTATTCTTTTTAGGTCTCTGTTTAGTTTGTTTAAAACTCTCTCATTTTGATTGTTACAAATTTATTTATTAGTTACCTCGTTTTTTTTTGTTTTTTTTTTTAAGATGTCTATATGCAATGCATTAGAGTAATACCTTTTTATAATGCATTGATATCAAAAATGTTGGTTATCTGAAATCGTAGTATTTTTAATATTTTTAGTGAAAATAATGAGGGTGCATACTTTTTAAAAATTTTATAATGTGTACTTAATTTCTAAACAGAAAGACACTCACATAAAAATATTTATCAGATTTTTGTCTATTTATTGATTTAATTCCTTTTTTTCAGAACCATCTATTTTCGTGCGCACTTTTAAAGTTAGTTGTTACTTGATTAAAAACTTTTTTTCAAAAATATGCAAAATGGAAATAATAGTCGACATGGTTCAAGTGCTCGAAAATAAGCTCCCATTTTCAAGATAGCCAGCTGTGAATAACATGAAACAAAAGTGATTTGAAATAAAAAGCTATTCTTTTATGAAGTTTTTAATCGAGTAATATTTTACTGCTTCAGTGTCGTGAGATTATTTATATAAAGTATTTTGTTCTTTGCTTTACTTATGACCATAATCAGATTTGCTTTTTGGGATCTTTTTATTATGGGTAAACATAAAAAAAACTTGTTTTGTCTACATTAAAAACTTTTTTAGTTTCATAATAAGTAAGAATAGAAACTGGTGTCTTTATGAAATCAATGCAAACTTCATTAACGGCGGCATTTTTGTCACATATTTTCTGAAAATTGCTTTATTCCTTTACTTAAAATTTTCAAACTCTTCTTTACTTTATGTTCTAATTCATTCAAAAGAGAAATAACTTTTTATTTTATAATATTCTTACACTTACTTTACGTTTCATCTTCTGCAACAAGTAAACAATATTATCAAACATTGACGTAAATTTTCTGTTTCCTTTATTCTTTCTCCCAAAAAATATTTCATAAAAGTTAATGAAAAATTTATTTGTCTGTAAAATTTTATTTATTTTATTATCAGAGTAGCATATACAAAGCTGACTAGCCTGTGTAGGAACTGTCCTTGCTTCAGAAAGGTCCTGGGTTCGAATCCCGGGCAAGGCAGGGATGTTTCTTTCTCTCTCTGGGTGTTCTATGTCCTTTCTCCTTTGTGTGTGAATGTGACCAGCCCTATGAATGGATTGTGGTTGTGTGAATGGCGTGGTAGAAGTCGAATTCCTGGCCATAGATGGCGCCACTGAAAAACAGGAACAATCGCAGCCCCACTGCCTAAACAGGCATACGACAAAAAAAAATAATAATAAATACAAAGAGAATTCATACTCTTTTTTTTAAAATCAAAATACTGTCCTAATTGTCTTAACAATTTTCATAATAAATGTATGGTTTCAAAGTTTGACTAAATAGGAAAAAACTATTATATTTCACTGTTGATTTTTTTTTTCTAAAAGTCCTGAACATTTTTTGAGCTTATTAGCTTTTGAATAAATTTAATTCCACACTCATCACATTTTCATTAAATGTTAATTACATTTTCATTTTATAAATTTTCTTTAAATCTTATTTTTATGGGAAAATTTTTTTTTTTCCCAACAATTTTAAATCAAGGCATAAAATGCACATAACTATAAGAAAGTACTCTACTTAATATTAGTTGTTCTCATTAATCATATTTTCTATTTTCATTCTTTTTCAGCCTACATTATATGATAATTTTAAAATCGAGCATAATTTTAGAAATGTTTATTGTGCTTACTATACAAAATTTTAAATAAAATGCAATATAAATATTGGGAGAATTTCAGTAAATCATCTCAGTTTAGCTCATAATAAAGCAAAATTAAATGGCTATAATATTTTTTTAACTATCTTTATCTGATTATTTTTGTTTCCTTTCTTTTTAGGTAAATACTGGTCGCCCTATTGCTGATTCCTTCCGTTGGGAATGCTATCCTTTGATTTCTCGCCTAGCCTTAGTCTTAAAATTTCCAAAAGAAGGCTGCTATAGAGCTACAATTTCTTATAAGGGACAAACTATTCAAAATGGAGATTTTAATATTATTGTACTTAATTGTGAGTTTAAAAAATTTTCCTTTTTGCTATGAACTTTAAGTGATTATAATTCATTTTCATTACTTTAATACTAGAGATATTTAAAAAATATTTGGTTTATCCTTTATAATCATTAAAAAATCTGTAATTATTTAAAAATTTTGAAATCTTATTGCATAAAACATTTACCAATAAATAAATACTTAACAATATAAAAAATCATGTATTTTTTTAATTAAAAACTTTGTGTTCTCAAGAAATGGATATGATTGGATAAATTGTTTATTCTATAAAATAGAATACAATTTTATTGAATTGAAAACAATTTTATTGAGTACAATTCAATTTTATAGAATCAATAATTTATCCAATCATATCCATTTCTTGAGAGCACAAAGTGTTTTTAATTAAAAAATTTACCAATTAATAAATAGTTAACAATATTAAAAATCATGTATATTTTTAATCAAAAACACTTTGTGTTTTCAAGAAATGGATATGATTGGATAAATTTTTGATTCGATAAAATTTAATACAATATTTTTTTTGCTTGGATGTGTTTGGATATTATTATTATTATTTTTTTTTTTTTTGAGAAAAGAACTACATTATTGAACCTATTTTCTTAATACTTTTATTTTGCTAAATGCTCTCTGAGTTTCACACTACCGTAACCTGAGCTGTTAGTAATAGGTTGCTAGTTGTAATTTATAGGTAGCAAATGAAATTAAATTTTCCTCTTAGAATTAATTCATCAGATACTTTTCATTTTTCCTCACACTGATTTTAAAGAAAGCTTCATTTAATTTACAAAAACATTTTCCTAAAAAGAAAATATATAAATATTAAAAAATTTTTAATAAAACATTTAAATAATAATATATTAATATTTAATATATTATTATATTAATATATTATTACTTAAAATATTTTTTAGAGTTGGCTTGCTTGCAAAAAACTGATTACTTCCCTGCTTAGGTGACATAAAAGTGACCTTTATTGCAATCAAAAATATTTTATTAAATATGTATGATGTTTATCTCTAAAAAGGTGGGAAAATTCATAATAGGTTTTTAGATCCAGATTTTAAAATTTTTTTTCCCTCCATTCACTAAAATTTGCTTTATTAATGAAGAATTTTTTAGATAATATATAACAAATTAACTAATATAGTTTCAGTTATTTTATTAATTGAAGGGCTTATTTTAGTTTTTTAATAAATATGTAATGTATTGAAAACTCCATTTATTTTTTTGAATGATGCCAATTAGTATAATTGCTATTTTAAAGTTGAATAGTGATATTTTGTTTCAATTCTTCAGTGATATTTTGTTTCAATTTAGTTTTTTTTTCTTTTTTTCTTACAGCTGATGAGTCATCTGTTGTACAGAAGAATGTATCTAAAAGGAACAAATGTTATGAAGTCAAGCTTATTGCTTTGAATGGAGAGAGGAATCAAAAAGCCAAAAAAGTCTACTGTTATATATCTCCTAAAGTAATCTATTTTCTTTTCCTCATTAAGAAAGCTTAAGAATTCTTTGTTATTTAGAAACAATTTCGTATTGAATTTTTTTATTAGATTTATTTGTATTTTATTTGATTTATTATTTGATTTGAATATTTTATTAGTTATAAAATATTTTAAATTTTATAAAATTTTCAAGAAAAGATATTTTTAAAAAAAAAATTTAATAAATGTATGGGCATTTAAAGTAAGTAAGTTAAGCACATAGTCATTGTCTCATATTATTATATTCGCCTTATTTCAAAGCTCTACTCTGCGTAGTAAGAAAAAACTTACTTTCCGATTCACACATGTCATTTTAAAACTAGTACTCCTCCCAATTTATTTCTGTTGGCATACTGAGGAAGCCAGAAATCACACAATACAGGAAAATGATACACTTATTAGACTTTAAGGTAATTTATCTCATAATAAACAAAAATGGAATCCACTTACAATTCCTTGTAATCCTATCCTGTAAGCCACATTAGAGTAATAAAAAACGAACTGAAGTTGCTGCTTACTTAACAAGGAATTAAACCAAACCTTCTTAATTGACAGTTTATCTATCAATGTGAAATGCATTATACTTATTCATCTTAGTATTACCTGGGAAATTTCTAGCAAACTTATACTATTTTGCTAATAATTTAGAACTAACACATTAGATTCTTAATGTATTTGTGTTTTACTTCTATTTTCTTAATACTATTTTTACATTTTGTAATTCATTTTTTTTATAGTGTGCATGTTATTTTAATATTGAATTAACTCGTTTATTAAATTTATGTATATAAATATTTTTTCAGCAATTAACACTGAAGGAATATGTGTTGAAATTTTTCCCCAAACATCTAGTCACATTTCGCCTTTGCCCATCTACAAAGGTATTATTAACTTTTTTGTAAATGTGTAAATTTTGACATTTTTTTAAAATTGCATATTATTTAAAAGAAAATCTTTTCTTTATACCATATTTCAGTCAAATCTATTACTTTTCTACATTAAACTACTTTTAAGAACATGTCATATGTTCAATATTGTTTGTAACTGTTGCTTCAATATTGCCTTTAAGCCATGAAACTAATAAGTTTAAATAGAATTTTTGTGAATAAATTTTAGTTTTTTTTTTCCTTAAGATTTTTATCACTTGCAAATATTTTTAAAATGGGTGATAATATTATATGATTATTAAACAATAATACTTTAATAACTCTGTATATAAAATAATATAGTCATATTTTATTCATTCAATGCATCACTTTAACTATCAAACTTTAATAATCGTTACTGAAATGTGTCTTTTATTATTACAAAAGTAAAGACCAGTTTTAAAATTTTCCTAAAGATTTGTTTAAAGGTAGAAAACAAGTGAAAATATTGATCTTTCAAACTTAGTTTTGAATGAAGTAAGTTTCTTTTGTGTTCAGGCTCTCGTGTATTTATTGTGTGATATTAGGTATATTCTGTTGAATAAAAGTTTCTATATGTCATTCAATTAAAATCATAGCTTTACTTAACTAAATTATGAACATATTTCTTTTATCTAGTTCAAATTTCAAAGTAGAAAAGATATCATACAGGCTGATCCAGTTCTTATTATTGATGATGGTTGTCAAGAAGTTGAGCTTATATCCCCAGATAGAAATATTATTGTGGCAACTTTCACTCAGTTTTTACTAAAAAACATAGGTAAGTTGTGGCATCGGTAATAGTTCTAATAGACCTTTGTTGATTTATTCTAAATTCTCACAAAGTCTATTTAGTTTGAAAAATCTGAACTATAAATTTTTTAATGACTTGTTTTATTTGTAGAAGTTTTTTATTTTAAAAAAGAACAGTATTCTATTCATGTTTAATCTTGATACACACTAGAACTGGGGAGGGGAGTTTTCAAACGTAAGTTTCCCGTTTCTTGAAAGGGCTTTTTTTCTCACGATAAGTTTTTTTTAAATTTTTTTCCATCATTTTACTTATTGATTAAGAGTGACTACCAATCTAATTTTCAATTCATTTCTAGGTATTTTTATGTTTTTGGATTTCTTTTCAATCCTTCAATAACTGATTTTTTTTTCTTAATTTTTTATCCTTCACTTATTTTTTCCCAAAATAGTACATACCTTTAATTATCTGGAAAAATAAAATAATCATTAAAATGAACAAAAACCAGTTTTTATTTATCTAATGATACTTAAATGTGTTCGCATTTCGTTAAGAACTGCAATTATGCTTCATTCTGAAATAAACTAATTTTTAGATTATTTTAATTCCTCTTATGCGTATTTCACTTAAATTCTCAAAGTTAAAAATCTTTCTTTCTTTTACTGATTTCAAGTGAAACTTAATTTGTTTACAAGAATTCTAAACATATATGAAAACTAAGGGCAAAGTATGGTTTCTGTCCATTTTTTCACAAAAAATGACAGTTGGATCACCTGTTACATTTTGAGAATTACTTAAAAACCCTTCCTCTCATTGCAAAAATTCCTTTTTTCTTCAAATCAGCTTTCATGGACATAAATGCTCTTCCCTCTTTTTCTTCATATGTAATATAAAATGCCTCTAGTGAGTCTTTTTATATTAAGTCTTAGTTAAAGTACAGATGTTTTTTTACTTTCAAAAGACTCATAAATATTGAATTTTCGATTCAAATATAATTTTTAACATTAATTGGCAATCATTTTCTTTGGAGTATTGATTATTAAAGAAGTACCTTTAAGGTACTCTGGTGCCATGTAGAAGTTGAATCAAGATAGACTCCTTTTTTATCACATGCTGTTATGTGAGTAAAGATCCTAGCAACTAATTCCCTACACAAGTCTCCAATATAAAACTATGAGAGAAGCAAAATAGTGTGGCTTTACCTGATACTTATTAATACATGACACTATGTCAAGCCTCAAACTCTCTAACCCTGTATATTGTTCTAATAAAAGTTTGTGATTACTAATTAGTCTTGAACCGTGATGGTTCAGGGGATAGAGCATTTGCCTTTCAATCAGGTGAACCAGGTTCAAATCCCAGAGATGGTAGAAGAACCGTGGGAGGTTTTCGTGGTTTTCCTCTCCATGTAACACAAATGTAAGGTAGTTCCATTAAAAAGTCCTCCACGAAGGCAAATTTCTCCCAATATTTGATCCAAGAGTTATCTTGTCTTCTGGATTTGGTTCAAAATTACAAGGCTACAGAGTTGAACATTAGTAGTCGTAAACCCGAAAAATTGGATTTGCTACTCAACAACGGTTATAAGATAAAATTAATTTGTCTTAAGTCTGCTCATGCAAAATTACTTTTTTTACATAATAGGATCAAAAGATCCTAGATGTCTATTGAGAGTAGTCATTATGGAAAATATGTATTCATGTAGTGAGTGTGTTAATGTTGTGTGATAAAAATATGAGAGAGATTAATCAATAGTTATTTATGTAGGTGGATCAGAAACATTCAAAGATAAACAAGATTTCTTCCATCACGAAGTTAGAAAGTATCATCAAAAACATTTTCATGATAAAGTATCTGTAAAAATATCAAGGGAGAATATTTTAGAATCAGTGAGTTTTTATGATTTTTAGCCAATTATTATTCAAAAAAAAAAATTTTATTGTATTGTTTTAAATTTTTTTTTGTTCATTTTCAGTCCCTAAAAGAAACAAAAGGCTTTAGTGTTAGTGATTGGTGTAAAAATTTTGAAATCACCTTTATAGATGAAGAGGGTAAGCCTGCTGCCATTTTTATATTTTCAAATAATTTGTACATTCTCAATAATGTAACGTAAATGTTTATTAATGATTTACAAATGAACTATTCCAAATATTTTTCACAGGAGTTGATTGGGGAGGACTTAAAAGAGAATGGTTTGAGCTTGTGTGCACATCATTATTTTCTCCAGAGAATTCACTATTTCATTCCTTTAAATCAGATAAACAAGGCCTGGTAAGTTTATTGTACTTTTGTTTTTAACCTTGGATTCATAAACATTTGTCTGATAAATACTGCGAATTATGAATGGTCTTGTTTAAAAACATCGTTTACTTAAAAAAATATGAAGATCATAATAAATATTTACATGTTTCAAGTGCAAGAAAATATGAGCACATTTTCTAAATTTGCTACATTTGAATGGGGAAAATTAAAGTGACATGAAACATAAAATCTAAAGCTGCCAATGAAAAATGGGAAGAAAAACAAAACTAAAACAATCATGGTTAATTAATAGAAAATAAATGTAATATGTTGTATGATATATTAATAAACTAAATTCCTCCGTTTTTCTAGTTTTATTTTTCACCTTTATTTCTCATTTTTCGTTGGCAATTTCATGTCTCAAATCTACTTAGTTTTCTCATTCTCTCATATAAGTCTGGCAAATCTTGAGAGTGGGTGCCTATTTTAGAGCACTTGGAGCAGTTCGAATTTTATTACCATCTTCATATTTTTTTTAGCCAATAAATTTTTTAATCAAGCATATATTTTTTCATCACTTTCTTGGGATTATTTATTTAATATTTCTATACTAGGAACTTGTAAGGAAAAGGATAGTATTTTTCTAGATTACTAGACAAGTGTTTCTCATGCATGTTATTGAATCTAGGGTAAATAATAATTTTATATTTTGTTTGAGGAATTTTGTCTTAATATAAGCATGATTATATCTAAACTAAGAGTACTACTGATAAAAAAAACAACCTGAAATTGTCAGAAAATTTGATCTTTATGAAAAAAAAATCTGAGCAAATAAATATATATATATAGAGAGAGAGAAATCCTGTAACAAACCTAAAAATTGACCAATCCTAAAACTAGCAATAACAGTAATCAATCATTAAAATCCAACCTAAATAATTTAAGCATTCATTACAATGACAAATTTATTGTTTTAAAATTAAGATATAGATTTCAGATTGCAATGGAATTTTTCCATGATATATTTACTTCATGTTTTTCTCATAAAAAATTCCTGTAAATGTAGTCTGGAGTTTTGTAGAAATTTTTCTCTAATACCTGGAAATATATTCTTCCTGGAATTCTATTTCTTAAATTATATGGAAACTCTATTAAGTCATTATATTTCATGATTTAGTTTGTTGAATGACATTATTATTATTATAATTTTTGTACATTCAAAATATTAAAAAGTGACAATGGTTCAGTGTTTAAAGCACTAAGCTGTCACTATGAAGAACTCAGGTTCGATCCCCAGTAATGGCTTGACTCACACATCCTCTGATCAATGGGTATCTGGGAAGTGAATATAGCTGATGAATATAGCTATAGCTGATGCTTAAGCAAACTATCTAAAGAGTTTTTCTTTTTTTATCCAGGTAGATTGATATATTTTAACGAATACTGAAAAGTTAAGTTTTAATGAATATTGAAATGCGCAAGATGGATTGCATTTAACCCAATCCAGCATGCACTTTTCATTTAACAATTTTGTGAATATCAATTAAAGTTTATTTTTTGTGTTATTCTCAAATATTTGAAAACACAAGCTAAGTAGTAAACTATTATCGTTGATTTTCTTTTATTTCATCTTCAGGTACATCCATGCCCTGGTTACAAAAGGCCCCCAAATTTGAAGCTGAAATATTTTGAATTTGCTGGAAAAATAGTTGGAAAATGTTTATATGAGTCTTCTCTTGGTAGTACTTATCGACAACTTGTAAAAGCCAAATTTTCAAGATCATTTCTAGCTCAATTAATTGGTCTTAGTGTTCATTATAAGGTAAGTTATGACCAAGTGTTTTTTATAGTAAATCTTTTTATCAATTAGCATATTTGCTTCCAGAAGTTTATGTTACTGGATCTATTAAAATCTCAATTTTCGTACAAAGTAATCTTAATGTCGATATCATTAAATGAATTACTTATTTAGATATAGGCTGTCTTCTTTTCCATGCTCTTTGTTCTTCTTTTCTCTTGAAATCAGGAACGAAACATGTGTTCCTTTCTCTGTTGGCCTTTGCTCTGTCACCTTTGCTGCATTTTTTTTTTTTTTTNATGTTTTTTTTTTTGGGGGGGGGGGGTTTGTGCTAGTTTCTTCTATCTTAGCGGGCTTTGCTTTTTCTAAAATTAGTAATCCAATAAGAGAAATTTTGTGACAATTACTTTTAAAACTTCAAGTAGTTTTGGATGTCAGATTTTTTTAAGTCCCTATGTTGAAATTTATTACACAATTCATTTAAAAAATAAAATATTTAATGGTGATTGAATAAGTCCGTAAAAATAAATTTTTGTACCAAATAATGTAACTATTTGAATGTCTGATTCATTTGGATAAACATTGCAAATGTTTTTGGTAGTTATTATTACTATACTTGTCAAAAGGCATACTGGGTGGATATATATATTTCCTGGCAATTTCACCATAAAATCCGAAATAAAAGTTTATGGTTTAAATATTTACCAGTAAACAAGATCAAGTAAACCTTAATGAGCTAATAAAAGACAAACGAATATCAAAATGTAGAGAAATGACTAAGCTTTCCTATCCTCTTTTTAATATTCAAAATGTTGGGTTCATTTTTTTTATTTATCATTACTAAGACATTTCATTTGAAGGACATCTCATTGAACAACAATTCATCCAATACTCTTTTGTCTTACAAAAATCTTTGAGTTGTAATTTTTCCCTCCTAATCTTCTGCTTCCATAACATACTTATTTCTCTCCTTATCGATGATTAATTGAATGAATTGCTAATTATTTTTTCAAAACTGCAGAAAGTTTCACTGTTACCAAGCATAATTGTTTTTTTTTTAAACTTATTTACTGAAATGTTATTTAAATGCTTTATCCTTGAAGCTCATAAAAAATTATAATTTTTATTATAAAAATTTGATTTTTGTGCTTACGTGTACAAAACAATTTGCTCATCCTTATAGTCAAATCATCAGACAAAAAAAATTTTTTTTAATGACTCTTACATTTTTTTTTTATCATCAAAGTATACCAATTCATTTTTTTCATAGAGATAAAGTGTGTAATTAAACGACAAATGGAAATTAATTTTGAATGAACATTATAATTACCATTAAATAATGACGATCTAGAGTACAACTCCAATTATTCAAACAAGAATCAGCCATTTGATTGAAAATGTTCAGAAAATCACAAATAGTAAAAAATTTTTTAAACTTACATGCGTTTGTGGGGTAACATTGGTTGAACTTCATCAATAGGACAAAATGTTGCAACATACTCTCTCAACTACTTTTGTCCTACTGATCATCAGTAGGACAAAATATTGCAACATTTTGTCCTACTGATGAGAGTATACCAATGTGACACCAACACGCATATAAGTTTGAATAAAAGTTTACTTATTGCGATTTTTAAACGTTTTTAGTAAAATTTATTTTATCACAATTACCAAGGTTTCGCAGCATTTTTAAAAAGTGCTTATAGGTGCATATTTTTGTTTTTAAGAGCCCGTAAAGGTGCTTTTTTTATTCGGGGTTTGTAAGAATTGCTTAATTTTTTATATTTTAAAAATAGATTTTTTTCTTTGTCATGTCAATTGTCGTTCTACATTACAAAAAATGCATGATTTTCCCAATTTTTTCTGCAATATTTATCAGAAACTAGTTATTTTATGATGATTATGTAAAGTTTTCAAATTGTATTGATTTTTTGTTTATAAATTAACAACTTAAGCGATAGAAAAAATCATTTTTATTACTGCACAGATCCTGATTATAATTTTTTTTTTTTTTTGGAAAATGATTAAAAATATTTTTTGGGATGCTTGAAAAGTACTTATTTTTTGTTGAAAAATCTGGCTACGCACCCTGATTACTCTCATTCATTGAATCATCCATTTTGATTTGAGAATTGAAATTAAGCAAATATTTTAAAGGCAATTGAACTTTATACAGGTTGTTGAAATGTATTAACTGACTTAAAGCTATCAGAAAATAATGCATAAATTGAAACATTTATTTTTTAATCAATGAATGCTAAGGGGATTTTTAATAGTTGCCTTTTTTATCAATTTAGTTAATTTATCAGTCAGTATCTTATTTGCTTATCCAGATCATGCTTGACCTTATATTTGAAGTCTTGCTTTATTTGAAGTCTTGCTATAAACACAATGATGAATATCATACATTTTGTGAAGGAAATTAAAATTGAATCTAAACAGAAATGTTTTTCTGTGGTACAAAACCTCGGCATTTATAGGTGCAGTAAATAAAATGCTAGAAAGGTTTTGCCTTCTTTGCTTATTTTCTATTTCATTTGCTCCACCTGTGATCAAATGAACGGCCAATTCTGAAGGCATGGTGCGTAGCGTTTCTAAAAGTGCTTATTTTCGCATTTTAAAACCCCTTAATAGTGAGATTGGAGGTTTTAAAAAAGTGCTTAATATTCACTTTTAAAAATGATTTTTTTTCTTTACCATATCGATTTTTGTGATGTATTATGCAAAAGCGTAGTTTTCACAATGTTCTTTTCAACGTTTTCACAATTCATTAAGCCATAATCCATTTCGGCATACCATCAGTCCGTAACGCAATGCAAGCGCCAATCACTTTACATTTTTGATGAAATATTTGCGAGTCCGCATGTGCGTCTGTTGAGTTCAGTGAGTTTCCAGCACTCTCGTGTGCAACTCTGCTGCATTTTGCAAGATATTCTCAAATTCAGGTTCATTTTCAACCCTCTAAAATCGAACCAGAAAATTTTTCGATCTTTTTATGTTGGCTAATATAATCAAGAAAAAAGTTCTTTGTCTGAAACTAGTTATTTTATCATGCAAAGTCTTTTAAAATTATTTTGCGTTTTGTTAGCGTATATAGTGCTTAAAAATATTTTTTGAGAGCTTAAGAAGTACTTAAAAGGTGCTTTTTCTGGAAAGATTTTGCTACGCACCCTGTTATATTAAATTCTATTAAAATTAATTTATGTCCTTTGATTTCAAATTGATTTTGACAGAAATATAAAAATGCATCCATGTTATTATGTATAAAAATCTCATAATTAATTGGAAAAAAAGACATTTATATTTCATGTATTCACTTTTTAAAAAAAAATTTCAGTATTTTGAACACGATGATCCAGACCTTTATGTGAACAAAATAAAATACATCCTAGAAAATGATATTGAAAGCATGGACTTATTCTTTGTTGAAGAACTATATGATTCAACAGGAAAACTGATTGAAGTAAGACATTTCTAAGCCATAACTAATTTATAGTGTGTTAATAATTTCTAAATCACTGATAAGAACTTAAGATCAACAATTAAAGTTTGTAAAATAATAATTAATTAGTTTCATACTTTATTGCAGGAAGTTGACCTCATTCCAAATGGTTACATGATACCTGTTACTAAAGAAAACAAGCTGCAGTACTTAAATGCTCTTGCTCAATATAGACTCACGACTAGTGTGAAGTCTGAAATAGAGCACTTTTTAAAAGGATTGACAGAACTTATACCCGATAATCTCCTCTGCATTTTTGACGAAAATGAGTTGGAGGTATTTATTTATTATTTATGAAAGAAAAAAACACATTCTTTTAATTCTTCTAAAAGCAAAATATTTCAATAGTGTAATTTGTAAAAAAAGTTAAGTAATATTTTTTTCTCTTTTATTATAAATGGTTATAATATTTAATGGTTATTAGTATTACTAATAACCTCCGGTTAAATGGTTTACAAACTTCCGGTTTAGTGATAAGAACCAAATAAAAATGTTGTCATCAGCGTATCTCTGATTTACTAAGGCATTTTTCATAAACTGAAAAAAATTTATTGAAACTGTCGGTAAAATAATATTTGAGTTTTCATGAAAATTTTAGCTTTATACAATGCAATAGTTTTATCCAAGCTATTTTCTAGTTGAATCTTGTGCCATATAGCTAACTCATTGAAGTACATTTATGTTCATAATTTTGGCTAACGCTGGTGACCAGCTACTTTAAGCAAGCATTGTCTTGGCCCTTATGTGCATACCCCTAAACAAGTTTGACTGTTACATGAATTTTAAATTTTTCTTTTCTATGGCCAGTTCAACTTTTATTATTAGAAATTACTTAAATTGTTGCAACTGATTGCTTATTTTATCAAAACTAACTAAAATAGTTCAACGGAATCTGCAAATATTTGGTTATATGCTCACAGTACTATTTTTACTTCATTTAACGAGAATTCATACTTTATTTTCTATGAGAAAAAGTCAGAGCGATTACATTTTGTTTCAGAGTGGGTTATATTTAGACTAGTGGGTTTTCAATGTGCCTCACTCCTCCAAATTTTTTCATTCAATTTTAAATCAGTAATTCAAAAATAAATTGAATGATGTAGAACAATGTTTTTTTTCACATAATAAGTTGAAGTGAGGAACTGATAATAATAAGAAAGATTCACAAATTAATATGTTTAGTCATTTATTATGACTGGAAGCTTAATAAGCAATTAAGTATTGCCTCGACTTGAACAGCTTTCTCTAAGAAGCAATTTTGTATTACCTGTTTTGAAATAAACGATGTAAATAAGACAAGGACTAAACAGCAACTCTGAGTGACTTGTATCAGGAGAAGTGTTCTACTATAAATTTCAGTTAAATTACTTATTTCAGAAGTGTTTTGTTTTTGAATGCACACGTAGTGGGGAGTTATCTGTGTGATGCAGTTTGCTTTATTTGCAGTGAGAGTCAGGAAGTATGAAGGAATGCATTATTAAGATGTGTTATGATACTAAACGAAGTTTGAAGTATTTTCAACTGGGTGGGTATTTTCGGAGTGACCGAGTTCAGAAATCAAAAGCACAACAAAATGCTAGCTGTCATTGTTTTCTCTAACAAATTAGTAATAGTAACAATTTGTGTTAGTTACACAGTAGTCAAAACATTGCAACTTGATAAATGCGTTTAAAAAATGGGGAGTATGTTGAGAATTGTATTGTCCATTTTTTGTAATTTGCCTACGTAAGTCTATTTTAAATATTCGCTTGTCTGGTCGAACAAAAACGAGTTGTGTAGGATCTGACTTAAATCATGTTTAATACTCTTGAATTCAAATGTAAGAAATTCGTGTTTTATTCTGTAGCAATGCAAAAATGAATAAATGCAACAGATACTGCAGACTTTGATAGAAAAAAATTCTTTATAATAAAGGAATTAGTGCTTTTACATTAAAAAAATTCAACCCTTTGTTCAGTTATATTCTTGTTTACTCAACATCTTGGCTCTATGCAAGCCAAATATTTTTGCCATGAGAATATTTTGCTTTTTCTATGAGTTCCACTGAACAAGAATCATAGAGATTATTAAAATCCATCACGAAAGTGTGTATAAATGATGTTTCTTTATAAACTTTGAAAATGTTATCAATGTAATTGTCAAGTTGGTTAGCTTTATCCATCGGGTCCGAGAGTTGCATTTACTGCTTTCAATTTTTTTAATTAAGTTCAAAAGGAAAATTTCAGAAACTTAACCCTAAAATTGACTTTTATTCTTCTCCCATTTTTGAATTCTTTAAAAATATCATCTAGAATGTGTGATTTTTCCCAATTTATTGGAGCTCTTGGATGCAAAATGTTAAAGGCTCCTGTTCTAGACATTCCTAAAACTGGAGCAGATTGATATTAATTTGTTATTAGTTTGGCCCAATCATGTGTGTTGCAACATATTTACACTTTATAGTTTGTATGACTTATGCCAAAATGGAACTTCCGTACAAACCTGCACTTAGCAGTTCTTCTGTTGTTTGATATGGGATATACTTTCTTCTGTTTTATGTATCTATAAACTTTTTATTTAACTGCACTTGTATGCAGATTTATTTTTTCGTATGAAGTTTTTTAAAGGTAAGACTAAATTATGGAATTCCGCTATATAAACTCATTTAGCTTCAATATGTTTTTCAAATTAAATAAAATATGGAAATTTTTTTTTCAATTTTAGATATTGCCTAAGAATTTGTTATATTAACATAAAACTGTCATATTCTTAAGTAAACTTTTCACTCACTATTTGTTTCCTTTATTTCAGTTACTTATGTGTGGAACTGGCAGTTATTCTATCGCTGATTTTAAAGCAAATCATGCTGTTAGTGGCTCATCTTACGAATTCAGAAAGGTAATATTTTATTGATTATTATTAAACTTTGAAAGCCATTTTGATTTTATTTATTTTTATTTTCATGTTAATCAAAATAATATTTTTAAACATTAAATATATAAAAATAAATGTTTGTAAAATTTATTATTCATATTTATTGATAGGTCTTAGAATGGTTTTGGATTGCAGTGTCAAACTTTTCTGAGGAGGAAATGGCACGATTATTGCAGTTTGCTACCGGGTGTTCCCAATTACCACCAGGTGGTTTCTCAGAACTGAGTCCAAAATTCCACATTACAGCTGCACCAACATTTGGTAATTTGCCTACAGCACATACATGGTAAGTTAACTGATTCTATTTTTGTAAATGAATCTGAATTGTTTTTGGAAAAATTTTAACAATTCTAAAATGCCAGTTTTTTTTTTTTTTTTTTTTTTTTTTTTTTTTTTTTTTTTTTTTTATACGTTAAAAATCTGGATCTGAGATTTTTTATATGTTTTGTAAATTAACTTGAATTGTTTTACAAATCGTTTTAAAAATTCTAAAATAGAAATTTTTTTAAAAGGTTGAAAAAACCTGGAGCTGAAAGTGATAGATTACAATAAAAATATTTGTAGGGATTTTACTGCAATAGAATACAATACATAAAATGAAGTTCACTACAAAGAAATTTTTCATATGTAGTGCAAGTGGACATTGATTTAAGTAAAATTATTTTTATCATTCAACAGGATTGATTGTGCTCCGGAAAAAAATCCGGATTTCCGTATTTTTCGCTTGCCGTGATCCGGAAGTTTCCGGAGATCGAAGGCTCAGACATTTCAAAAAATCATTGATCACAAAAGTTTCCGGAAATTAAATTTTCAGAGGTGGAACTTAAAAACACTGTTTATTTTATTTGTTTATAAGAGAGAGCCAGATATACTTTATAAGCTTATATTCAAGATTAATATTCATTTTTTATCAGTAAATAGCTATTATAATCATAAACTCAAGAAAGACATACGTATTTGTAAATATCAATTACTTCTCCAGGTCATCATAAGTATGTGTAAAATTTTAATTATATTTTAAGTAAACTAAGAAATATTGAGAAAAAGGAAAAAAAAACTTGGTTAAATTGTTTTCTAATTTTTCGATTTAAAATGTTTTTTTTTTTTTTTTTTTTTTTTTTTTTTTTTTTNTTTTTTTTTTTTTTTGTTTTTTTCACTCAAGAAATTTTCTAGAATTTTCACTTGGACTCACAATCACCCCATATTGAATTAAAGTAATTAATGCTGGTAGAAAAATATGTTTTACTTCTAAACAGATTTCAAGTAGTAAAAAAAAAAATCGGAAGAAGTAAAACAATTTTAAAACATTTAAACAAGTTCAATTGAATCTATGACAGTCAATGAAAGAGCAAAGCCTTTCCTATAGTTCATTGAAAATTGTTTCTATTTAATGTTTACATGTTATTTAAATCTTGTTTTTATAGTTTCAACCAGCTGTGCTTGCCTGATTATGACTCCTATGAACAATTTGAAAGAGCACTGAGATTAGCAATTAACGAAGGATCTGAGGGCTTTGGTATGGTTTGAGATGTATGTAATTGAGAGAGAGAGAACGATAGTGTTAGTTGCAGCAAAACTCACACATATGCCTTGTAAACATTGTAAAGAAAATTTAAGTATTTCAAGTATGGCTGTGATTTATATTATTCTTCCACATTTTTAGATTATTTGTACTGAATCGAGTATTTTTTGTCACAGTTTTATAAAAGTTCTCTTAAATGTTCATAAGTTTCCTTTTTACATTTTTAAAACAAAGTATGTACTTAAACTTAGCTAACATTTGAAATTTCAATACTTATTTAAATTAAAGAGCATTACTATTAATATTAGATGTCCTTGATATCTTTAATTCCTAATGAGAATTGTTATGATAGTGTGATATTTGTTAATGCTACCATACAAAAATTTGGAACCAGTAATTTATTTTAAAGTTAAATTCTCTTAAACTGCTGTATTTTTATTTGCGCATATACAAAATGTTTCAATGATGATACTCCACTAAACTAAATTAGGTAAATGACAGTTTTTTCATTGAATTAAAATTAATCTTAAAATATAAATTTTTTTTTAACTTTATGAGTTTATTTATTATCATGAACATTGTAACTCTATGATATTAATATCGTATTATTTTTAGTTTTTGTAAAAAAGGAATATATTAAAGAAAATTTATTCCAGTTAGAATAAATCTGGACACATGGTAGCTGTGCTCGCCTATGCCACAGTTCCTGGGTTCTGTCCTCAGACTGGGTAAGGTTGACTCAGCATGTCATCCCTTTAGTGGATGCGTAAAATGAGTACCAGGCCTGCTTTTGAAGTGAATGGGGTTTCAGTGTTCAGCTGACCACCCAACTGGAATATATGATCCTGCACTCCAGAGCCTTAGGGCAAGAAAACTGGGATGGGCACCGTAAACCTTGGCCCTGATCACGCCACTGAATTTAGTTCAGTTTTTTAATAAATTTGAAGCAAACTTCATTAAAACACTAGTTCAAAATTGAAAAAGTATATCTTATAGTTAAACAAAAGCGTCATGTTATGCAAATATTGTGAAAACAATGAATTAGATAATAAAAATTATTTTTAAATTTTCAGCTCTTCTAAACTTTACCTTTTAAAATGTATTTAGGTAAACGAAGAAGAAAAATCAAGTTTTAATTATAGCTTATGTAAATTATGTGTGAACACAAATCCTTTTTGGAAGGTTTTTGTTATTGGCGCATTAAGTAGTTCATAATTTTTAGAAACATAGAAAAATGAAAGATAAAAAATAAGAAAATGTTATTTGGATTTTTTTAATAAAAATCCATTATTAAAAATATTTTTTAATTCATTACGTTTTAAAAAATCATTATTTTTTATTTGGTTTAAAATGCTATTTATAAATCTTGCATAGACACAAATAGCTCCTTTCTTCAATTTTCGCTTGATTAAAAGTCCAACAAATAGTTTTTTCAACTGTAACTTTAATTGATTAGCAAATAAATTAATTCCAAATTCTTGAATGGTTGTATATATTTATAATGTACAAAAGACGTATTTTCCATATGTATATTTCACATGCATGATGTATATTAACTTTCCATTCTATCATTTTATAAAATAGTAGCAGATTTAATATTGGTTATTAGTAAATGGATAATTCGCTTCTAAAATGTTTATGATCAATAAATTAAGAACACAATAAAGCAGTATGGTAGCATATATAGATAATTTGTTGTGATTGTAAAAACATGTATCGTTTAGCGTATGTCCTGTTTAGCATTCATAATGTAGTTTTGCATTCAATCTTTTTATACTCTTTAAACTTAAATTTATTGGGGGATTATATTTAGGAGAAGTCTTGAAATTTTGCAAAATTTAATTATTCTTCTGATTCAAAATAAGATTTTAGAATATTATAAGATAAAATTTTATTGTACAATTTTATAAATGTTTTATCTTGCACAAAATTTAAGAACAAATGTTTTAAGATTATTTCAGCCTTAAAATCACTTTTAAATTGCTGTGGAACCTCATAATTTTTGTATTAAATCTTGTAATTTAATTCATTTTGTCTGGAAACTAAAATTCGATCTGAACTAGAGTTTTATTTATTTAATTATTTTAATTAAAACCTAGGAAACTTTTAGTTATTTTGAACCAATAATGAATTAAATAATTAAAAAACGTTCAAGTATCAAAGATGAAATAAAGGAAAATATGCATTTACAATATTTGATCAAATTCAATACCAAATTATTTTTGGTTTTATAAATACTTTTTTACTGTTATGAACATGTCATAGCTTCATTTAACATTTAAGTTATATGAAGCTTTGATCACTAAGAAATAAGTTATAATTTTATAAATCATAAGATATTCTACTTTGATTTTTAAAGCACATAGTGTACCAAACCTTGTTATAGTTATTTAAAAAATTTCTTTTAATGTATGTATTGTGCTTGGAATGGGTTTAAAAATGTGCACTGTTCATAATAAATGTGTTTTGCATGTGGTTAGATATTTTTTTTTTTTAAATTTCTTTACAATATGCATACATTTTTGTTTAAGAGATACATATATATATACATAAGGAATTTGAAACAAAGTTTTTTGATTATTTTTTAAGTAGTTATTTACATTTTTTTAATTTGTACATAAAATTTTTATCAAGTGTTTGAAATAAAATACTTTTATTATTTTAAAAATATTTATTTACATGAATATTGAACAACATAATTATTTAAAATGTGTTATGAAATAAGGATAATGACGGCATATTAGAGTTCAGAAAATGAGTCAACTACTATTTTTTATTTCAAGTGTCTCAATGAGAATTGAATATACTTAGTGTACTCAACAAATTGGCCTTTGTGTGCAATATACTTAATTAAAAAGGGTATAGTTTTAAAATATTTATTTACATTTACACAAAACATCATAATTATTTAATATGTATTATTGAATAATAATATTGACATTCTTAAGTTTCAGAGAGAATTCAACTTTCATTTTTTATTTCAAGTGTCTGGATTAGAATCAAACATAGAAAAGTATAATTATAGTACCCAACAAATTGGCATTTGTACACAATATACGTACTTATAAGAAAAAAATGTATCAATAATTTTAAAAATGATTAATTTCATATATGTTTTAGTAAGAAAAAGACATTTTAACAATGTAAAAAGTAAAAGTGAATTTTTTTGTAATATTTTATTGTAGAACCATTACTTAAAATATAAGTTTACAGTTTGCATTTCTGAATCACTTAAGTGAATATAAAATATCATAGCATTCTACTAGTCGATTTGAACTTAACAGGTAAGTACAGAAATATATTTATAAGCAACCATTTGTGATCTGCAATCAAAATTTATAATTTTTGACCTAATATCAGCTTACTTTTTTTCGGTTTAAAAATGATTAATTAGTTGTAAATTTTTTTCCAAAAAACTATTTCATATATTTCTTAATGAAATATTCAATTATGTCATTCCATTATTACATGCTAGTATTTTAATACATCAATTATAATTTTGTAAAGAAACTATGAGTAAAATTTTTAGAATTAAGGTAATCAGTTTAGCATATTTTTGTAGTAAATGAATTTATACTTTTCAAATTCTTAGAAATACAGTAATACTTACTTGGTTTTGCATACAGTTACTACAAAAGTGTTTACCTAAGTTTTCAAGTATGAAGAATGTCGTAAATAAATTTCCAATGAAAGGCAAGTTTTCTAAACTGCCACAGTAAATTTGGCAGCAAAACTTATTTACAACTACATACTTTGAAATTAAAATTAAAACAACGAAAATTTTAGGCTTCAAGTCTATCATTCTCTTTAAGCAAAACAAGAAATCTTTTAATTTATCAGCAATATATGTACCTGTTTATATGGTTCAAAACTGTAGTGGTTAGTTCTAAGAATGAGTACAAAAAGAAAAGAGCTCTGAAAGTATTGGTTGAAAGAATTTATCTAATAAAATTCGATTTACATTTTCGAAGTTAGTGAAAAATTTGGGTTGGTACACAAAAACAGCTGACAAATAGGTGAAAATTAGAATATTGTTTGTTGCATTTCAATTTTCAAATATTTCTATTCATTTACAATTAATTTGTGCAGTTTCAATATGACATTTAACTTCTTTTTTAATGTCGTAATGTTAGCTTAAATTAATCATGCTTAAACTTTAATTACATGCAGTTCGCACATTTTGAATGTGAATGTTAGAAGGCTTAAGTTTCAATAAAATGTTTTAGTTTTAAAAAAAATTAGTAGAACTAGAAACATTTTGTGTATTCGTTAACTAGGAAATAGTTTATCTTATATTCATTAAAACATTTTTAAGTTTAATTTTGCATTCCATTTTATCGGATCAAATTGTATTTTATCTTTAATATATTTAATTGTAATATTCATTAAATTCCCAAATAATTGGGTGTAATAATCTATATTTTATACTTTAACAATCTCATTTTGTGCCTTTCTTACAATTGTTTGTGTATGTGAATTGTTTCTAGCATTAGTGCTCTAACTTTTTTTATTTCATATATATATATATAAAATTCCTTTATTGTCAGTTTCTAGAAAAATGTGTTGTAGTAATTTTGTAGTACATATTTTATTTCAGTATTTTGGCATGAAATCTTTATGCTTGTATGAAGTATTTCACAATTAATTGTGTGGTAAGAAATTGTTGTACTTCTACCTAATCCTAATACCTAACTTTAATTCTTTTCATGCTTACTCATTTAAATTACTAAATAAATACTCAAGCAAAAGTGAAATAAATGAGTTTAAAAATTATAATTTTTTTAAATCAAATATGAACTTTAGTTTACTGGCATTTTATATGAAATTTATTTAGTGCTAAAGCAAATATTTGTGTGTAATTTTTTTCTGCTTGTATAGAGTGGGATATTTATTTAAAATTTTTTACATTAGCCTCCCTTTATATCACATCTGTTCAGATACAAAAAAAGGCTGCCATATTATCCTGCAAGACAATTATTTTATTATTCTCTATAATATGGAATGGAATATTTATCACCTTCTACAGCTATTGTTAATTGCATTATTTTCTTGCAAGAGTTATGACATTGCAATGTATTTGTTAATAAAGCGCTATCTTCATTTTTAACAAAATAAATAACAATTTCTTATGTTTTTCTAGAATTCTAAATAAAAAAAAATATGTAAACTTTTTTTAATTTTTTTTTTATTTGGAGACATAGCAAAAGTAATATATCTGAATGTGGATCTCAGTTCTCAGGTACTATGCAAGGATCTACTGTATTTAATTTTGTTTTCCAAAATCAACTGGTTATTATTAATGTGTTAAAAATTCTAATGAACTGGGTCGTTTACACGGATAAATGTCTTGAAGGTGAAGTTTACTGTCATGATCAGGGCATTGAAGTTAGTCTTTCAAATACGTCAAGCTGGATTAATAGGCCTACTCCAAAATAACAATGATAGAGTGATTAATTTTTTTTTTTTTTTTTAAGAGAGAGAGCCATTAAAAAAACAATAAATCTGTAAAAGCAATATGAGGAGTAATTTTTTTAACTTTTTACTTAAATGATTGCTAAAAGTTCTTATATTTTTTTTTAACTTAAAAGACTTAGCTAAGTGGAAATCTAACAAAATTTGTTCTTTTTTTCAAGGACTACACTAGCCCTAGTAATAGTACTTAAAAAAATCAACATAATAATACAAATTTTAATATATATTTCTTCCATCAAGGATTCTGCACTTTTTATTTGTGATAATGATAAAAGTCTAAAAAATAATGTGAAGGAGTCGTGTGATATCTCAATGTGATGCATTATCAAAAAAAATTAAATGTAGTCGATCTTTTATGTGTCAAGATTGTTACCTCCTTTTATTTTGGCTTATAAGTTAATAAATTTTCTTTAATATTATTTTCAAACATTAAATGGTATGGAATATTTTATTGCTTAATAGGAGCAACTCTAATTATTTAATCAGAAATTTTAAAGCAGATGTTGAGTGAGAAGTAATTTTGTTAGCTGCATTTTTAAATTCTAAAATGAAATAGAGCCGTAATAAAAAGTTATTAGATTATATAAATATTTAGGTTATAGATAAATTATTTATATTATATTTATATTGAATGATTGTTAAACGATTTAAAAGTTTTTTTTTCTTAACATATATGCATGGAAAAATAGTTGAACTGTTTGTTGAATGGAATTTAAAAATATATATAAATGTTTATATCCTTTAATTACATCACTTGACAATTTAAAAAATTTTGAGATAATAAGGTATCAAGTTAAGAAAGATTATTGGAAAATGTTTATCGATATAATCTTGCATATTCACATTTTCTGAAGACTTATTACTTTATTCCTTTTTTACAAAGCTTAAAACTTTTTTTAAATTTAACAATACAAGCTTAATATGTATAATAAAAGTAGTAATTGTTGTAAGGAATTTTAACAACGATTCAGTTTCGTCTTTCTTATATTTTGTTTTTCCATTGTATTCAAGTTTACAATTTTAATATTCTTTAAAAAGCAATTTTATTTTTTCCTTGCTGTAAATTATTTTCTCTTTATTAAACACTTTTGCTTTGCAAAGTATTAGTATACATTAAATTTCTTTGCATACTTGTTCATTAAATAAAACTATCTTTATGCTGCTTTTTAGATATTGTCACTGTGATAAATTATGAAAGGTGCTTTTTTATGTTTAAGTTTTTATTGTTTTGATATTTGTAATGTTCTGTGTTTAATAAAACTTCATTTATATTTATACTGACTCTTTTTTTAAAAATAAATCTTACTTTTTGCAGTAACCAAAAAACTCATCATTTGATTCAGTTTAATAAGAAAGTTAACATCTGAGTTGTTTGTAGTCAACACTTGCATTTTTAAAATTTGTCCAGTTATGTTAAAAATAATACAATTACTTTATAAAAATTACAATTCCCATTTGCTGGAAAGTTAAAAGAAATTCAAAATCCATATTTTTAGTAAGGTGAATGCAATTATCGTTATATTTCTGTAAAGTGGAATTCTACAGCTAAATTTGATACTCTTCATATTTATTTTAATTTTTAAAACTTTCACATTTTTTAAGCTATTAAAAACATTGATATTAAATTTATCTTTAATTGTATTTTTATGTTATAAAATAATGTAAAAAAAGACTTTATATTAAATTTAATATGATGTAATAATTTTGATATAATGTCTGCAAAACAATAAACAAAATAAAATTTTACTTCTGGTGAAAATGAAGTTAGTTTTAAAATTTATGTTACACTGATTAAATGTAAAAATTTTAATAACTTGTTAAATAGTTTTTTGAGGATATTTTCTACTTTTGTATTAAACTATTAATAAAGAAATATATTGAGATGCTGATACTGCCGGGGGGGGGGGGGAAAANNGGGGGGGGGGGGGAAACAGAAACTTCAGCGTTTTTAAAGAAATTATTAGTTTCTAACTATTAACAAAATCTAGTCAGGAATTTAACAGGATGGATTTTATACAAATATTTTTTTAGTTTTTCATTTTAAGTAGGATTTTGATGAAAATGTAAATCAAAAGCCATTATTTTTTTTTCTTACCAAGTTTTAATATTTAAAAAATATATATATTCATTACTTAATACTGTTTGGATTAGTTTCAATGTTTGATGAACTTCTGAATTACCCCTTTTAAGTTCAAATCGTGGAGTTTAATTTATCAATGAGATATTGATGTTTAAGAGCATCTTAATTCTTTAATTAACTTTTTATCTTTAATATAATATGTATGCATTTATTAAACCCAAATAGTATTTTTATTTGAAGAACTTGATAAAATGATGAATTGTTTAAATTATATCTCGGAGAATTTCAGTTTTAAAAAATATAGCAAAGGAAGTAAGCAAATAATGAAACTCATCATTTCAATAAAAACCAGTTTGTTTTATGCCCTGACAGAAGTAATAATTAAATTGACTATATATGCGGCTGATATTAATTACTTTTGCACCCAAAAGTTCTCTCCTTTTCAATATGTCAGTGATACCTTCTGTCACTAGAATTTCCTATGTCCATTTCTCCCCCTATATTTGTAGGTACCTCAGTCAAAATCTAACAGCAAATGTAGACAACGCCTTTTAAATTAGATCTAATCTAAGCAGATTTAGTGCGATTGTTGCAAAAAGGTTTGGTCCCGCAGTGGACTGATCGTTAAGACACGGTTCCCAGCAGATCACCGAAGTCAAGCATCACTGGCTACGGTCAGTGTGCGGGTGGGTGACCACTTGGATCAGTCTGCGTAGGGACCGAGGGTGTGCGGTATGGGTCCTCGTTAAACTGTGCTACCGTAAAGTGCTCGACTTCGCGCGCAGGTCGTCGGGCTACCGAAGCGGGGGTGCCATTCCCTCCGCAGAGGATCAAAATTGTGATGGCATGTCTTCGGATCATCCTCCGGGATGTTTCCCAGACCGTCGCCAATAACCCATTGTGCAGCTCTAGTGCGACGTAAATTAACAACAACAAAAAGGTTTGTTTTAATTATAAGAAAACAATCCCAAGTATTGTTTGAATACAAGTTGTATCTCTTAAATTAACGAATATTTAAAAAAAAAAAAAAACTTTGCTATTTTTATAATATTTTTACTTTTTGAAAAAAAAATTTAAAACTTTTTCGAACTTTTCGAATTTGCTACGGTCATACAAAATAATCATTATGCATGTTTACGTTGTTGTAAAAACCTAAAATTACCAGAAATTCTTCAAATAATAAGTTAAAATATGCAAGCATTCAAAAAGTAAGAACAACTTGACTTCAGCCAAATGCCAATAATCCTACCGAATTTTCGCAAAATGACGTAACCATCTCAAAAACTAGTTTTAATTTGATTCTAAGAAAGCTATAAGCTAATTTTTAAATAACAGTAAATACTTTGAGAACCACTCTCATTGTCAACAGGTAATGTCAACAACCTACCGATCAGAGGTTTGACATCTGTTTGTATATTCTAAGATTTTCATTTAGAAAACTAAATTCATTGCTTCAGATCGTTCATTAAATCAAAATTCATTGTCATTTAATCAGTATTTTAAGCAATGAAGATCTATAAATAGATTTGTTTTTATTTTTCTGTTTTGGTTATTTATGCATAGTACGCATTTGTACGCGTTCTTCATGCATCGTAATAAGTTAATTTATTATTAAAGAAGCATGTGGCAAATTCATAACTTCCTCCTTTTTATCATAAAATATTTCCGCTGTTTTTTTACTTCTTTATGTGCAATTTGTCTCATATTTATTGGATATTCATTTCTCTTCGCATCATCAAAAATACAATCTGTGTCTTCACCTACCTGTGATTTTTACTTGCCTAGAGTAAAAATATTTGGTGTTAAGGTCTGTAGAATAATCTGTTGTTTCATTTGTTTTTGACTATTAAAAAGTTGTTTATTTTTTAAGTTGCTAGTTACTGATTTTTTCTCTAAAATTAATTATGAATCTCTAAAAGTTATCTGAAGTCCAATAAAATAATAAGATAAAATAATGAGTAATAATTGAAGATAAATTAACTTGGTGCATAGATTGAAATGCATTATACAATGCAAACATACTAATGCAGAGCTCCCACAGGTTGGGGAAAATCTGGGATTGTAGGGAATTTTATTTTAACTCCAAAAATCTGGGAATTGTTAGGAAAAGTTGCAATCTTTTTACACAAACCCGGAAAATTCCTTTATCATACCCAGAAAATAACCAGTCTTTGAATTGTCAATAACAGTAATCAGTTATTGAGATTGGAGATAAATAATTCTAACATCTATTACAATTATTTGTTGTAAAAATTTCACATTTTGGTCAAACGGACATGTTTCTATCCTCATTTAATGATATCTTTTTTTGGTTCACAAAATCTAATCAAAGTTTTCTGATGTAAAAATTGCATGGTATAGATAAAATATGGTAGGGATTTTGATTGAAATTTACCTGATATACCAGCAAAACACAGGGAATTTTTTTCTGAAATTGAGTGGTAACCCTGTAATGTTACTTTAATTATAATGGAAAAGTGAATTATATCTGTTCTTTATAAAAACATTGAGGCTTCTAAAACCATATGAATATTTTTTAATTTATATAAAATTATAACTAAATACAATATTATGTTTTTATTAATCAAATTTCCATTACAAATGATAAACTTTTGATCTGATATTAAAATTGCATTTTTTTTAAGTATCTAGGCAGATTACAGTGGTTAAAATTATAATTAAATTATAATTTAATCAATATTTCTATTAGGAAGAATTATCAGTTGCTATGAAATGAAATTATTTATGTAACCAGGGATGAGATTTTTCCGCTTTTTAGCGGATTTCCGCCTTTTTCACTTCTGTCTCTTGAATTTCAGCCTTATTATCAAAAACTCCGATTTTCTAAAAGTTTCAGTTTTTTAAATAAATGTTTCGCCTTTTCTGAAAACTAAGTCGTTGAAATAAAATAATTATATTTATTTCCGATTTGATATATAGATATAATATATCGAAAGCTATTTTGAAAATTCAAACTACATAGCTGCTAACCCTTCTACATATCTACTTATTTTAGCTTTTACGAGCAGAAAATAAGATTTTCTTAATTTTCCCCCTTCCGCTAGATAGCTCGTATTTTAATATCAAACTTCGATTTTCGTATTTACCTGATTTAAAAGTTGTTCACTGCGATTCTTATTCACGCGATTTCAATATCGTTCATTGCGTTTCTTATTTACGAGATTTTAAAATCCAATATCGCGATTTGTATTCAGGCATTTTTAAAATTCTATGTAACGATTCATATTCACGGCGAGTTTATCCAAAGTCGTGATTAATTTTTGCGGTTGTAATATTCAACATCTATTTTCGTACTTACATGTGATTTTAAAATTATCCTTTGGATTCGTATTCACGCCATTTAGAAATTATGCATCGTAATTCGTATCTACGCGATCTGAAAATTACGCATCATGATTTCTATTTTCACATTTTTGAAATCCAATACCGAGTTTCATTCACGTGATTTCTATATCGTGATTTATATTCACGCGATTTTAAAATCCAAGATCGCGATTCTTGTAAAAAGTAATTTTTTTTTGGAATTAGTACCTATAAATGTGGCAGTTATTCTATAAACGATTATTGCTATATGTAGGCATTACAACATCAGCGAAACTGGATGAGAATATGTTACTGATATTTTTGCTATAAATCACGATTTACTCCCATGAAAATTCAGCTTTTTTGCCTTTTGGCCAATCTCATCCCTGTATGTAGCTTGAAAATATAATTGAACTCTATGATATAACTTATAAATTGAGTTTATATATTATTACAGAACATAAAAAAACTGTTTTTATATACTTTAACTCTTAATTGCAATATCAGCAGCATGGCACTTTAACTTACTGTGTCTAATGTCATGTAAATACATGACATTAGACAAAAAAAATCAATGATTTATTGTTGTCATATTTACAATTAACTTAATTATAATTATAAAATTAATATTATATTTAATTAACTCTAACTATTAACTCTTGCTGGAAAGTGAACTTGAAATATTTTCAGATTGTTAAGGGCAATAATATCTATAAAACTAATGCATTAAAATTGTTTTGCCAAGGCCTTTAATTATGATAGAAAAGTGATGTATCTTTTAAACATCTATAAAGTTAAATATCTTTTAAAAAACATTGATAAAATTAATTTGTATTCCATTTTTTATGATCTCATTGAAATTTAATTAGGTTTTAGAATTTTTGTTCTTATAGTTGGTAAAATTAAGTTCAGAAATTGAGATTAAAATTTTTTTTTTAGATTCAGAAAGTATAAATAAAGAAATTTAGGGAAAACAACATTGTAAAAATTATTAGAAATTTTTTTTTTATATTTTGCTGATAGGGAGGCACAACATATTAAATTGTGGACAATCTTGCTAAATATTTGGTTAGGCTAAAAAAAATTTTTTTCTTTCTGTTAATAAAAAGGATAATTTATAAGGGTATATTAAAAGAATTAATGTGCTTGAAAGTTGATTTACAATCATACATAAGATTTTTCTTAACTATCCCATGCTAAATTAAGTCCTATCCCAGGTAAATGCAGGCGTAATAATATCCAGATATCTTACAGGTATAATAATATCCAGACACTTTACATCATTCCACTTTTTTTATGAGGCTTAATTTAATGCTTTTTAAATTCATTGCAATACATATTTTTATTAAAATTTTTATAGGATAAAAATGCAATTAGGTTTGAGAAAATTTATAATTTTTGAATCAAATTGTTTCATATAGCAGTTTTTAGTTGCAACAAAAATCCAATCTGTTTTGAAATGTAACATAAAATGATTTTTTAATGTTGTAGCACATTCCTAGTGTCAAAAGAATTGGTTAAGTTCTTTAATTATAAAATACCCACAAATTATTTATTTTTTCATCGTCTAAAGATATTTAATGTAAATATTTCTTGATCACCCTTTCTTAATGTTATTATCTTTTATTATTATGATTTGATTTTTATTACAAATTAACAGCTTAAAACTAAAAGTGGTATTGTTTTATTATACAATAATTTATTTGTAATATCACCTTATTATAAACATTTTATGAAAAAGCACGTAAAATTATTTCCAGCCAAAATTGTTTTTATGAATTAATTTTATAAAATATTACCAAACAATGTGGCTAAAAAACATTTTATTAATTTTAAAATAACCAAAAGTTGGACTGAATTTTAAAAAACAAAATTGTATATTAAATTGTAATGTTAACTTTGTAAAATAATTAAAAATAATTAAGTTTGAATTTTATCCCAATTGTCTCTGGAACTGTGTTAATACAATAAAAAATTTTGAGACCTTTCAATTGAGTTGATTTAATTTTTTATTTAACACTCTGTTAAATAAAAATAATAGTTTATAAATCTAAAACCTCCCAAAGAATGATGAAATTCCCTGAAAACAAGTTATAAATAGTTACTAAACATTTAACTTGTTAGAAGCAAATCCTGTAATCTTATTAAGTACTTAGGAATAAAAATTTGCAATATTTCTGAAGAAAAAAAACTACGTTCTAACTTTTAAAATCCCATAAAATTTGTGTTTTTAATTAAATACCCAGGTGGCCTGGGATTTTATTGTGCTAAATAGGGATAAAGATTTTAAGTTTTTACTTTCCAAAATGAAGTTGCAACATCAATTTATGCAACAGATGTATCAATGCAGTTAGAAAGAAAATCACAGGCATTTTTATGCAAACCGTGTATGTTTACAGAAATTTCTTTCATTCAAAATAAAACATGCTAAAAGAAAAACAAAAGTCAATATTATCTCAATTTGATTATCCATTTTATATCTGATCTGCACAAATATTTCTGAATGACTAATACTTGTCTAAAAATGAACATGCGAATCAAAAGCTACTTATTGCTTAGTTATTATATACAAATATTCAAAATCTATTAACTCTCACCTTTAAGTATTATATAAAATATTTTTGTTCTATAATTTTTAAGAAAAAGTATATTTTGATGGGATTTTTTCAATCAATAATTTATTTCAATAAGAATCTATTTAGGAATTTTAAAATGTAACGTTCTATATAAACTGAATGTTTCTTTCAAGAAAAAATGGTTTTAATAATTCATGTAAGAGAAATTCCAATTTTTGGATTATTAATTAGTTGTAAGAGCAGTTCAATGAACAATTTTTTTTTTCCTTTTTAGAATGGAGAGAAGACTCTAGCCATTGTTGAAACTGTTTTCCGTGACCTTGGGTATACTGTCCAAACTAATGATAGCCTGAATTGGGATGTTTTATGGTCATATACATATCCTTTTTATGTATTGGAGAAGGAATTATCTTCTTTGAAGTCTTATCAAAAGGTAAGAAGAGTAATACTATCATGTATGATTTCTAATTACTGCTTAATTTTAATTGTTGATTTATTATTTGGTCTGAACTTTTTAGGTAAATCATTTTCCAGGAAGTGGGTTTATCACTCAAAAGTCTAATCTTGCTTCTCTGAAGCTGAATAATATTCCAAAATCTTTCATTCTACCAATTGATAAAGAGCATTTTATTGAGTATGTAAGTATTGTTTTGAATCTTGTAATCGACTAATTAAATTGTTAAATGTTTTTCTGAAGGAAATTTTTTAATAAAATGATCAGATACTCTTTAACGATATAAGTATTAATGTCATAAAATGCAATGTTGGGAAGATTTCTGTATCAGTACCTGCAATATTAAGAAAGTTGTCAAATTTTGGTGACAAACTGGCATTGGCACATTCGAAATTGTAAAAAACATCTCAGAAAGAGATCTACTCAAAGATTATAACTTGTATCCAATCTTGGTCAAACCACTAATTTTTTTTATTTTTAGCTTTTTATAATTATATAAAACATTAGGTACCTTACTGTTAGTAGTCACTAATTGATACAGATACTGAAATATCCCCACAATATTGTGTATTTTATGAATAGTATTGTATGTGTCTTTACAAATGTAACAATATATAGTCTATATTGTATAGTCTATCTTTTATATGAATGACAAGCATTTGAAGAAACATACTTGTATTGAGATGATGTAAAACTTAGATTGCACACATTACTGTTGATGCTAAAATAAATGTATATAAATTATCAGTGACTTAGTAATTCTAATATACAAGCATAATGTAAAATATTTTTGTAGTATTTATTAAAGAGAAGCCTTAATTGTTGTTGAAATGAAAGTTATTTTTATTTTATGTCTCAGAAAGAGGTGTGTGATTTTTCAATTTTTTTTCTATGTGATTACTTTTTATTTTTAGAATTTTGTTTTATAAAACTTTGTTATTTATAGGCACAAAAAAATCAAAATAAGTCTTGGATCATGAAAAGTTCTACTCATCGATTTATGCATATAGTTAACCTAACTTCAAATTTAGACGAGAATGGAGTTTTTATTCAAGAATTTATTCAAAATCCTTTATTAATTAATAACAAGTAAGTATGAAGGTTTGATCAAATAACTGGTTAATATTAATTTTGCTTTTTTTACAATAGAAGTTATATTTTGTGAAAATGTTTAGGATTTCCATTTATCTCTATAGAGTATTTTTATGTTTATGATTGATGTATGCTGATGGTAATATATAAATGATTTCATTTGATCAGAGATATCAAGATGCTAAGATTATATTAATTTGTAAAAGTTTCTGTGAGATATTTTTGGGCCAGAAGTTTTTAAATTAAGTCCTGTTTATTTTTCATATTATTTTTATTGTTATAACTTATCCCTTAAGTTGTAGCTAATCAGTGTTTTAAGAAAAGTAGTGGAGAAAATGCTCACCAAAGTCTTTTCAAAATTTGATTTTAATTTGTTTTAAAATGCAGCTTGAACTTGTTGGAACACTTTTCCCATGCACCATTGCTTTATTCAAGAATTTATGCGAGAAGCACTGATTATGCAAAGTCAATGCCGCATTTGTTGTATAAAATTCAATTTAATTCAACCCTTTATATCCCATTGTCCTTTTTTCTTGTTAGTATAATTGTGAAATTGCATTAGAAACTCTTATGAAATATTTCTTTACGAAAATTTCTTTTACACTTTTTTTTCCCGCTTTTATCAAAGGCACAAGTTTGTTTCATGTTAAGTTTTTTCTGTTTTGTATCTGCTCAAAAAGAGTTTTTTGCAATGACCAGTAAAGTTTGAAGTCTGTTTAATTTTGAATTAATTAATTATTTTGTATTCTACATATATTTTAATAAATACTATTGTAAGAATTATGTTTTTCTTTTAATTTTTTATAAACTTAGATTTTAACAGTTTTTTTTTTTTTAACATTTACTGCAATTTTTTTTTATCCTTTTCAAATAAAATAAAAAAAATTTATCAAACAAAATGTTTTAGTAAGCAAAAAAGTTGATTCACCCTATCTGAAATACAAAATATTATTAAAATAGTTGTGACTAGGGCATTAATGTATTCAATTAAATTTTTAAACCAAGATGCAGAAATAAATATTTTATTTGTCAATAATTTATAGAGGTAATTATAGAGGTTTATTTGTCAATAATATATTTGTAGAATGTAAAAGTCTGAAGGTCATGATTTTGATCCCGGCAGCCAACTAAAAAACTGGCGTGTATACGCATCAAGGTGCACGCTAAATCTGTCATTGCTGAGATTTCTCTCATTGGTTTTCGTGTGGAAGTTTGAGAGAGAAGTACTTTTTCAAACACTGTCCACATCAAATTACAGTGGTCAAAAAATACACAGTGTTCCTACCATGACTGTTAAAAAGTAGAGCCCTGCTAGTCGAACTAGGTGCTTTGCCATAGTTAGGTGTGTGAATGTTTCATACATCAGAATTTAATTTAAAACTTCATGGAATGAACATATTCTTTCACGATATTTCACGCAAGCACTAATCAAGTAGTTAAGCTCTAAATTATAACTTAGCAAACATGTATGGCAAAACAAAATTTTTGGGCTTGAGCTTGAATAATTTTTCTTGTATTTGTTTTTTCTTCTGTGGAATGACATTTTTTTAAAACTTTCCTTATTAGTATTTTTGAAAGTCGCTTTCAGTTGTGAACGTATATTTCATATTAAGTTAAAATCAGACAATATTACTTAAAATTGAAAGGGTTAAGTATGTTCTGTTTCGTATGTTATGTCACTTGATTGAGGAAAACTTTGTTTTAATTTCAGAAAATTTGATATTGGTGTTTATGTCATACTTACAAGCATCAATCCTTTACGTGTTTATATCTATTCGGGAGATATTTTGCTTAGGTAAGTACATATACTGCAAATTATTTATTTAAATTTAAGATTTTAGTTTATTAATTTCAGTAGTATCAGCATTGCAGCCTCTGCTTCCTGCCGTCTGTGTGGGGGTAGTTCCATGAATGAAGAACTCCCTTGTGTGCACCAAACTGTAAAATATTGACACTAAGGATACTTTCAATTCTGATATTTTGCATTTTTATTGGTGAGCAAGATAGCTTATAACCGATTAACCCAACCTGGGTGTAGGTTAAAAAAAATCAATTTTTTTTATATAATCTTTATTTTTTTCTTTAGAGTAAGAAAAAATAAAAATGTATTATCAATTTGCGAGTAGATCTGTGTTTCCATTCTTAATAATATAGTTTTTGCTTTATAGTCCTGTTACACATGGTTGTGATAGTGCTGACAACTTTAAGACACACTTGCAAAATGTTTTAAAGGATCTTCTTCAAAAAATCAATAAAAAATTAATTCATTACATTTTTAGTAGTTGATTTCTTATTTATATTGGTCAATTTGTTTCTTTATTTTTTTAAGAAATTCTATTAGTAAAGATTTTGTATTGTAAATTCGAAGTTTAGTATGAAAAATGTATTTCAAATTCACTACTGCCCACGAAATAAAATATCAACACACTTAAATAAAATAAATGAGCATAATTTTTTTGGTTAAATATGGTAATAAAAATAATGGACTTTAATTCTTGATAAGAATAATAAAACTTCCATGTCATTGTGGTTGACATATATTTATTTATGAAATAATTTTTTTTTCTTGCAAAAAAAATATATATATTCGCCAAAAGCTCCAGGATTTATTACCTTCATCTTTTGTATGGTTGAAGATCTTTGGTATGAAGGATATGAAGTAGATCTTTGGGTCATTATATCAACACCACTGCCTCCCATTTGTTCTACATTGTTATTTTTATCAGGTGGTCTCTAAAAAGTGTAGTTTAAGAACGATCCAGGCCCGTAGAGTAAACAAGGAATTGTTGCCTGTATTAGCGTTATAACTGCAGAAATCGGAGTATTGCTAGGAATTTTTTAACTTGTGCTTAATTCACTTGCTTGAATCCTGTATTGCAGCTGGTGATTCCTTATTCGAGCACTTGTTACAAAGTTTTCTATAATAAAGATTGTTTCCTCCTATTATTGTCGTTATTGTATTTCCCATTTTCACTATGTAAGTACAATCTCTCTCCTTTGCCTTTCAGACATCTCAAAGCTAGAAAAGAAAGCTTTTTTTTTTCAGACAACACGAAGCTATTTGTTTTGACAAGCCATTAATTTTTACCATTAATTATTACCATAATCATTACCATTAATTTTGTTACACACTATATGAAGGTACCTTTGATTATTATAAAATAAAAACTAATTAAATATTTTAGAAGAGTAAATTATTTCTGTAAAGAGGTACATATAGTTTAACTCTTACATATATTACATATAAAGTTATATATACAAAACTAATTAAATATTTTGGAATAGTAAATAATTTTTTAAAGAGTTACATATGTAAAATATTATTTAACTATATATCAGTTAAATAATATTCAATATTTGATTGTGAAATTCAATTAAACAAAGTTAGTGCTTTGATTTTGTTATGAAACTCAATATAAGTGCCTTATAGTTATCAGTTATTGTTTTAGTCTTAAATGTGTCAAGTTTATTTTTATTTTGTTTCAAATTTAGTAGAGAAAATTGTTTTTTGTATTAAATTTGTTGTTTCACATGCATTAAAAATAATTTCACAATGAAATATTTTTTATTTCTGTCATTTATAGGTTTTGCAAAAAAGACTACTATCCTCTGAATTTATCATCGCCTGAATCTTACATTGTTGGAGATGATTATTTACCAATTTGGGAAGTATGTATTGTTTTAGGGCTTTTGTCTTTTGATCTCAAACTTAGTTTCATCTAGGGCTTCGTTGCTTTAATAAAATTCTACTTATAATAATTTTTTCAACAGATAATTTGGTAAAAAATTTCAACTCATTTTCAACCTATTGAAAATTGAACCTTATTATTTTATTATAACTTCATGCATTTATTGCTTTTATTATGGAGTTAAAAAAGTATAATAATTATATTACATTTTTGATTTAAAATACTTTAAAAATTGTTTTTGTGTCTTTATTTTTTCTGATTTTTTTATTTATTATATTAGTTTTATTTGTTTTGTCATTTAAATTTGAAAGAATTATCATATTAGACAATGTTTGAATTTATAAGTAAGTTATTTTGACTGTATTTTAATCCAGGTACCTGATTTGCAGTTTTATTTCTCAGAATTAAATTACACAGCAAAAGAATCATTGAATGCGTATCTCCTAAAACAAGGTACTTTTTTACCATTTTACTGTAATGTTAAAAAATAGTTCATGCTTCAATGTGCTTATTTTTTTTTAAAAATATTTTATTCTTAATTGAAACACGATCTTGAAATATTAGAAATAAACATTTTTCTATGTTTCAATGTTTTATTAAATGTCCAGGACACTCAAAAAAATTTCACTGAACAATGTATTCCTAAATAAATATAAAAAAATTATTAAAGTTATTTCAAATTTCGTAGATTTAAAAATCCTTATCAGATAATACAATACTGTTCTGATAAAGATTCACATTGATCACATTTTATGAATTAGAAAACTACAAGTTGAACTGGTTAAAAAAAACTTCAGTGCTTTAAGTATAAAGACAAAATAATGTGTGAAAACAATTTTGATGAGTTAAAATGATGCAAACACTGTTGCGCTCATTTTATTCACCTGTAATTCCTCTTTGTTTATCAGTTTTATATTGTTATAAATTGTCTTTTTGGTTAATCATTTATTATACATTCTTTATTTCTTATATTACGTTCCCTATTTAAATTTTTAGAGACCTTCAATTAAGAAGAGTACCAAATATTTTATGAACAGACTTTGTTAAAATTTTGAAGTGTAAGATTCATATAATGCTGATAATATTTTTCATATTTAGCTAAAAGTTTTTTCTTCTAAAAACTTTTCGATTAACCCAAGTATATTTAATTATTTGGCAATAAGAGGCAAAAAATACTACTACTTTAACTTTACAGAATATCAATTTTTTCAACTGAACCAGCTATGGAACATTTTTTTTGCATAAAAAATGTTCATAATTAACAATTGTTTGTGATTTTTACAGTACAAAATTCTCTACAACTACAACAAGAATAAATACTGTTCTCACGGAGTTAACGTATCAGTGTTCATAATTATCCTGTATCTCCTCTCTTAATATTTAATGATAAAAACTCAAATGTAAATTTCTCTAATCCGACTAACTAATCACCATTTTTTAAATCAGAACTTAATATTTTATCAACATTTGTAACAATTTGATATTAAGTTCTTTTTTTCCAAATGCTGATAATTATAAACACTTTCTCTTGCTAGTATCGAGTGCCAAAAATCGAATAAAAATTTAGGTGTTAAAATAGTCTTTTGTATGTGGGAAAAGAGGGGAAATTATTTCTTTGACCTCCAGTCACGCCATCTCTCTTCATACATCTACATCAATATTGTGTTTGAAGATCTGAAAGTACATACATATAAGAAAAAATATCAATAGTTTAATACATTGTCAAATAATGTCAATATTTTGTGAATGAGAATCCTTTAAAAATTGTACAACAGACTAAGTCTAACTTAAAAGGAATAATGATAAATCACTTATGTAGAAACAATGCCATATGTCATAAACACAAAATAGGCATTGTTATAATTTTTTTTCCATAAAGAATGAATAAACTTTTACAACCTTTTTAAATATTGTCCTTGGTTGTTTCAAAATTAAGCTGCATATATATTTTTTGTTTAAAATATATATTTATAATCATAATTGTTCATTAAGTTTTATAGAATTTTAATAAATTATTTTCCTTTATAATTACTCTTCTAATTAAGTAAGGATGTGAAAAATATGTACGTCGATAATCACTTATGTAGGAATTATTTTTTATAATAATTATTATTATTATAATCACTTATGTAGAAAAATATTTTGTAATAGCATTTTAATAAACCATTTTTGCCTTATAATTATTTATTTAATTAGGTATGGTTGTGAAAAATATTTATGTAGATAATCACTTATGTAGAAAAAAAATTTGTAATAGGATTTTAATAAATTATTTTTGTTTTATAATTAGTTTTTTATAATAATAATTATTATTTTTGTTTATTATAATTACTTATCCAGAAAAATATTTTGTAATAGCATTTTAATAAATCATTTCTGTTTTATAATTATTTTTCCAATTAGGTATGGATGTGAAAAAAATGTGGCTTCAAATTCATGAGGCTATTCAAGATGTTTATTATGAAACAGAAGATAATTTAAAGTACAGTTCTTCAATGTTCTCAAATAAAAGGTAATAATTTAAATCCAGGTAAAATTTGTGTTTTTCTTATTTTAAAAATACATTCATGTTTCTCCTTTCAGAAATTTCTTCGAATTAGTGAGGTTTGACTTTATAGCAGATGCAGAACTTAATGTGCATCTTTTGGAGGTAATTTATTTTTGAAATATTATTATTTTAGAAGATTAATGATTTTTTTGTTCAATTTTTATACATGCTACATATTTATATTTGATCAGTATCATGAAGTCAATTTAGATCAAAAGCAATAGTTTTTGTACTCACAAGTGACCTTAGTCAATTTTTAAGGTGTTATAACAAAAACAATAATCAAATGTTCATAGGATTTTTTATTTGGCATAAATTACTTAGCACTTTTTTCTTTTGAACTGCATCATTGACAGCATGTTTCATTGACATTTGAGCTTTTTTTTTTTTTTTAATGACATAAAAGTACTTTCCTTTATTTCTTATATAGAAGAGTTACATTATTTTGTTTCTTTTTATTTAATTAATTTTAATTCAGTAAAATATAATTTTTGGACTTAAGCTGCATTTCTTATTTTCATAAATTTTTCATCTTTTTCATAGAAAAGGTTTTTTTTTGGTGCTTTTCATCTCATTTATTTTAAAAACACTGTTATTCTATAATATAATCAAACTGGAGTTATTACTGAAAGTAAACCACTGAATAACAGTTTTATAAAACTATTTCTGATGATTAACTTTATCACTAAGCTATCAGTAAAAGATCACTGAAGGTCTAAATAATTGTCTTTTAAGATTTATGAGCAGAAAAAAAAAGTGTAGGGAGATACATTATTAGCATTAAAAATTTAAGCTTCATTCTCTATTATCCAAGTATAGTTTCATTATAAGTCTGATTAAATTATATAAGTATAATTCAAAAGTTTTTTTTATTTTATTGCAAAGGCAGTGAAAATTAACACTAAATGGAATGCGTGCTATAAGGGCAAAAACTGTATTTACATATATCTTGACTTTTTTATTTGTTTTGATTCATAAAACAACCATATTTAAAAAATAGAAGATGTGTTTGCATTTTAAAATTTCTCTATATTAAAAAAAGTTATTGCCATCACTGCCATTTTAAACGATTTTCACCATGAGCATTTCTTATTCTCATAGTGTGATGCAGGGCTGATTGTGCTCCGGAAAAAATCCGGATTTCCGGATTTTTCGCTAACAGTGATCCGGAAGTTTCCGGATATCGAAGGTCCAGACTTTTCAAAAAATTATTGATCACAGAATTTCCGGAAATCAAATTTTCAAAGGTGGAACTTAAAAACACAGTTTATTTGTTTGTAAGGGAGAGCCAGTTACTTTATAAGCTTATATTCATGATTAATATTTATTTTTTTATCAGTAAATAGTTATTATAATCATAAACACAAGAAAGAAAGACATATTTGTAAATTTTAATTACTTCTCCAGGTCATCATAGGTATGTGTAAATGGTATAGGTATGTGTAACTCAGGAAATTTTCCGGAATTTCGACTTAGGCCCACAATCACCCCTGGTGATGAAAAATGTGAAATTTTGCTCATTTTTAGAGAGTCTATTCTAGTATAAAAATTTTTATCCATGAAAGCATTAGTTTTTTTTATGTCACAATTATTGGTTTATTCTTTGTGTCATATTATTTAGTTTAGCGAGAACTATTTGCGGGAGGAATATTATTTTTTGCAATTATGTGCACCTATGGTCTCATAACAAGTCTCACTTCGTTTCAATTCCGCATTAGTTTTGAAGTAATTGAACAGCTTTTTAAATTTTTATATATTTTTTTAGATTATTTGAAGTTAAGGTAAATAATTAAATTAAAGGGAAGTATGGAAATTCAATTAAATTATAATTTTTGGTATTCATATGGTAAGATAATTTTTTTTTTTACTTTTAAAGTAATTAAATTTTAAAGTTATTGTTTTAAATTTTTTTAGGAAAATGAACAACAAAAAAAACGTTTGGAATTATTTTATTCGGGTGGCTTTCTGTTAATATTTATGCAAATAAAAATGGAGAGTTTTAAAATTCTCCCTCTGATTCTTTAAATTTCAATAAGATTACTTTTCATTCTTTAATGAACTTCTGGGTTTGGCAAAATGCTAATTTTTTTGCATGAGAGAAGGTGAAGTATAAAATTCAAACCACAGAAGGGAATAATAGTCTGTAAAGTTATTGGGATTTCAAGTTTTATGTCTGAGGAATAACCATCCTATCATTCTTGTTGTTTTACAAGTTACAAATAAAGGAATATTTGATACAATGCAACATAACATTTAACTATTATCCAATTATTATTTTGATTGAAAAATTTGAATTTTAGGTAAATATGTCACCAAATCTTTCACCAGCTCACTTTTCTCAAAACGCTTTGTTGTATGAACAAATTGTTTTAAGCACATTGAACATTGCTGGCTTTGTCAGAAAGTTTCCTACAGTAGCACAATACAGGTAATTTTATAAGTAATATAAAGAGAAAATTTTTTATTCTTTAAAAATTATTTAGTTTACTTGAGTTTAATTATTCTTATTTTATTAGTAGTTTTATTCATTTATTAAAACATGCCGGCCAGGTGCCCCAGCATGCTCGACTGTGAAGCCAATGGTTGCGGGTTCCAATTCCGCTCAGGGGGTGAATGTTTTTCGCTGTGTAGTGTGTTAAAGTAGCCTGGTGTAGTGTCTTAAAGTAGCCATTATCAATGGCAGTTTGCCATTGATAATGTTACTCGCCTCCGTGACTTAGGTTCACACATGCCCACTAGGTAACATGAAATGAGCAACACTTCTGCAAAGAACGAAAGTTCAGCCCCTGTCATTGCATATATGCCGCAATGTATATATATATTAAAATATAATACATCAAGATTATTGCTGTTCATTTGATCTCTCAGCTGAAAAATTTAGGTTCAAGCTGAAAAGTTTATTTGAAAAAAAAAATTAAAAACTATTGTAAAACTAAAGTTTACTTTTATAGAATTATTTATATTCCTTCTAATTACTATAAAATTAATAACGTTAAATTTTAAAAAATCGTTATATTTTAAAATTTTTAAACGTATGTTAAAAATTTTAACATAAGTTTCATTTATTTAGCAGAAAAAAATTGTTTGAAGGTTATTATTTATATTTTCATTTTAAGTTTTATATTATCATATATTTGTCGTTTTTTTTTCAATAATTTTTTGCTTGACTAATAAATTTTCTTAATTGCTTTTCTTTTTTAACATAGTATTCTAAATTTCAAAACATTTTGAAGCTTTTGCATCTAATCTGTTTGTTTTATTATTAATGGTTTATGCTGATAATTAATGTTTATTTTTTTTAAAAAAACAACAACTCATATTTGGCATTTTGGTCTTGTTTTGAAAATTTGTCTAATGTCTATTTTCTAATTATTTTAACATTTGGTTTTGGGCTCTCGTTTGATATGGATGGCTAACCCACTCACCGTATAGTTGAAGATACGAGTTTAAAAAAATCAAGCCTGATGTTTGTTGCATACATTTCTTGTACAGTGGAGAAGCAGAAGTATCTGAGAAAGACCTTAATGTATTTCCTGAACAGTGTTCTTCTCAAATTTGTTTTGCATCATGTAAGGCTTTGGTAAGCATGTTTTAAAGTTGTTTCAATATTTACAGTAGATTACTTTTTAATCAGCCTAAATATAATAGCAATCCAGATAGTGAGCATTTTATGCAGCTGATGTTGCTTTTTCCTCCAGAGACTGTAAAAAATTTATTTGAAATTACACTAAATTGATTTTCATATTTATAGCAAAACTTCATTTACTTAAAATATCTTCTTCAAATAATCGAAACTTTACTGATATAAATGTTCAAAGGCATGGATAATACAAGTCTTTCTTTATAATATTCACACTTATAAAAATGCATTACTTTGCATAATGAGATTTAACATGTTCTTACATAAATATAGCAGGAAAGTATTTTTTTAAAATTAGATTTAGATTAATTTTACGATAATTTTTTTTTAAAAATAAAATTATTATTTGGCATGACCTTACCAAGATGCCTTTAAAGAAACTATAAGATGGAATAAGGTTTAAAATATGTAGAAATACTCAGTAGAAACAAGACAAAAGGATTAAGTGAAGAAAAAAATAGTTTTGAAATTGATTTGATTTATTTAGAGATATAAAAGAAACAAAGAGCTAATTTTAAAGTTTAAACATATAGTAATTGAAGTGTTACTACTACATGTTTAGTTTTTTAAATAATTGCGGAAAATCGTAGTGTTTTAAAAAATTAAAAGAATCATCAAAAGGTGCAACTAGTAAAATTTTCATTTTATGACCTGACTAAGTTAAATGCTAACTGAGCTTAAATCCAAAATATAAATATTTTCTTTATAAAAACCACTTGTTGGCTCTGAATGTAAACCAAAACCAGTTCTGAAGCGTGCAAAGAGGTTTTCCTTTTTTCTTAAATGTACAAAGCAAAACTTGTTGCGTAGCAGAATTGGTTGAACTGCTTCACTTGCTTCCGAGATCACATTATTTATGAGGAGGCAAACATAAACATCAAACCAAAACAGTTAAGAAACTCCACCCTGTTGTTGTGCATTGTTATGAGTACTTTTTTTACTGTACTCTTAATGTAAGCAGTTTGAAATATTTTTAATCTGCCTAGATAAGATTACAGCTATAAATAATTCTTTAAAAATTCAAAGGAGTGATTGGTTAAATACATTTATAAGATGAGATTTAGTTTTTTGTCCATATTGTTTCATTAAAATAATATAGATTGGAAAAGAAAACTAAAATGGCTTTTTATTTATAATTGTTTGTTGAAAAAAAGTTGCAAAATTCATAATGCAATTCATACAATCTCATAATTAATAATAAATTTATGGCTCTCTAAATTGGTAATGCAAATGTGTAGGAAAGGGATGTTTTGTTTTTACATTAATTATTGGATTCTTTCCACAAAAGGATTCTTTCTGCAAATTCTAAATTTTTTATGAGGAAAGTTTAAAACATTTAAAAGTGTATAACATCTACAACCTGAAACAAAAAAAGTGTTCCAAACTCTTAAACTTTTGTATTATTACTAATACATCCATGATTGAACAAGTTGAAGTTATTTATCTTATTATCCTGCTTATTAGTTGTGCAATGAAATAAGAATAACTATATTTTATTTTTTTAAAAACTATGCTCATAAAAAAACTTATTTCCCAAACATTTAGCACTGCAAGGTTTGCACTCAATGTTTGACTGATGATATCAAAGGAGTCTTCAAAACTGCTTATGAGGAATTTATTAACCGAGGAAAATATCGGAGACTAATACCACCACCATCTGTAAGTGTGCATTTTTATTCTAAAAATTAGGTTAAATAAAAACTAAAAAATTATTTTATCAGAGTGTGTACCAACAAAAGACTAAGGGGCATATCTACATCCATCAGAGAAAATCAACATAATTTCATTAAAAAATAGAAAAAATTCATTTTTAAAAACATGCTTTTTCATCTTAGCAATAGATTTTGTTTAACAGAAGCACAAAGTGTTTTCACTCACATTGTATTCTTCTTTACTCATTGTCAACAATATTATGCACATCATTCAGTAAAATTTTTTTTAAAAATTAATTTGATAAATAAAATGATTAAAAATTATGACGTTTTTGCTTTTGAATTTTTCTTTTTACCCTTTAAACATGGCAGTTATCATGATGAAACATGTCAATCCGGTTCACTTGTTGTACTAGCAAAAGGTTAAAATGATTTTAAATTCTTTTATTGAAGTATTAAAGATTATGCACTAAACATACATAATAGATTATATACTAAATATATCCTGTCTTACTAATAAAGGTGCAAACTTAATGGAGGATGTGACAATATAAAAAATAATTTTTTTATCATAATACATGGAGTGGGAAATTTAAAGATTACTATAAGGATTTTATATCATTGCATAAGATTAAAGCATTTAAAGGCTATTACTTTTTTCTGAAAATTTTATGTAATGCCATTAGCTTTCATTTATTTATTTATGCATATATATATTTTACTGATCAATAGCCTCTTGTATGTAGTGATTTCCCACTACAGTTGTAACTCCATGTTCATTAGCAAAAGTTTAAGCAAAATTACTAATCTTTAAACAGATAATCATGAAATTAAAACCACAAAAATATACTTTAAATTATTTTTATTTGTTTGTTCCAAATAGGTTAATATAACAAAACTGTACAAACGCTTTCTGATGTAGTTTAAGATTTATACAATTTTACAAGCACCATATATGATCAATAATTTATGAATTCATTTTATGTTAAATAAAAAAATTTCATTGTTTTTAGGTAGAAAAGCAGGATCAAAGAAATAAAAGATTCTTAAAATTTTCGATCGTGAATTCTCTGATGGCCATTTGGTTTGAAGGAAAGTGCTTACAGGACGTTTCTTGGTGCTACTAAAACTTTATAAACATGAGATCAGTGACTAATTTAACTTAGTGTGAAATTTCAGTTTTTATACTTATTAAACTAATAAAGTTCACAAACAAACATATTGCTTGAATTTCTTGTCAATTTTTAAAAAAATAACATGGTGCAATCAACATTGAAATACAATTTTTTTTAGTGAAATTAACTGAATAAGATAATACAAGGAAGATATTGTATATTTACAAAAATATACTTGGGCATGACTTCTTAAAACAAAAGTTACAGAACCCTAGCCAAGCCTGTGGAAGGGTCTGAAGTTATGATTACAGCTTAAAAGGCAAGAAATTTTAGGATATATTTTTAATAAATATCAAAAGGATAACATTTTAAACAAAAGTTTGGCTATAAATAATAGTAATTATTAATACTTGTTTTTTTATGATTTTTTATTAAATAAACAATGTTTTTTCAGATTAAATTTTTTACTGACAGGCTTTGGAATAAAAATTCATTGTATGTGTTTCCTCTGCAAATCCAACCTTGTAACATATCAATTATACCTTTTCTTTTAACATATTAATAAAGACTTTCATGACCAATAATTGCACTTGAAATTCAAATGCAGAAAACTAGCCCATAAAATTATCTTCTATTAATTTCTAGGAATGATTTTAATTTTTTTTGATACAAGAATGGTTTTAAAGTATCAGGTCATATTCCAGATGTTAAGGAAACTTATAACTACAGAGTTAAATAAATATAACTAAAAACATAAAATTTTATTCATAAAAGTTAAGAACAATGTTATAATGTATAGATAAATTTTTAAATAAGATTAAAAAAAAAAAGGAGCTTCTAAAATAAATATCATAAAAATAGAGTTGCATGAATGCATCTGTGTGCATTTCAAAGATATGCTTCAAGCTATAAGTTTATTTTAATATTTGAAAGAAAAAAAATTAAAAAAATTACAATGATAAATTTTATTAAAATTTTCATTAACAATCATTGGGTTAGAATAGCACAATAACATTTTTAAGTATAAGTAGAAATATGATAAAGATACAAATATGTATAATATTATGAGATATAATATTATGAGTATAGATATTATGAGTAAAATTTAATTACTTTTTATGTAATAAATTAATAATAATTAAAATTTAAAATTTCAAGCTACTAGATTAAAAACATCTGACTAGTACATTACATTTATTATTCATAAACTAAATAATCTTCTTAATTTAATAAAAAAAATGATAGAAATTTATTTTCAATTTCATGCCATTTATGTTTATAAAGCATGTAATAAAATTAAAATTACACAGAGTGCTCCAGCAATAATAAGAAATGGGAGCCAAGTTTTCAAAAAACCACCAAAACTAACATATTTCCCATGCACCAGCATTAAAAAACAAAGCTTAACCATATTCCAGGATGTACTTTCTTCATATTGCATGGTGTTCAAAGCATATGCCACATGAGAATGACAATTGTCCCAACACAAATTATGCGTTCTTCCTTTATAAACATCAGAAGCTTCTGATACACCAGTGTCCCATCCATTTTTGCCATTTCTAGCTTTTTCTGGAGAAAGTTGCCAATACTTTGTAGGTTTACCAAATGCCATATCATCCTCTGATACATAGTATGGCCCAGCAAAATCTCTTACAATGCCAGAAGACATAGCTATACCCATGTGTCCTACTATCGGGAAGAGCCATGTTAAAATGGGAATTGGAGTCCAAACAATACAGAAAGGGTAACGTACTCTTGTATGATCCATTAGGGGTGATGAACAATCTTCAGTATCTGCATCACAAATGGAATTTATAGAATTTTTCTCGCTATTTTGCATAACAATGAGATATCCAGATTAGATAGCAGCTTAAATGAGAGAAAATTGAAATGTAAATATATTGAACAGTTTTAATAGTGTACAATATGCAAAAAAGAGACACTCTGAATAACTTTGTATTTAATGATTGGATTTTTACGGTCGATTTTAATTTTTGGAGGGTAGCAGCTATCTGGAAAACATGGTCTTGATAGTTTAGTCATGAGAGAGTTCAAAATTTCAGACCCTCACAATATTAATTTTACTAATTGCATATTTCTGCATACCTTGAGAACTTTTTAAGTAATTCTAAAAATGTGTGCACATAATTAAAAAATTCGTTTATACAAAGATATTTCGATGAAAAAACAATTTTTAATAAATATTTATTATTATTTTAATAAAAAAGATGTATACAAATTTTGACATCATTTCAGAGATTGTTAATTTTCATGGCAAAATACAAAATTAGTTGAATAGTCTCTGAGCTACCAAATCTAATAAAGAATTTTATGTTCACAAGAACTATTCAAAAAAAAAAATTTTTTTTTAATTTTGCATTTTGTCTATTGAAATGACATTCTTTAAAATGATTTAAAAATTTGTATGTCTTAAAATTCAAAATTTTTAAATTACTATTAAATAAAATAATAAATAATTAATTTTTGGCATAGAATTATCTTTGGATAAGTGAATTTTCTAATTGCAAAAATTGTTTTGATTCACTCACAAAGTTCTTGAGATATGTCGAAATACACAAAAAATAAAGTTAACATTAAGGGGTTCAAACTTTCAACTGCACTCCTGACCAAGCTATCAAGATCATATTTTCCAGATTACAGAATTTGAAGGTAAAGAATTTAAATCCTGTGAAACAAAAGGTAAGTTAATTCAAAAAATTGTTTTTGGATATATCTTAAGCATATTTATTGTCTCTTTTTAATTTGCGCATTTTACTAATATATGAAAATTATAATAATTTTGCAAAAAATCTTTTGTTGAAATAAGTGATTTCAAATAAATGTAGTGATTTAATTCATTTTAAATTTGCATGCCCTATAAATAATTTAGGAACTAAAAGTTCAAACTGATCATTGGGTCATAAAACCAATCTGTCAAATGATTTCAGATAGCTGTTTAAAAAAATCTGTTTAACAGGGGATAACTCAGAATGAAAAGGAATGATCAAAGCAATTGGTAGTTTTAAAGAGTGTCTTCAAATACCTGAAGTCGCAAAACTTCCAAAAACAGTTCTACTAATTTCATTTTAATAAATATGAAAAATATTATTGTACAGTAAGACCTTGATTATTATGAATAATTAGGTTTAACAGCATTCAGAATATAATGTAAAGGGTTAAATATCTACTTGCCATCGGCAACCAAATTATTAAGGTTAGCGAGTAGTAACAGAGTTTGGCACCAGGGCAGCAATCGAAAGATGGTATTTTTGATATTTTAATTTCCTCTATAAGCAGCCCCAAATTACGCAAATAATCCGCAGTAATAAGCAGAGATGGCTGGGCCATTTATGGCGAAGCCTGGAAAATAGCGCCATGAGAATCGTCGCCTTTAAGAACCCCGAGAGGTCACGTCCCAGAGGTAGACCTCATACTAGATGGCTCAGCGACATCAAAAATTACCTGGAAACCCGGAAGATTAGAAATTGGAAGAGAGTTGCCATGGATAGGAGGCGCTGGTGTTTGTCAGCTCTGGAGGCAGCTAAGACCTGCAAGGGACTGTTGAGCTGACAAAGAAGATATTATTTCATTCATATGTTGATGAGAAAAAGCGCTTGAATAAATTTATGATAAATATTATTGAAGAAAATAATTCTCATCCATCTTCCCCTCTCACAATGATGATTCATCTTGACTTTGTTCAGACATTAATACATCATTAATAAATTGTAGACATTAATAAATCTTTGCAGTTGTGTTAATGATTGTTGTTAATTTATGTCGCACTAGAGCTGCACAATGGGCTATTGGCGACGGTCTGGGAAACATCCCGGAGGATGATCCGAAGACATGCCATCACAATTTTGATTCTCTGCGGAGGGGGTGGCACCCCCGCTTCGGTAGCCCGATGACCTTCGCGCAAAGTCCAACACTTTACGGTAGCACAGTTTAATGAGGACCAATACCGCACACCCTCGGTCCCTACGCAGACTGATCCAGGAGGTCACCCACCCGCACACTGACCGCAGCCAGTGATGCTTAACTTCGGTGATCTGCTGGGAACCGTGTCTTAACGATCAGTTCACTGCGGGACTTGTGTTAATGAATACCGAGAAAAAAGATGTGATAACATATTATAAAAAAAGTAGATAAGAAAAACTAAATAAATATGCTAAATTATTTAGATTTTATTGGAATACATACAATGGTGTCATAAAGAACACAACAAACTTTTTTAAATAACATAATGCAAAGTTCCCCCTAAGAATAAAAAAGGGCAGGGTGCTTCCCCACAGAAAAGGGCACTTTGAATTTTGAAATGGCACTTACTTAACACTGTAAAAACTTGCGTAATATTATGTGATGACTGAATTTGGCCCTCAACAATTTTTAAATCCTCTCATACTATTTTATGCTTATATTTCAAAAAGTGATTCTCACGCATTATCGAAATAGAAGAAAAATTTGTATTTTATAAAAAATAAATAGCGGCATGCTAAATGACAATCTCTATGCATAATTTTTTTCAGGTAGGTACTTTAATTTATTCACGTCGCACTAGAGCTGCACAACGGGCTAATTGCGACGAAGGCATGCCATTGCAATTTTGATCCTTTGTAGAGGGGATGGTTCCCCTGCTTTGGTAGCCCGATCACCTGTGAGCAAAGTCAAGCACTTAATGGTGCCAATGATGCTTGACTTTGGTATTCTACGGCATCGGGGAACTGAGTCTTTATAATCAGTTCACTGCAAGAAAATTTTTTTTTCAAAATAAAAAGTAAACTTAACAAATGATTAATTGATAATCATCTTAAAATTGTTTCTGTAGTTTGAACTGAAAATTACAAGAAAATGTACACTCAAAGGTGCACTTTCAAAAAAATAAATTTAAAATCACTTAAAAAGTTTTATTAATCTATCACCCCCCCCCCCCAAAAAAAAGAGAAACTTATAAAAATTTAACCAGTTCAGAACAATCCTAAGAAAGTAAATATTTGTAATAGTAATCATAATTAAACCTATAAACCCAGATAATTTGACCAATGTGTAATTATTTTTTGTACAGTATATTAATTTTTTTTAAAAAATGGCATATGAGTATAAAGGCAGTATTTTTAAGGTTTGGTGGCTTATTTTTATAAAACGGACAAAGACGATGCTTTTATAGGGCTCAAATTACAGGCAAGGCGGATCGCCCATCTAAATACGCGTAGGGAGAACACTGCGTAATATTCAAACACTATGTTGGTGTTGCTGAATAGCGCCCTATGAACCTTTAAATTCGACTTAAAGGCTTAACTAAGACTTTGTTAGTAATATAGGGCGACAGATCAAGATAAGGAAATATCCCCAGCCTATGCAATTTAAATTATTCAAAGCAAATCTATCTTGATACTATATTTTCTAACACATAGAATTACTATTCTTAAAGTAACTTTCAGCTTAAACTTTCAGGGTAATAATAGTATTTTATTTTCACAACAAATATGAAAAACTTATTCCGTATAAATACAAAGTTGGATACATATACTAAATTTCTGTTATGAACTGAGCAAACCTAATAATTTTCACAGATCAGTAATTCAAAAACTTGGGAATATTTTAATCAGCACACACACATATAATCCGGAATATTATAAACTAGCTTACCTATTCGTTATATAGAATTATATTCTCTGATGTTCCTCTTATTTCAAGTGCAAAACAAAACAAGATTAGAATTTCTTTTCCTTTTCCGGTTACCTATTTCTGTTTAATAAAATAACCTTACGTGCAGCCAATACAGAAGAGTTCTCATCAGATGCCATATTAAACACACGCTATTGCACAGCTTTAGTATAAGCGTGCTATAAGCAAGAACTAATTTAATGTAACAGGACGCCTACTGCTAAAATTCTGAGTAAAAAGTCGCTCAACACCGCCACTCGGGGACGAAAGGGTCATTCAAAAATTATTGTTTATCTGCATTAATTGCGGGAATAATAAGCAATTAATATGAGTTTTCTCATAACCAACATGGCTTCTAAGAGAGTCATGAAGAAAATGACATCTCCTATATTCCTGCAATCCTTAGCTGCTTTTCATGGTAAAGCTAGAATAGGTAATAGAGATGTTGTGGGATTTGGAATGAATGGTTCTTACACTTATATTGATCGAGTGGATTACCCAATGCCTGCTATTCGTTTTAGAGAAAATACTGCTGATTCTAAAGCTCTGAGAGAGAAAGAAAAAGGCGACTGGAAAAAGTTAACCCTTGAGGAAAAGAAAGCATTGTACAGGCACAGTTTTTGCTTAACTTTTTCTGAACAGAGGGCCCCTACTGGTGACTGGAAGTACATGATCGGAGGTACCTGTGCCTTTATGGGACTCATGCTGTGGGCATATTATCTATTAAAGCTTTATGTGTATCCTCCTTTGCCTTGGTCGATGACACCGGAACATCAGTCTAAAATGTTGGAAAGGATGATTCAGCTTCGTGTGGATCCAATTGATGGTCTAACTTCAAAATACGATTATGAGAATAATAAATGGAAAGATTGAACTCTGTATTCTTCTGTCCTGCTAATGTAGTAGTTAAGATATGTATGGTAAAAATTGATTCTGTTATTAAATTAATTAATAAAGTGCTCTAAGTGGAAAGAATGTCTTTCTGTATTTTGCATGTTTTCCTTTTTATTGCAAAAAGTAAAAAAACTAAACATAGTAATGAGAGATTGTGAGCAGTTTAATTCTTTAATTTGAGTTTTAATGTTTGAACTTCTATGTTGGACACATGCTTAGCTTAATAATGCTATAGAGATATGTAGGTAGCAAATAATGATCACATTTACATTTTAAGTTTAATATATCTAATCATTCATTATTGTCAGTCCTGACAAATAATTAGCGTAGTGGTTACAATACTATGCTGGTAAATGTTTATTCTATTTCATAAAGTGTTTTATAACAAAAAAAGTATTTCTAAAATTAGCATATTTTTTCTTATTGCAAGAACTAGCATATTTATGAAAGATTATTTATAGTCTAATTCTGTCATTTGAGTTATAACATTTGAACACCTGACTAGCGTAATACTTCACTATTCTAGTTGCAGAATTTAAAAAAGTCCAGGCTTTTTTCAAAAAAATCCCTTCCCCTTTGGTTTTTTGTCTAAAACCCAATCTTTATTAGGGTTTTGATAAAAGGCTTGGGGGTTTTATTTTCAGAAATATATAAAATTTTTATTCTTGTGTCCTTAATAAGATTTCTGGTTTGCTTCTAACATGAAAGTTAATATAACTTGTTATTATAACATATTACTACTATTTACTTACTATAACTTGTTTTGTTACAATGTAACCTTTTTTGGGAGAGAGATGTTAGATTGCTGCACTGTATTCTTAACAACGAATAGATTTTTACAATTCAATTTACCCAATTGGAAGACTAAAACTTTTTATTGCTCTACACAGGCTCAGCTTCAAAGTATATTTAAATAAAATTTAAACTTCATCATTTTGTTCGGTTACTATTTCAAATTAATGTACACCTTTGTTTTTTAAATTCCTATTCAACTATTGGCTACGATAAAATCAGATGTTTTTCTCCAAATTGTTAAGTAATGTGTAAAGTTAATTCATAATAAGAGTGTTGTATTCATTATTTAACTTGCTTATTTTGATTGGGAACAGTTTTGTAAAAAATTCATAATTAAAGTCATAACTTATTTTCTATTTAATAATTACATAATGATTAAATTGCTTACCTTTTTTCCAATATAGATTAAATAAAATGTCACACAATAAGATAATTATACAGGAATAATAAGTTGTCGGTTTCAAGCCTTTAATTTGAAATAAAAATCAAATCACAATGGTGGAGCATGATGTTAAAGGATGATAAATAAATATTACAAATAAGTAAATACTTTTAAATAAACAAATAATTTATAGACATTCATCCTATTTAATTGTTGATTAATATTTTGCCGCATTGCATTTTTCTTATGCATATATTTGTCTTTATCAGGGTTGGCAAGTTTCTGACACCTGACAGTTTTTACCATGGTTTTTACCGTCATGTCAAAAACCTATAGTTTTGGTAGAACTATTTTTATTTGAGTTTAACTGCTTATAATTTAAAATTAATTCATTTTTTGGGCAATAAAATTAGAAATAAGTTGTTAAAAGATATTTAAGAACAGATTCTTGCATTTTCCCAACATGATTATATCAAAACATACTGTTTGAAGTAAAATATTAGGATACTGAACAAAATTTTCAACATTTCCTAGCATCATTTTGTTTGGCATATTACATTACTGACGAATGTCAAGATTGATTACTTTCATTTATAAAATCTTGCTTTGAAAAACACTTGTACACATAAAAAGGAAGCCTCATAGCATAAACTTTTTTTATCAATTTTGCTTTCAATATTTTACACAGAAATGAGACATGAAAAAGCCTAGGAAACCATTTTAGAGATACCTTGCAACAGCAATGTTGAAGGACTCATCCATACTAAACTCAGAAATCGACTGGGCAATGAAAAATGCGCAAAATTAGTCACTTGCTATCATATGCTTCGGCACAGTGACCCCGTCGACTGAACATGTAATTCTGTTTGTAATTAGGTTTAGTTTAATGTGCTTTTTCAACTGAATAAAAGTTTTTAACTTGACAAAATAGCAGTAACTCTTGACTTAGAGTTTGCTAGTAACTACAAGTTTTGAAAGTTTTGTTTAGCTTATTTCTAATATTTAAGAAATGCCAAATTTTAAATTCTTCTTTTTAGTTCTTCAATTTATTAATAGTTCCAAGCTTTTTTATTTGTTTATTTCTAACAATTAAGAAGTGCAAAATTTTGAATCCTTTGCAAATCAAGCTATAATGATAAAAGTAAGTATCACTATTTTCAATAAGTATATTGTATATCCTTCTATAAGAATACATGTATATAGTTGCAAAATCAATAGCAATCATTTACAACATTCATTTATAAAGGCAATTATGTAGAAATAATATATTGTTCGCTATATGCCATAAATGAAGAAAACAGTAGGTTTTTGACTGTTTTTACCTCTGTCATGTCAAAAAACCAGTTTTTGACGGCAAAAACCCAACCCTGGTCTTTATACTATCAGAACTTTTAAAATTTTGACTATGATACTACTACACTATGGAATTTTTTTAGTTATTTAAGCTATTCTATTTGATTCTTTGACTGCATGCGTGCTAAGATTTACAATAGGAATTTTGACTGACTATTACCTCTTTTTTTTTTTGTGCGTGTGTTTAATTTTAGTGGCTACTTATGTGTTAAGACATACATTAGGATTTTTATCATGTTTATTATTATGCTATTAACTTATGTTTATTTTTATTCAAAGTTTATTCATTTTTATAATTTCATATAGCAGGGCCCTTGCTATGCATTTGCCATAAGTCCAGATAATGTAATAACAAAAGAAATTTTCTAAGCATGAGACAAACTACTGTAAAATACAGTTTACCAGGTTCATTGCAGGTTCATGCGATATCAAGTGACAAATTTTTTGTGTCAATAAAACAGATTATGTAGTTAGTAAGTTTTGTATTATCATCCAAATATTTTTGCAGAAAATATGTTTTGTTGTGACTGCAACATATACAGTAACAAGATAATAACATAATGTTTCCTAAGTTTATCCTTACGCTAGTCTAAGAAGTTATCAAAAATTAACCCCAACCTATTCCTATTTATTTTCCTCAAAGACTATAAAATATCTACATTTTCCATCCTCTTTTTCATTCATTTCTCCCTTACCCCTCCCCAACTGCAAAATGACTCTTGATTTGAATTTATATTTTATGAAATAATTTAATTTATAGTAAATTTGTATTTTGATTTAAAGTTTTCTAAAAAAAAATCAAACATAAGAAATATGTTTTACTTTGATATTGATACTTGGTATACTAATACTTTTGATGTGCTAATTTACTTGTCTAATAATTTAAAGTGCTTAGCGCAAGCCCTGTATACATATATGGTTAAAATTGATTAGATTTAAAGTTAAATAATGACTATTGTAATTTTTATGTTTGAGTTATCTTGTTTCAATATAGATCATAGCTTTTTTTATTACTACAAAAACTGATTTTAATTACTTTTAGGCTCACAATCTGTATTTACTAAAAGATTACTAAAATTGCAGTATAATTCACAAATCTATTCTAAATTCTATGAAAAAGTTAGGGTTTTCGGAACAAATATTAAAGAACCATCCAATCTTTAACTTTATTATTAGTTTTCAGATTTAATATAATAAATCCATGCACAATTGAAGATGTTATTTCAAACAAATCTTATTACTTAATTTTACGAGTATTTAAGCTTTTTTGTCTAGGGCAGATTTTATTTTATAAATGTACATGTAGGTATTCTTGTAGATAGTGAAGCAATTATTGTCGTTCTATGAGATGATGTAAAAAAGTTATATTTTAATCTCAGGAAAAGTGTTAAGTTTGAAGCTTGCTATACAAGAATTTAGAATTTATATTTTCTGCCAAAAAAAAATTTTCAGTAATAACTTTTTAAATTTCAGTGTTATTAAATATTAAAACCAGAAGGATATTTCTAGAGTAATGTGTATACTTATAAAATAAATGATTTAATTATTATTATTACATTTATTTATGTTTTAAGAATAAACATGCATTAAATAGAGGATATCTAACATTAATTAGATAGAGGAATGGGTTTTTTTTATCGTGTCCATGGACAATTAAATGGCCTTGTGTGCCTTCAAAACAGCATCCGCAAGCTCCAATACATCATTAATGCACAGCTTAAGATTTATTAAAATAGGGATGCACATTCTTTTGCCTACAAGTAAAAAGAATTCTAAATTTAAAAATTTATTTAGGCCCATTATCATGAGAAATTTCAACTTAAAAACTAATTTCAAAATTATTATTTTAATTAGGTATTTTTATATTATTGAGAAGAAGAAAAATGAATTGTTAAATATTTTTTGGATAAATAAAATAATGGAAAAAATATTATATTATTGAAAAAATACTATATTATGGTATTAAAATAGTACCACTAATATTATATAGTTATTTTAACCTCAGAGACATTTAATAGTTTTGAAATTATAATAAACTTTGTACAAATTAAAGTAATTGCCACCATTTTAACATTTTGCTCAGGTATAGTATTTTATAAATATATTCATCATTAATTCATTCAATTTGATTGTTGCCATTTCACAAATTTTTATGAAGTTTACTTACTTACTTACTTATCCTCTACGTGCCTTGGGCACTTAAGGCCTCCAGCATATCCCTCCAACGCCTCCTGTCTTTAGCAATAGATCTTGCTTCCTCCCAGCCAGATATTCCAAATTCTTTTAATTCGCCCAAAAACATGCGCTGGATGGTAAGTCTGGGTCTTCCTCTTGTTTTATGAAGTTTATTTGTGAGGAATTATTTAGAAAAAAAAAAAAAAGACATAATTTTTTGGACCTTAATACTACAATTAGGAGACTTTTTTTAAATTTAAAAAAAAAATTTACATTTTGTCAATATATATAATATATACATATATCGAAAAATATGACACATTATGAGAAAAAAATATTGTTTTTGTGCTGTAAAAAACTGAGTTGAAAAATAGTGCTGAAATTTCTTTTTTTTTTTTTTTTTTCTCTGGCTATCAAACATATTTTCTTAGCTGTCAGCTGAAGCAAATTATTTATTCAAATTAACAATACAGTGACCATATTTTATTTAAGCCTCTCCCTTACCCCCTTATACTAAGTAAGATAGATGGGTTTCCTGCTAACACTACCTATCCTCCTTGTACCAGCTGACGCATAAGGCCTCAAGTCTTTTTTTTTTTTTTTTCTTCCTTCAAGCACCCTTGTCCTGAGCCAGTCCTCTTCCGTCCATTTAGTTTCGCTTTGCACAGATCTTGGTACATGTATCTTTGCCAAGTAAGTCTCAGCCTTCTTTTATTTTTTCCATGCGGGTGCCCAAGTAAGTGATATGCTAACAGGTCTATCCCTTTTCCGACGAAGAATATGTCCAGTCTATCTCTATCTTTTCAAAATTTCCTCTTGAGCTTGACTTGGTGGAAATTTTGCCTCTATTTGAAATAGTGTTAGAACCTGAAATTTTTTTTAATTAATCTTAACGCTAGAAAGACTGAAACTTAGTTTATACCTATATTGCCCCAAAGCAGTCAAAATGACTGCATTGTGAAGGAATGTGTAAAGAAATTTGTTTAATTATTTTTTAATATTTTTCATATTTACAGTTATATAACAAGTTATTAGCAAATATTAACAATAAAAAAATTTACTTCACTTGGGGAAAAAAATTGTGCATTATTATTTGTACGTTTTTTGTTTTGCAAATGAAAAAGCAATCAAAATGACTTCCTTGGGCAATCTAGTATTAAACATTTGTTCTGGAATGTTTCTAGTTTTGCGGAGGTTCCAATACTCAGCACCACACAGAAGTATGGAGTAGACAACAGCCTTAAAAATATGTATTTGCTGATTTTTATATTTTAAACTCTCCAAAATTTTCAAAGGCTTCTGAAACAGGTCCTTGCTTGATATATATTCGATATATATACTATAAGCAAAGGTTTTGAATGGTGCAAATTAGTAATTAGCAGCCTCAGTCATCCATCATAGGAAGCAGCTAACAATAGACTTGAAGATTTTTAATTTAATTAGCACTAAACTAAAATTTGAAATTAAAAGTTTTGACTCTTTAACACCATTCGTATTTTTATTACTTAAGTATTTTCTAGAATTTCTCACACAAAAGTGCCCCATAGCGCAGTGATTAGGACAGAGGATTTCCACTCAAAATATGTGGGTTCGTATCCAGTTCCTGCCTTTTGAATGATGATTTCGTTATTTTCTTTCCATACGAAGCTGCAAGCAAATGGTTGCAACTTCGTAACAAGCAAATGGAAAATCTATTTCAACTCCAAAAATCAGGGAAAGTTGCAATTTTTTTTACAAAGACCTGGAAAATTCCTTCATTATACCTGGAAAAAAATCAGTCTTAAAATTGTCAGTAACAGTACTAAGTTGTTGAGATTCGAGTTAAATAATTTTAACATCTATTATTTATTGTAAAAAATTCACATTTTAGACGAACTGAAATGCTTTCTTCCTCATATAATATTTGTTTTACATAGAAAATCTAATACTTGGCATTACAAATAAAAGAATCAAAATTTTCTGATGAAAAATTTCGTAGCATCGAAATTTACCTGATATACCTGAAAAAGTCAGGGAATTTTTTTCTTAAATTGAGTCGGAACCCTGAAATTAGTTTTATGTATTCTTACATCCCTACCAAATGCCATGCATCGTATACATAAAACTGGATTGTATGCGAAACTGACTTATAACCGACCGCGTCATTGTGTGCGAAACTCACTCGTATAATCCTTAAAGTATTAGAATTCTCTTTCCTAAGTGAAAACATAGTTTATTTAATTAGCTGCAGGTATGAAGACAGGGAAAAACGCGACTTTAGTCACTCGCCTTTTGATTATAAAGAGACGGAAAAAATTTAAAATTCTGCTATCGCCACCAAGTTTGGAATTCCTAAATAAACTGTTGGCCACATATACTAAAGAAATAAAAGTGTACATGATCTTCTAAGGTCTGGATCCCCAATAAAAACGACTCACCTTCGAGACGAGTTGTCCCGCAGTGGACTGATCGTTAAGACACTGTTCCCAGCAGATCACCGAAGTCAAGCATCACTGGCTGCGGTCAGTGTGCGGGTGGGTGACCACTTGGATCAGTCTGCGTAGGGACCGAGGGTGTGCGGTATTGGCCCTCGTTAAACTGTGCTACCGTAAAGTGCTCGACTTCGCGCGCAGGTCGTCGGGCTACCGAAGCGGGGGTGCCATCCCCTCTGCAGAGGATCAAAATTGTGATGGCATGTCTTCGGATCATCCTCCGGGATGTTTCCCAGACCGTCGCCCATAGCCCATTGTGCAGCTCTAGTGCGACGTAAATTAACAACAAATACTCGAGACGAGTTAATCCGAAGAAAGTTGGTTGCTGACCCAAACAAGAACTCTAATCCAATATACGAGGAGATGGCTACCGTGGATGGACTCACAGTAAGTAAACATAGCATTAGACATCATCTGAATGTAGCTGAACTGTGTACACGAGTTCAAGTAAAAAACCGATCATCCGGTCGAAGAATAGAATGATCTTACTGAAATTTGCAAGGGATTCATTGCCCCCTTTTTCATTTGCTTATTTACTGTTTGGCAAATAGCTTAGGGAATTGGGCCATGTCCAAGATTTTCACAAAGTCCTCCATTTTCTCGTGACAAATCATACCTCTTTGGGTACTGAATTGGAAATTGGTGATTATCTTATTCAGGTCAAAATTACAATCTATGCATGAATGAATGGAAGTATGTATTGGCCCACCGTATAAACGTTTTAGTTTACGTTTCAAATTTACTATTCGTCTAATATAAATTTTGTAACTTGAAATTAAGTTATTCGAAATAAGAATATAATTGACGTTGTTCGTGAGTTTGAAACTCGCCATTTGAAAAATCTCCATGTATTAAAGGGTGACTAGTACACGTTAAATCTGTTGGAGTCTCAAAGTCCTTTTAGTTACCATAAGAAATAAATATCTCTGGGAGTACTGAATTGGAAATTGATAGTTACCCTGTTCAGGTCAAAATTACGATCTGTGAATGTATGGGCCCACCTTATAAACGCATTGTGACATCTGTGTGGCTGAAGTATTCTTGGCCATCGATGGCGCCTCTCAGGGTCGGATTACCGTTTAGGCCATGGCCCGGGGGCCCCCAATGATTAGGGGCCTCCTTAAAATGGATTTTTAGAAAATAAATTAAGAAAAACAATGATTTTTCAAATTTTTACGAAATGTTATGATAATATTTTAGTTCTTAAATTTAGAACTAACGTTAGTTCTTAATAAAATGAAGTAAAATTTTATTTATTTTAAATATTCTTTCTTAAATGAAAAGATAGATAAATACTATTATATTTGAATAAATAAAAAATATAGGAGAAAAAATTTAATCTAAGGGCCCCGAAAATTTGAATGGCTTAGGGCCCCGCATACGCTTAATCCGCCCCTGGCGCCTGAAACGCACCCTTTGCCTTAAAGATGCTTGGTTTCACTAAGCTGGCTTGTTGGATTTGCAGGATTCATTCGAACAATCATGTGATACGTGATTTAAGTCTTTTTTTACTGCTTGTTTTGTAGTTCTAAAAATCTTCTGAAAGTTCTTTTTTTTCTTTTAAATATTTAAATAAACAATTCTTAGAAATTTGAAAGTTAAGTGTGATGGTCAGAAATTCATTTCAGAATCTTTTAAGATTTAACAATCATCCATAATAGTGAGCTTATCGTTATAACACACAGATAAAATTATGACACACTGATAAAATTTATGTTAAAATAACAATAAAAAAACTAAAAATTGTTATAAAAATATTAATTTTCTTCTTTTATTTTAAAGAAACGTTTTTATTAAGATACATATCTAGAGTTGACTGCTTTTGCCGTTATATCGAGCTTTAACTGTGTGTGAATTTCGAATTATCTGAAAAAATTGAAAAGTTGTGGACCCAAATCAAAAAAGTGAAACTGGGGTCTAATAACTAGCTGGCCGTATAATAACTAGCTACACTAGGGAACGCTGCAAGCTCGGAACCGCCTAAATTGCCGAGCTCGAAATCTAGCAACCATGTCACCTTTTATAACAATATATCTCTAAATAACTTGAACAAATTTTCACTTCAAACTCAACAGAATTGCATAATAACAATAATATGGATTTCAATGAAGGATTTAAGGCTACATTTCTAATGGCGCTCAAACTAAAGTCTGTACTTTAAGCATTATGTGTATTAACGCAAACACCAATCAGATTTTCTATCATAGGGACTAATCAAGCAAATTTAGAATCTGATTGGTGCAGCATCAAGACGCATCATGCGTCTAGTACAAGTTATGATTCAATACAAATCGCTCTCATGTTGTTGTAGTTCATTTACGTCGCACTGGAGCTGCACAATGGGCTATTGGCGATGGTCTGGGAAACAGCACAGAGAATGATCCGAAGACATGCCATCACAATTTTGATCGTCTGCAGAGGGGATGGCACCCCCGCTTCGGTAGCCCTGCGACCTACACGCGAAGTCGCGCACTGTAGGGTAGAGCTGTTTAAAGAGGACCAATACCGCATACTCTCTGTCCCTACGCAGACTAATCCATGTGGTCACCCACCCGCATCCTGACAGCAGCCAGTGGTGCTTGACTTCGGTGATCTGCTGGGAACCGCGTCTTAACGATCACTGCGGGACCAAATTGTTCTGAGCAAACTGGAGTAAACTTGTTTTAAAAAATGAAAGCAATAAAAAATTTTTTGTCATTGAGAACGTTAAGGCTCCTTAATAAATACTTTTTTCTTTTTCTTGCCCCCTAAGCAGTTTCGGTCTTTGTGAGTTCGTAATTGGATGATTTTGAGCCAATGAGAAGAAAGGGATATATGATTACATGAGAAAACGCCTCCACCAGAAGTGCTTTTCTATCCTCTCTTCTGGGCCTTGGCGAGATTTCTGGACTTCAAAGAATAGACTGGATATCGCCGACAGCTTGCTTGACTTATGTAAATAAATATTGCTTTTTTTGTAAACCGGTACACTCAAATGTATGTCATTTGACATATATATTAAAGAATGTATTATGTTTTAAAATTTAGATACCTCTCTAAATTGCAAAGTTTTTTTGTTAGAAAAAAATTCAATACCTTTAATCGAGTATTGACTCCTTCACTTTTTAATAATAATTCTGCTTTTTCCACAGTATTGAAAAATAAATTTTCCAGCACGATGCCAGTACAAGGAGTAGGAGAAGATTGGAGTTTAAACTTAAAACCAGAAGATCTAATTAATCGGGCAAAAGATGCTATTGAAAAATCTAGAAAAGTTTATGACTCTGTTGCTGAAGTACCTCCTGAAGATGTTTCATATGATACAGTGTTAAAAGTGAGTGTAATCTATAAGGAAATCTGTAAAATTATTATTATAATTATTTTTTTAAGTGAAACTTCTGAATTTTAGTAATATGTATCTATATTTATTTTTCAATTTTGCTTATAAAAGCGGCTTAAGCACTTAAAATTTGTTAGTACGTAATTTAAAGATTTAAAGTACATGCTTGGTATAAGTAATATCATAAAATAAAATTTAAGTTTAGCTATATATTTAATAAGTGGAATCACCACTATTCTATTGCAATGAATTGAATTAAAACTAACTGTAGGAATGAAATCTTGCAAAAAATTACTGAAGCAATGGTGAAGAAGATAATATAAGCATAATTAATGTTGTTTACTATTGTGACATAGTTGTACTTGCTCATGAAACAAATCTTGAAAGTGCAAGTAAATAATGTGTTATGTACTTAAGAAACTTTTGAAGTAGTTTTAAAAACTTTAGTGGAAAATAATCATACGAAAAAATTTTATATTTATTGTATTTTGAGTCTGTATAAATGTGAAATCAGTTTTTGTGGAAAATTTTCCTCAATTTAAAATTGTTTAACTTTATGAAAAAATGGTGATAAATTAAACTATCACTTATTCTTTTTGTTTACTGATTATGAAAACACAGACTTAGTAATAAAAGTGTTTTGTGAAGATATAGCTTTGATCTCATAATAATTACAGTTAGACCTCTATCCTTCATAATTAATATGGTAAATCCCAGCAAAAAATAAGTTATTTGGAAGATTTGTAAAATAGAAATTTACCATTTTAGATAAAAACAAATTCTATATTTAAAAACACTAAATATCAATGAAAGAGTAATCAATTACACATATTGATTACCTTTCTTTTGTATATAATATCTACTTTGTACATCTTAATCTGTAAAAGAAATCTAAGAAAGAAAAGAATAAAACAAAATACTATTCGTGCAAGATACATTGCATTTTTAAGTTAGAAGATAAAATTATTTGAATGAATTCTAGCTTTTATGCGCATTATAATACAGTTTATTATCTCTTTAAAGGAAAGATTAAACTTAAAATGTTTGAAGACAAGTATTTTGTGAAATTAAAAAGAAAAAAGTTACTGAATCACGAGGATAAGCTTCATAATTAGAGAATTCACTTTTTTATCTGAAAGTAATTTTACATGGAAATCCTCAAATTCTCAAAATAATTTACAAGAAATTCTTGGCTCCTAAAAAATGCTCCTAAATTAGTGAAATTTCTCAAAATAAATTTTGTTAAATTGAAGTCTGATTAAATTTTTTGGGAGCTATGTTTTCTTATTTGAGTTTTTATTTTTGCTCTCAAAATGTTTTCGGAAATAGTGAATTTTATTCGTTCAGTTATATTATAATACTATAAGATTTTTTAATTTTAAATTTCATTCCATTATACTTTTGTTATTTTAACAAAATTTATCTTCTTAATTTATAATTTATCTTTCTGAACTTGTGAACCTTAAGCTATCTTGCTAACATTCAAATTTATTATATTTTCTATGCTATGTCTCTTTTATATTTTAAGATTAGTAATGCATTTTTTAGTACACACTATTACTATTATTATTCAAATTACTTAAAATAGTTTAAGATATTGAATGCGAACTTTACAAAATCACCTGACATTTAACTGAAAGTAATTGTTCTGATATAATATTAACTATAATTTTGTGGAAAAAACAAACAAACTTATCTACCAGTTTTTCTACAGAAACTATATAAAACTGGTATGATTAATCAAATCTCAAACCAAAGGCAATGTAGAAATCTAAATTGCTTTTTCAGAAATGTTTTTGTACTTCACATTTGAATTTCGATGTAATTGCTTTGAATTTCTATGTTCCTTGTTGTGTCTATTTGTAACAATGTCACTTCACCTCTGCATAAAAAAAATAAATAAAAAAAAATACATTGTGCAAAAAAAATAAATAAAAAAAAATGTAATGATCTGATCTGTATGTTTTAAGACTCAATCTTAATGGTTTGAGTAGGTGACCTTAAATATCCTAATTAATTAATGCAGGCAATATTTTATTTAATAATGGTCGAAAAACTCTTGAATTTTAAAATATGCAGCTTTTTGCATCATTTTAAAGTATAAAAATTTCCATGTCAAAATACAAAATTTGAGTGAAATCATCAGTCAAATAGCTCCTGAGAAATCTAATTTTAAGGAAGTTGTAAATTTAAAATGTGATTTCTCAGAAACTATTCTACAAATTTTGCTCAAGTTTTGTATTTTATCATATTAAATTATGTACTTCAAAATTATGTAAAAAATTGTATACCTTACAATTCAAATTTTTTCAACTATTCAATAAAAAAATAAATATTCTCTAAATTTTTTTTTTTTTTTGCATGGAATTATCTTTGGATAAACAATTTTTATAATTCTGTGCAAAAAGTTTTTAATTTAATTAATAAGTTACTGAGATATGGCAAAATACAAAAATATGATTATGGGATCCAAACTTTAGATTGCTCTCCTGACCAAACTATGGGGACCATATTACCTAGATTTTGGCTATCCCCTATATTTTGGAGATCAAAAATTAGAATTCATCAAAAAAAGGTACTAATAGTAAAAGTACATTTTGTTTTCGTAACTTAAAATTTGATCTGCACTAATTATTTATGGTATTTGAGGTCACCTCCTCGAACCATTAAGATTCAGTCCTAGAATATGAAAATCTGATCATTAGATCAAAAATTATTTTGTGTTGTACTTTTTTTTTGGTGCACTGTACATCTTGAAATACATAGTATTTTTAGCAATATTCTTTTTTAAGTGTTTTTTCAAATACAATCCACCATGCCTATTTTTTCACTAAATAAATATACATTCCTAGTTTTTTTGTTTGCATTCTGTGCTTTTTACTCCTATTCTTTTATTTCTAGAAGAGAACCATCTCATAGATGGCTCTCTTTATAAATATTTTAATTTAACTTAGATATTTAATGGTTTAGAAGAGTGAGAAGAAGTTAATATGTAATAATTATAAAGGCACTTTTTCAGAAAAAAGATAGTGCCTTTATAAATATTATTTTAGTTTAATTTTGGTATTTAAAAGTATAAACATTACTTAACTGTCAGTCTTTTTTTTCAATAATAAAACCATAAAAGGAACTACGGCTGTAAAGTGTTCTAGAATCAGACCTCATATTCGATTTAAAATGAAGTCTGCAAAGAATTTTTATTTTTTTTTAGCATTTTTCTTTATTATACAAAGTGATCAATAACAGTAGCTTTTCAGTAGTTAAAAATATTACTTTTTTTAAATGAATTAAATTTTAAGCTTATTAAGTGGCTTTCGTATCTAACGTTACAGTTTTTTAGACTTTTTTATTTATTTACAGGAAGACTTATTTGTTGTTATTTACAAAATTTTTGTTTTTATATTTCATAATTTCTTTAATTTTTTTAAGGCACTGGCAGACATGTCCTGCTGGTTTTCTTCCATTCAATACTTTTTGGAATCTGCTCAGCACATCTCTACTGATTCTACTATACGTGATGCAAGCTGTGAGGCTGAAAAATTGATACGAGCTTTCAATGTTGAATCTAGGTAATTTTAAGTTTTATACCATGAGGCATTACTTTGCTTAGCTATAAACGAAATACAATGCTATTTGGTAAAATATCATACTTGGTAATTTTCCATTTGGCCTGTGATGACGATTAAGTGGCCAACACATATTCACTAGGCTCAAGTAAAACTAAACTCAGTGGCGCAACAGCACGTAGAGGGCCAAGGCCTACTATCCCCATCTCAGTTTTCTTGATCTTGGGCTCTGGGGTGCAGGAGCAGATCAGGCGGTCAGCTGAATGTGCAACCCCCAGTGGTTAGTTCCCAAGCATGCTTGGTACTCATTTATCGACCCACTGAAGGGATTAAAGGCTGAGCTAACCTTGCCCGGCCCGAGGGTCGCACCCAGAACCTGTGGCACAAGAGCGCGAAGCGCTACCACCTAGGCTCAAGTAAATTTAGCTTTTTTTTAAAAAATTTCTTGCACCTTTTTTAAGGACTGCAATTTTATTTTAAAATATGAAAGTAAATAATTATAATTGCTGAATTTCCTTGTGCTGGAGAAATGGTAAAATATGTTATGCTTATATTCAAAATTATTTGGCTTAAAAAATGCATATTTTCTATTTTATAAATTTTAAATGATTAATTTACTTAATTCTTATTAACTTATTCTGGAACACATTCTTTTACACTGGATTCAAATAAATTGTTCTTACAATTAAACAAAGGAAGCATTTTTATTTTAATCATGAGTATGGCCTGGATTTTTATAACTAAAACAGCAAAAAAAAAATATTGTCTTAAAAATATGAAAAATGTATTAAAAAAAAAAATGTCTCTTGTAATAAAAAAATACTGGTCAAAAGTTTCATTATAACAAACGTCTTTTTTCCTTTTTTTACTCATTGTGGGTTAGTCAGGCAAAAGTTTCTTTATAAAAATACTGCCTCAATTTAGAATAATTCTATTTTAAAGAGGAGTATTTGCAATCTGTAATGCATTACATAGTAAAACACAGTTAAAATGTGGGTAAGTTGTAAGAGTACACCAGTACTTTTAAAGATTTAGAAAATGCCCTGAAACTGAAAAATTCCCCATAACTCTCAAACACAAAAAAAATTAATAGAAAAATATTAATTTACAATCCGAAAATGTAAATGTCATCAAAATCTATGGCTTAATCATAAGTCTTGCAATTGCTTTTTGAATGTGCAGGTTGTGAAAATCAATTTCTCTCCTTTTGTAAATTCAAATAACTTTTTTTTATAATGGAGAATATATGTTTATTTATAATTTTTAACCATAGATATATAGTCAAGGATATACTATGTGACATTATCATTTTTTATAACCGTCATTGAACAGCCGACCCAATTTTTGGGTTTAGGACTACTAATGTTCACCTACATAGCTTTGTAATTTTGAACTCAATCCAGAAGACAAGGGAACTCCTGGATATAGTATTGGGAGAAATTTGCCTTTGTGGAGGGCTTTTTGATGGAACTACCCTACATTTGCGTTACATGGAGAGGAAGACCATGATAATCTCCCACGGTTAGCTTGACAGCAAGGGGACTCTATCCCATGATCCGTCTACCACTGAGGATATTTCATGTGAGCACTGTGGTTGGTGCAAGCCGGATGCGGAATTCGAATCTGGGATTCAAACCCGGTTCACATCATTAGAAGGTGAAAGCTCTATCCCCTGAGCCACCATGGCTCTGTGTGATATTATTGTAGGACATCTTCCAAAGTTTCTAATTTTTACCTTTAAAGAAAACATGTAGTTGATGACGTAGTTTTGAACTTATAAGCAAACAGCATTCGTATCATATTTCTATTTAATCATTCATTTTTAAAAACTATTTCTTTCCAGTTATGAAATTAGATAACTTTAGAACATTTGTATTTTTATATTGAGTACCTACAATATTTATAATATTTATTCTATTACAAGCAGAGAAAAAAGGGTTTGTATTAATAAATTTACTAAAAAACATTTATGTTGTTTGGATAATAAATAAATTACTTATATCTAATCTTGAATTAGTGTTAGAAGAATTAATGCAATATGTTAAGCACAAAAATAACTTTCACGACAAGTAAAATATAGCAAAATTAAAATATTTATATTGAATTATTAATTATTTTAGTTGCTATAAAAAAAATTTTTTTTTTCATGTAGATTTTCTTTTACATTTGGTATCCTTTAAAAAACATAATAAATCTATCACCTGTATCTTTCTACAAAAACAATTTACTTACAAACCTTATATGTTAAAAAGGAAAATATATTATTTTAAGAAACATTTTATGAAATTAAAATGGAAAAAAAAAACAGGTCGTAAGTTACAGTGAATTTCATAAATTCAATTAAAAACAATAAAAGAAGACAAACTCATCTAATCAGTGGTTAAATTTCCTGCCACAAAAGCCAAGATTTTCTAATAGCCTTCAATATAATTTTAGACTTTTATCTAAGATTGCAAAAATTTGTATTAGTACTAATTTTGAATGCAGAAGCACATTTGCTTAAAGTGTAATGTTGCCTAAAATTAAATATGCCTATGCATTATGTATATACAACATTATATTTTCCCTATAGTATGAGAGAAGATGTTTTTAAGAAATTGCAAGTTCTTGAAAGTAAAAATCTACCTTTGAAACCTGAAGCTAAACGTTACTTAGACAAGCTTGTTCAATTAGGAAAGAGAAATGGTTTGTATATGAATTATGCTTATTCACAAAATTATTTTTTGTCACTCAAAGTATTTGTTTTATAGGTAAACAGTTTTAGAAATACAATATGCTGACAAATCTAATTCATTTTTATGAACTGATTTGTATTCAATATTATTCCGTTTTTTTAAGCTCTTGTAGTTAAAATTGCGATCTTACTTTTTAGAAATTTAAAATGCTTAAGTTATTTTACACTTTAAGATGTTTAAAAATATCATAGAATTTTGAATGCTTACAATTTATGCATCATACATTATTGTGCTTGTAAAATATTTATTTGATTTATTCATAAGCACAAATGTTTCAGTATTTTAAATAAGATCAATAGTATTGCAAAATTTTGCTATATGTTTCAGTTTTCTTAAATTTTCTTTGCATGCACAAACAAACATGATATACTTTTTTCTTCTAAAGCATTGGTTCTCAACGGGGGCGGTGGGAGTATGCTGAGGGGCGGTGAACTTGTTTTGGGCGGTAGGGGGGCGATGGATATGTTTTGGGCGATAGGGGGGCGATGAGCATGTTTTGTCATTCAAATTTAATTTCAAAACTTACAAATAAAATTATCGAATTAAGATTTATTTAATAAATAAAATTAATCTAAAATTAGTATTAAAGAAAAAAGATTAAATTAATATAATAAAGAAGGATTATCCGATACACCGTTGTACCAGCTATAAAACGAACTTAAAAGACACCTATTCTTCGATCCGAACCAACACAGCTCAGCGCATGAGTCAGTAGTTTTTGCCTCTGACTTATTCAAGCCATTTGGTGGAAATTGAAATGCAAGCGCTTTCAGTATGAATGTTTGACTAGACCAGAGGTCGCCAAAGTGGTCTATATAGACCCCCAGGGGTCTATTTAACAAAAGCGGGGGTCGATCTGAGACAGGGGGGCGAATGGGGGTCGATCCGAATCGGAAGGGTCGATTGTGGTCGACTGTTTGAAAAAAAAAACAGTTCTCAATACGCAAATCACACATACTTAATTAAGTACCTAAAATTTGTGAATTTTTTTAATAATTGACTCAATATTAGTTTTTTTATAAAACATAAATTAATAAACGCATATTTAGTGGGGTGAAACAAGTATTTACGTACCAAAGCGCAGTGGCACGAACTCAGAGCAGTTTATAAGTCATATGCATATGTGCGTTTGTCCAAATGTCACGTATGACGAGCATTGACGTTACAAATGAAAATATCATACGCAGTTTCAGCTATCTTTGCGAACTATGTTGAATATTTGCAGTGTCTTTATTAAAACTTTTATAGTTTTGGATAATTAGTTATTGTTTCGATAAAACCATTCGTTTAGTTTAGATATCAATTTTAATTATCAATGCACAAAAAAGAAGGTAAGCATTAATAATATGGATTAGTACAGCCCGCGACAAAACTATAGCACACTTTGTATTTTTTTACGAAAATTACAAAATTGACCAATTTTGACGAAAATTAAAATTGACCAATTTTGAACCCAATATAGCGAACCTTGCAAAAAAACACCAGGCACACCCATCTCATTGATCAAGAAGCAGTAAATCTTTAGTTACTTTACTTATTATATCTACTTATGCATAATTACTTATTATTTAATAATAAGGTATTTAAATTTCAATATTAATATATTTTTCATAAAACTATTGTTACACAATGTACTATTACTTTAATAAATGTTTAGAATCATAAAATAAATGTACAAACACAGTATCTAACAGAGTTTTATTTTAATTAACTGAAAATTACTTTTGTGGGGGTCGATGGTGATTTCGAAAAATTATATAGGGGTCGATGATAAAAAAAGTTTGGCAACCCCTGGACTAGACCCTTGTTTCTTAAGCTTCCTTGCGGTTTTTTGCCCAATTTCGATTAGATCTCATAGTTTATTTGGCCAGGTACGTGCGCGAATTAGTTCTTTATCATAAATTATTTATTAATTTTGAGAAATAGTTGATTTTCTTTAAACTTTTGTATTTTGCTTACACTAACAGTGTCGGTTGACAAAAAGAAGTGTCATCAATACAGTGCCACGTGCTTGAAGTTGGGATTTGTTTAATCATTGTTGAACTCTCAATTACCAAGTGTTTACTTTGTAATAAAGTTTTATCTAATGAGGTAATGAAATCATACCGGTAGCAGCAGCATTTGCAAAAAACATATCTTGACAAACAAAATATAGATTTGTCATTTTTCTCAAAAACATCTTGCTTCACGTTTCTGAAGGCATTTTCTGTCTCAGAGTCACTAGCAACCTCATCACAAAAATGCGACGATGGTTTGATAGCTTCTCATAATATATCAAAATTTATTGCTAAATCTGGGAAAGCTCATACCATCGAAGTAGAGTTGATACTGCCGGTTGTCAAGGAAGTTTTAGAAACTGTTTTACACCAGCCAGCCGCATCCCATAAGCAACGATTCAGTACGGAGACGAAGTAATGAGATGGCCGAAGACGTTCAAATTTCTTCATGCAAATTTTTGATATCCATCGAATTTTCCCTTCAAGTTGATGAATCAACCTTGCCAGGTAATGTAGGCTTTACTGTAGGCATAGGTCCGGTTTGTAAAGGTAAGAAACATTATTCAAGATATGCTTTTTGCAAGAAGCTTGATTACATAGATATCAAAAGTAAATCTATTTTTAATACTGTCGAAGATTATTTTAAAGAGAAAAACATTCCTCTTGCGAATATTATGCCCATTGCCACTCATAGGCTCCTGCAATGGTGGGTCAACATCGTGGGTTTATCGCCCTTTTGGAATGGGTGGTACCAGATATTTTAACTGTTCACTGCGGGATTGACAGGCAGCATTTAGTTGGAAAAAATCTCAGTGACCGTTTGCATCAATCATTGCAATATGCCATATCTGGTGTGAACAAAATTCACAGTAATGCTGCCTACGATTGATTATTCAGACGCTTGCTACTATACACCGAGATTCGTTGGCTTTCCAAAAGCTTCTGTCTCAATAGGTATTGGAATCTTTTCGACTCTGTGCTTGAGTTCCTCGAAAAAAGAAATGTAGCTCTGAGAGACAGATTGCTAGAATTTATGAAAGACTTTAGATTTATCTGTAAAATTTAATGACGCTTAATTTAAAGTTTCAAGGGGACGAACTCAATTTGATCCCTACAAAATCAGTTATTTCAGCCTTTCTAAAAAAACTCATTTTAGGGAAGCAGAATTTTGGTTGGAAGGAGTTCAGCCAAGCAGGCGAAATTCTCTCTGACGACGCACAAGAATATTGTCAACACCTTGACTCTTGGCACATGGACTTTTCTGACCCTTTTAAAGACGTTATGTTCCCTAGAAGTCCCTCACAATGGATTTTGAACCCTTTTGTAAATATTGAAGCAGCAGAGGTTTTGATTTACGAGGAATTGGTCGAATTTTTAATTAATGAAACCTTAAAATGGTGATCGTCTCACAGAATTTTTGCTAAGAGGTAACATCAGTCGTCTCTATCCTGGACTACAGACAATCGTTAATTTTTTTTTAAAATTGTCTTCCCTGCCTCCTAATTTGTCGAACGGGGATTCAGTGCTGTTACGGATCTTGTCACAAAAAGGAGAAATCGACTCTAAGTTGTGCAACGAGGATATTTGCGTCTTCATCTCACTAAAAGTATTAAACCGAGCGTTACGGAATTACTGTCTGAACCATTAATTACAATCATCCCACTAACATAGTTATTTGAATGCTTCGTTGATATTACTTTCTAGTGTAAAAAATTATTTTGGGTGTTTTTTTAATTATCTAATTAAGAATAAATTATTATTTTTAAGTATAGGTTTCATTGTTGTATTTTTTTTCATTAAACGTATTTATTTTGATCATAACAAATAGACTGTGATTGTCTGCCGTAAGAAAATTATCGAGTTAATTTATTCTTTTTTAAAAAACCAAACAAATTTAAAGCGTAAAAATATAGCTTAAAAATTTTGTCTCTTATAACTCAGCACACGTCCCTCTGTCCCCATGCTCTATAACAAAGGGGGGCGTTGAAATGTTTTTTGCTCCTTAAGGGGGCGGCAGCGTTAAAGAGGTTGAGAACCTATGTTCTAAAGTAATATGCATAAATGTAAAATATGTGGGTTTATTAAACTTAGACTACATATTAATTCATACTTCTATTTTGTATATTTTGCATGCTTTTTAATACTTGAGTGCATATATATTTAAATAAATAATAAGACTTTAATGTAGCTTTAGAATTGAAATCATAACTTTTTTTTTGCAGAGTTTCGGCAACTATACATATTATAAATTATTAGGTTTATTTTAATAGGACTTTATTTAATCTTTTTAGTAGCATCATTAGGTTAAAATTATAAACCTTTCCAACAAAGTTCAATACCATTCCAGACATTGAAGAGGAGTTAGATTGATATGTTTTATGAATCTCTCAATGTATTAAAAAAGTTGCGGCTGTTTCAGAAAATTTTTGTTGAACTTGCTTTTATAACTTGAAAAGTATTAGATAAAAAACTATGAAAATTGCATATTTCTAGGGAAGGGTTTAGGAGCATAATTGTACTGTAACCTGGGATGGGTCATAGATAGTCCTTTGCCAAGCCTTAATCAAATATTTTATATTCTCTTGTGGGCTGCTATTGGGGGCCTGGGGCTCTCTGGGGCCATAGATTATCATGACAGCTGTTTCTCTTGTTCTATTTTTTTCTATCTATCTTTGTTCATTATATGGTTCTTTGTATTTGTTGCTGCCATTGCCTATCAATCTTGCCATTAGAAATGAAAAAACTTCTTTAAGAAAATTCTAGTATAGTGTAATTTCCCGTGGCAGAATCTTGGCGACATTGTCGCAGAATGTTTCTGAGTTCTTGGAAAAAGATGTTTTTTTTTTGGGAAATAAAAAATTTTGGTTTTCTTTTCTGCAGAAATTTTCAAAAGATTCTGTCTTTTTTTCAGAATTATATTCAAAATTATACGCCATTCTTGAGCATCGGAGTGGGAAAAAAAGGCTTGTAATTTTTCTATTTTCATTTGAGAATAATGAAGTAAAAAGCTTAGTTTTTTTTTTCTGCAGAAATATTTGTTCTATTTTATTTATTTTTTGGCAGTTATTGCTATCGATTTCCACGTAGTTTTTGAAATCCGATATTTTTTATCTGATATTATTTATGACAGCAGCTGAATCTTGAAATAAAAGAACACATTTGTTACCCCCTTTATAATGAGTTCGATTTGGCTTGATTTCGTCGTCGATCTCTCTCTCTCTTTTTTTTTGGTATAAATTATAAACCTTGGTGGATTTTACTATTTTTAATTTGCTTTTAAATTTGATGATGGCTTACAAAAGAAGAAAAAGGAAATAATTAGTGTGTTTTCTTCTTACAAAATGCAAGAATATCTCTCATAATAGTAGAATAAAAAAATATTACATATTAAATTTTAAAAATTGCATTATTTTTTTCCAAAAAGTTTTTTTTTCTTTTGAAGTTGACACTTTTGTTACTTTAAATAAGCAACATGCATATTTGTTATTATTAAAAGTTATGTGCAGAAGGATATTAATATTGGAGAGGTTTGTCGTAGAAAGCCCGGAAAAATTCTGCCCCAGGGGTGTAATTGGTTTTGAGGTCATTAATTTTTGAACTGTTTTATATAAAAGTTGACGAATTTTTTTAATTGTTTGTACCACATAATATAGTTTAGTAAAAACCAATAGGAGGGTAATAATGAATATTATGCAGCCAGGTACTTTAACATCTATAAGTAAGACATCTCACTTTGAATGAGGGATCGCATAACAATTAAAATATAAATTAATTTGCTGTTTTTAGGAAAGGTGTTAATTGACCTAGTATGAAGGTAATTTTAGTCCCATCTGATTTTGAAAAATATACTATGAAGAGCTCTTGTTTGTGTATAAATTATTTATATGGATCCGTCATATTGTAATTTCAATAAAAGTGATCAAAACCTTCCATTGTAAATGTTATTTTCTTAATTTTTAGGCTTGCATCTTTCTAAGGATATTCAAGAAGAGCTAAAAACTATCAAAAATAAAATAGATGAACTTGCTATTCAATTTTCGAAAAATTTAAATGAATTGAATACAACATTTGAGTTTGAGGAAAAAGACCTCTTAGGTATGCCATCAGATTTCTTGGCTAATTTGAAGAAAAACGTAAGTATGTTTATGTATATATTTAAATTACCAAAAATTTTCCTTTCTAAAGTATTTTATGTAACTGAATGTCTTTTGAAGCTGAAATATTGAAGAAGCGGAGCTGAAATATTCTATAGCTGTTAACCCCTTAATGCACAAATTTTTTGAAAAAAAACTGGCCGAAATTTTTAAAATTTTTTTTTAATGTAAAATAAAAAACACTTTAGAACATTGTCTTTTCTTTTGGTGGTCAATTTTGATATACTGCGCTTTTGTTCCATGGAAAAAGGCTATATTTTATTTTTGAATAAATAGGTGTTATAGCTTACAATCCTATGTAAATGATAAATATCAATAAAAAAATTTTTTTCCTTAGCTTTCACATTGTTATTTTCAATTCTGGATTATATTCGAGTGTGAAAAATTATAGCAGCATAAAATACAATGTTGCTCGAATTATCTCAAGTGTGCACAGTTTGGCCTGTTTAGCGCACTCAGATCAACTCGGGCGCAAAAGTTAAGGGGTTAATTTTCTTTAAAATGAGGGACTTTGAAAACAAAGAAAAATGTAGGTTAAATCTAGTTAATTGCTTATTCCAAATTCACAATTAGTACTAAAGAAAAAATTAAACAAGAAAAACTACATTTATAAATTGCTCATAAATTTTTTATTAAAAAGTATACATTATTTAGCTTTAAAATTTTTTGTTTAATTTGTTTTGTATATGCTTTGAAGAAAAGGTAAATTCAGGGGGATAATAATTTTTTTCATTAACTCTGATACCAGATGCTTCTGCAACTATTCAAGTACTCTATGTCCTGAATGAAATGCAACCCAGAAAAGTAAAACATGGACAACTTTGAAAAGAAATGTTTAATGAACACAAGTTATAAGAAAAATTGGAAATGACCTCAACACCCATTGGCAACACCTACGAAGATTATCAAAGACTTTAACCAATTTTTGATCTCTTACCTAATTTTTGCTTTTAGTTCTATATTAGATATCTTGCAATCTGTGCACTTAACTTTTTTCAAATATCCCTGTAGAAAATAGTCTGAAGGTGACAAGTCCAAACTTCAGGGAAACTACAGTTTTTAGAAAATCAGAGGACTCCCAAAAACTTTTAAAGTAAAGACATGATTGATGAAAATTTATGGGCTCCATCCTGTTGTGAATAACATCATTTTTCTGAGGATTCTAATGGATTTGATAATGAAAAAGTCGTGATATGCTGAACTGTTAATTGTGCTGTCAAAGAACAATAGACCCTCAACTCGTTAACGCCAAATGGCACCCCATACAACAATTTTTCTTGGTACATGTGAGGGTTTTATGTCAACCATGTTCAAAATGTTTGATAATTAATGTACCTGGACAGGGTTAACCAGGCTTTGTTGATGAAGGGAATGATATCGAGTTTATGAACTTCACCTCTGATAAATTTTAAAAGCCATTCTGCAAAAACTACTTTGACAGGCAAATCATTAGGCTTCAAATAAAGCACACTTTGTACACTCTGGAGATATATTTGGAGACCTTTCAATGCGAGATGTGTTGAGTTGACTTTCTAATTTTCTCTCCGATAAATTAAGTTTGGTCTTAATTTTATCATCAATACCTGCCACTTAAGCTGTTAAAACTATTGAAATTCTGTTGCAACCTAAATTCTTCACTGTTCCTTCTTATCAAAATTTGCCTATTAAAAACTTGGTGATACTCTTGTTGGGCATTTAAAAACTTGAATATTTCTCGTGAAATGTTTCTAGAATGGGTTTTTAAGACTTCGAAGTGAAATACATGTCTAATACAAATACTCGTTGCTTAATAGAAAGTGTACTGTATAGTGCCAATGGCAACTCACAACGGAAAAAAATATGCACATATGCAATTGCTTTCCCTTCCTGAGTGCCCTTGGCAATATATTTCTACTGCTTTGGTGCTATTTCCTCTTTTTTTCATAGGTTGCCTTTTATTTGGGATATACCATACTTCTTCAATAATATTTAAACTGCCTCAAAATTATTTCCTTACCTTCTGGAAACCCGACAATGGGCTGGCCTGATGTCCAGTCTGAATGAAATTCATCTTTACTCTGAAAGTTGTGGCTAATGTTGTTGATAACTTTGAAAAATGATTCAACTACAGTAGGGAACCGATTTTCCGGAACGATCGGGACCATCGCTATTCCGGATAACTGATTTTTCCAGTTTTCTGAATCGCTACAAAAAGCCGTTTTTTTATTGTTAAACTCAACTAAAAAAAAAAAAGCATTTGGAAATAATCTAAAAAAGAAGAAGAAACGATGAAGTAATACACTAATGATTATTTCCGAAATGATGGTAAGGTAAACATCTTTCAAAAAAGAAAGAAAAATCCTAAAATCTTATGAGGAAAAAAAACATTTTTTTAAAAAAATGGTGAGAAAATTTATCGAATTTCGTTCTGGTTTTTTGGTTTTCCGGTTTTCTGATTTCCGGATAACGGGTTCTGTACTGTATTTCTATTTCTAAATGATACCAAAACATATTTCACAATAATACCTTTAACTTTAAACAGTTGATAGTGCTTGGTGCATTTTTTTAAAATTGATTTTTAATATTTCTATTCCCTGCTTCCAAAATTATTTCCCTGGTTAATTTTGAGAAAAAGTGAAAAATTGCATGTTAATAGTATATTCTAATACATTTATAACATCATAATAAGCAAAATATTCCATTGAGTTGTTATATGCATATAGTTACAGTATGCTTATTATATGCATGCGCATATAGTTACAACTCATTATATGCTGCTGGAAAAATTATTCTTCAGCATATAATAAGCTGTTACTTGATTTGAAGTTTACTTTAACAAATTATTTCTAGGAAGTAGTTATTATGCAGTGTTTTCCTAAACTTTAACATTCAGCTTTTAAAAACTGAGGTACTTGATATTTCAATGTATTATTCTTAATTTTTTTATCTTTATGCTGCTTTTTAAGTAAAAAATTTTTCAACAACATATAATAAGTAAATAATTATTAAAAAATTATTAAAATATTTTTAGGAAGTTGTTATTATGCAGTGTGTTCCTAAACTTTGACATTTAGCTTTTAATAACTGAGGTACTTGATATTCCAATGCATTATTTTTAATTTTTTTTTTATCTTTAATATATTGTCTTTATATTCAGCCTGATACTGGGAAATATGTTGTGGGTTTGAAATATCCTGATTACATTCCAATCATGCAAAAATGTAAGGTTCCAGAAACAAGGCAGAAGATGGAGTTGGAATTTAACTCCCAGTATGTATTCGTTTTTCTTTTAAAACTTGCTATTTTAATTGTCTAGAACTGCTACTTAAAAAAATAATTATGAAAAGACTTATTCTGTAGGATTATATGTTTCTGTTAATTACTTTTCAGTTGATTAAACAGCAAAATTATCGCCATCAAAGGGGTGGCTACTCATGAAATAAGTGGAAAATTAAATAATAATAGTGTATTCACCCTTTTCCTAAAGAAAAAAGCCTAATTCTTTGTGAAGAAGATTGGAAGAATGACTGTCAACCCTATTTTTTTTAATTCAAGCAACTAATCTGATTCTTATAAAATTTTTGAAATAATGATAAATATTTAGGGATACCAATTTTTTTTCTGTAAAATTTACTAACAGATACAACAGAATATCATTTAGAAAAATCTGTTACTTTTTCTAACTAAAACATATCAATATAGAATTTAATAGGAAAAGGGGAAATTATTAAGTTCCATTGTTTTCATTATAGTGCGGATTTAAGAACAATTTTGATCTGGAAATAAAATACTAGTTGGTTTAAATCAAATACAAAAAAGAGTTATTTTGTAAAAAAAATGTGACTTATTCAATAAGTTTTTATTATTGTTACTTTTAATGAATTATAAAAATTTATTAAAAAAAGTGGTGTAAAAATTTAATGGTCGCCATGAATCTATAGATTCATGATGATTTTTCTATAGATTCATGATGACCATTGAATTTTACACTTAATACTAATCAAAAAATTTTTATGTACATTTATTTCCTGATAGTTCTTTAGTCAGCTGTTAAAAGAATATGAAATTTAATATATTAAAAATTTGTATAAAATTTAGCATGTGGAACTGAAAAATGTGAAACAAATAGTTTAAACTTTATGTGAAAAATGATACCAGAAGCATAATATGATTATTTATGGCAAAGCAAAAATACAGCTTCAGATATCATAATATAATCACAGTCAATAGAATTGATCTAAAACAAACTACTTTGAATAAATGTGAGCTTAGACAAACACTTAACTAATACCAAAATGTACTTATCTAATCTGATCTGATCTGATCTGGACTAATCTAAAGTGACTTAATATGAATACCAAATTTCGAGTAGTGATGAATCTCGAGTATGATGGCTATTGTATGTTATGATTACCAAGTTATCAGGTGCAGGTAACAGTTCACCAAAAGTGATACTGAACTCAGTTACTTCCATTAATCCAGAAGTAAAAGTTTTAAGTGGTTTTGCCATCTAGATGTTAAATATTGAAGATTAAGTTATTTTCAAGTTATTTTTTAATAAGTTCTCAAGGCTGACTGAATTTTTTGTTTTGGAAAGTAACTAATACTATCTGGACTTGTTCATTCCATGATACACTTGAAGTATTTGGTACTTTTAAGTACTAATAGCAAAATTTCAGATGCATTGATCTATAAATATTCTGATTATTTTACCCTTTTATTTTTTGATTGTATTATAATGAAATGAGCCCTTGGTTCTTATAAATTCATGCAGCTATTATGTTAATTGTTATAATTTATGAAGTGTAAGTTTAATTTTAAGCTTATTTAAACCCTTTAAAAATTGTTGTACACTTATCAATTTTATAATTATTTATAAAAAAGAATGTTGAATTTTAAAAAAATTACGTTCATATTAAGTATTTTTTAACGTTTTCATTTATTTGGCTCTTAATTAAATGTAAACATAATTTTTTTTTTGTCTGAAGAAGTACATTTTTCTGTTTATTTTGCTTAAAATATTAACAAAATGGAAATATCACTTCATTAAGTGCACAAATAGATTGAAGTGAATTAATTGTTTTGAATAAATTGTTGAAGTGAATAAATTGTTTTCTTGATAGTACATGTTCTAACATTTTTATTTTAACAATTTGAACCTGTTTATTCAAACGTGCTTGAATGAAATATTTAAGCATTTTTGAAGAGAATGTCATTTTTGCTTCATTTTGTTTTTAAATAAAATAATAGTGCGATCAATAATGTACAAATATGATCATTGAGTTTTGTGTGTAATTATAATTATTTTGTGTTTTATGTACAATACGAAAAAAAAGGCCACCCCGAATGACTTTTTGCATTTTTAAATTTCTATGTCTCAGAAAGAATGACAGATTTTGTATTTTGCCATGTAAAATTACATTCTTTAAAGTGATGTAATAAATTGTATACCATACAATTTAAATTTTTTTCGTCTATTGCTACATAAAGGACTGAAAAGTAATATTTCTTAAAAGTTATTTTTTATATGAAATTATCTTTGGATAAATAAATTTTATAATTATGTTCAGTAATGTTTCAATTTGCTTTATAAGTTCTCGAGATATGAAATACCCAAAAAGTAAAATTAAGAGGTTCAAACTTTGGACTGTTTCCTTGGCCAAACTATTGGGACCATATTTCTCAGATTGCGGCTACTTACTTTATTTTAGGGGTATATTTATTTAGAAAGAGTATGTTTTTGTGTCTGATTTATTCTGTAGCTTAAAATATCGTTTGCATGAATTAATTTAAGTATTTAAGATCATCCCCTCAAATCATTAAGATCGAGTCTTAGAACGTGAAGATCTGATCATTAGATCAAAAGTTATTTAGAGTGGTCCATTTTTTTGCACACTGTACAACAATAATATATCTATTTGTAATCATAAATTAACTAAATGAAAATTGTTCGACAGGATAATTTTCATTCAAACTTTGTTACAAGCCTAAATGTAATTAAATGGTGATTTTTACAATTAAACTGAACTCCAAAGAAATATTTATATTTATTAAAATAGTATTTATTTACCTGTATTAACACTAATACATAATATGATACTGGTAAATATTGTACTTCATAATATTAAATGGCATGCTTTTCTTACTGTGTTCCATTCATCTTTACTTATTAGATTAGTGTAACAACTTGAGAAAGTTGTTTATCATACGAAATTTTTTTTTTCATGTTTGGTAAGGCTAAGTTAGTCTTGTTTTAAGTTTTTAAATTTGTCATTTATTTAGTTTCTAAAATTTTCCTTTGCAGTTAAATATTTAGATAAATTATACCTTTTGTCTTTAAAAATTGTATTTTAAAATTTAGATTGAGAATCTGTGTTTAAGTATTTATGTTCACTGTTCAACTTAGAATTTTTTCTATTATCTCTTATTAGGAATCTAATGTTTTTTTTCGTGATGAATGTTTTCTTTTTTTTCCTTTTTTTATTATTTATTCTTCTGTTATCTTTTCTTGTTTAGGTGTGCAACTGAAAACCATCCGCTCTTAGATGAAATTACAAAACTAAGACACAAGGTAAGAATGATTCTTTTCTTACCATTATCAAATGTAGAGATTTCTCATTATTTGCACATAACACCTAAGCTTAAATTTATAACTTTTATTAAATTCAATTAAATTAAAATTCAATTTTTATGTTTGCATTATTTAAATACCTATATGAATAATCCATTCTGGAAGTTATGTTCATTCTAAACAAGTTTGAATTCAACCTTTGATATTATTTATATATTTTTTTAAAAATATTTTTATATTTTTTGAAATTTTCATTTACAAAAAAATTGTGCTTAGAACAATGATTGGCTCTTAACTAAAATTATAAAATATGAAAAGGGACAATCTGATTTTTTTTCTCATTGTTATGAGAAATTTTATCATCTGATTTCCTAAATTCATTATGATACATTAATGTAAGTTAATGTGTAGGGAATTATATTCATATGAAATGTGCCTAGTTAAGATGTTAATGTATTTATGAAATAAGTATTTATATGAACAAGTTATCTAGGAAGATTATTTGTCATTTATAAAAAATATTGGTCCTATTGTGGCCAATCACCATCTCAGTTGTAAAAAAGCACTAAAGTTTGTTGTCATTTTTAATTAAAATAAGTAACTTTATAGGATAGAAAAGTAAGGGCATGCAACCTTACCATGATGTTTTTTTTTTTTTTTTTTTTTTTTTTTTTTTTTTTTTTTTTTTTTTTTTTATGACCTTCATAAATTTAGTTTTTCTAACTATTAATATTACTAAATTAAATGTTAAATTAGAGTATTTGTGATAAGAAGAATATGAATTTGTCTGAAACTTAAGACTAAACATATGTATAATTAAAAAAAAAAAAAAAAAAAAAAAAAAAAAAAAAAAAAAAAAAAAACTATGAAGTTTCACACAATTTGCCTATTTTAGTAAAATTAATTTATAGCAGACTTGCAAATTTCTCTTTGAAAAATTAATTTAAATATTTCTTTACTGTACATAAATTTCTCGTATCTTTGAATTTTGAATAAATTTGTGCACAACATTTATTTTATACATGTTTTAGTTTAAAATATTTTCTTTTTAATTTGAATCATGTTTAAAAATGTATTTCTAGAGTGCTTTATGTGGATTTGCTCTTGTTATAATTTTAAATGCTGCAATTGTAAATGAATTTAAAATTAACTGAGAAATGTGCCTAGAATATTTTTCAGTTACACAATGCAAGATTTGCAGAATTGCAGTGGCACAGTTGTTAAGGCACAGTGGCACAGTTGTTAAGGTTGTTGTATTGTCATTGAGAAGGAAATTGTTGAGTCACAACTGTCATAACATCCTTCTATCCCTGGTGTCAACAAGAAGCATACCGAGTTTCGGATTAATGGGTATGAGCTTCGTTGAGAAACTGCTAACCACATTGCTACCATTTATGCCATTGGTCTTGAAATTGTATAGCCTTAACCTCCAGGGCCTTATATTGTTATTTATTTTTCTTAAAAAAATGAAAGATTAGTACAGTAGAGAAGCGATTATCCGGAACGATCGGGACCATCGCAATTCCGGATGACTGATTTTTCCGGTTTTCTGAATCGCTACAAAATGCAGTTTTTTTAATGTTTATAAAGCGAAACTAACAAATTATTTTGAAATAGTTTTAGAAATAATAAAAAATGATAAATAATATTACAATTAAGTTTAAATAAGGAAAGAAATTATGAAATAAAAATTATATACGGGCTTATATATGTTATGAATGTTATTATTAACATTAATAACATATATAAGCTGTTTGTGCTTATGTGAGATTCGTCTACAAACGGCTTTTGATCCATCCTCTAAATCAGTTCTTTCGTCAACTCGATACGCCGTACGCTCTAAATAACAAAATGGGCTCAAAATCTTGCAGGAAAAAAAATTTTTTTTTTTAATGGAAGAAAATTAATTTCCGGTTCCGAATTTCATTCCGGTTTTCTGATTTCCGGATAAGAGGTTCTGCATTGTACCTCTAAATTTTACTATGTTAAGAAAGAAGTTTTTTTTTATTTATTATTTATTTTTTTTAAAGGGCTTATTGAAATTAGTGAATAATATCTTCAAAATTTCTTCTTATGATAGTTATGATAGTTATCTTCTTATGATATCTAGTGTTTTCCAAATTATTTTTGGTTAGAAGCAGGGGGCTATACACTAACTTACTAAGAGTCACATTTACTCCTGTCCCCCTGACGGCATATTATGCAATCTTAAAGTAAAACATAAATAATAAAATTGATTTTTTTTCTAGGCAGCAATTTTGTTAGGCTATCCATCTCATGCAGCTTTCATCACAGAAATTTTGATGTCTAAAACAGCTGATAATGTTAATAATTTTTTAATGGAATTAAAGCAAAAGCTTGCTCCATTGTGGGTTGAAGAAAAGGAGCAACTATTGAAACTTAAAGAAAATGAGGTATCCTGTCATGTGTTATTTAAGTATGAGAAATATTATCATTAAATTTTCCATGGTATTATTTTTAAAATATATTTGTTTTGGGGGAAGATTACACATCCTTAAACTTTATTTTTCAATAGATTTTAAAATAAGTCTTATGAGTTAGCATACAGTTTTTATCAATAACTATTTCAGTCAGCAAGCAAATTGATACTGATGAAAACGCTAAAGAGGAGTAAGCATGTTTGTATGTCTGTGAGTCATTAAAGATATGGTTAAAGCAATAGAAGCTGGTGAAGCTGTAAAAGACATGATATTTTTTAAAAAATTTTTTTTATCAAAAAAGTACGTAAGTAAGACAAAAAAAAAATTTGAAAGATGTCAAAAAAAAAAAAAAAAATTTAGATCCTAAGCAGAATTGCTATCAAATAAATAAGTAACATAAAGAGAATTTTAAAGATTTTAAAAAGAACATTACTTCAGTTCAGGTAATAGTTGAAAAAGAAAACCAGCATTAAAAAAAGCAAGGATTAAAATGAAAATTTTTGAATCACAATATTAAATCCTGTGCAAGCACTTATTAATGCTGGAAAAAAGATTTAAAGATTTCTTTGAGATTGAAATAAAATGTTAATAATTCATATTATATGCTTATATTTCTCTTATGTGTAAATAAATCCTTGCATTTTTATTGTAACTGAATAATTAAGATAATTGTCATCATTCAGCAGAGGAAATATATTTCTCAATTTTTTTAAGTGTTTTCATTCTGTTGAAAGCATAATGTTATTCACCTGTGATCTGTATTTTAAATTAAATCTGTGATCTGTATTTTTCTGTTTTCCATAAATATCGCCTATTTCAAATATATATATATANTTTTTAAATTCGATGTAGAGTTTTATATGCACGTGATTTAAAAGCCTCATATCGGGATTTATAATCACATGGATTACAAGTTTAAACAAAAATTAGACAAAAAAAGTTAGATTTATATATATATATATATATATTATTTTAAAATTAGTTCTTTATTTAACATCTTTGGTACTATTGTATTTTTAGCAATGTTTGTTGTCAATTATGTGATATATTTATGAATTTTTGTTTCATTTATTTAGTGCAAGGAATTGGGTATTCCTTTTGATGGTAAATTGAATGCATATGATTTGTCATACTATACATATAAAATAAAAGAAATTAAGTATGATGTGGATCAAGCAAAAGTTAAAGAATACTTTCCTATGCACGTTGTTAAAGAACGCATTTTAACTATTTATCAAGTAAGTAAACTTGTGTTTTAGTAAAATTATTTAGAAATATATTTTATTCTGCAATAATGTAATAAAAATTGATCTTTAATTTAAATTTCTAATATCTACACCAATAAGTTTGTAGTGATTGCATTTATTGGGACAATTTAGTGAAATAAAACGTAGCATTCCCACTTATTTATTTGAAAACTTAATTTTTCAAATATAAAAGTTTTTTTTTTGGCATTTTTTTCTTGCGATCTACGCTATATTGTAATTAATTCTGTGTTAATTTATATTGGTTTTTAAAAAATGCGAGGGAATTTAATTGCTTTCATGAGCAACATTAGTTTCTCCTGACTGTTTCCATACTTGTTTCTTAAGCTGTTTTCATTGATGTATTAGACTTCTGGTCCAAAATATATATTGAAATTACATATTTCTGGAGTATTTTATCTTGTTTTGCACTTGTTATAATTTTAAACACTGCTGTTGTAAATGAATTTAAAATCAGCTAAGAAATGCTTTTAGAGTAAAGTCCCAGTCATATAACAGGGAGTCATGTTAACATTGTGAAAAACTTCTAGGGCAGTTGAAATCATCAACATTTGCAATTTTCCGTACAATTCCCAAGCCCGGAAATGTCATCATGAGATTCTTTATTATGATATGCTCAGAAGCACACAAAGAAACAATTCATAATAGGGAAGCGCCTCTAGCGGCACGTAATAGCTTGGGATCCTTATCAATTTCAATCCTGATGATGTGCCCTAACTCTTCCAGAAGTTTATTGCAACATTTATGTGACCTGTTATATTAACGACTTGTTATACAAGGACTGTTACATTAACGTTTCTAAACTTGTACATTTTGACAAATATAGACTAAAAAATGAGTTTTTTTAAATGATTTGAATGGGTTTTTTTAATGAATTTTTTAATGTTTTTTTAAAAATAAATTTGAATGGTGGGTACACAACATTCTAGACCTACATGCAGCTGCGAGGAAATGCACTTAGCCATGTATGAAGAGAATTGTATTCCCTTCTCTTCCCACCTCCACTTAATACTTGCACTATTGTTAGTAATTTTCAAATCAGTTTTTTTTATTGATAGATTCTCTTCTTTTCCCTCAACTCATTTCTGGTTTACGGTATTACATTAATCTTGTACCTTAAACATTAGGCTAACTATTATTAAGAAAGAAATTCATAAAGAAACTGCAAAAAAAAAAAGATCTTAAATTGTGCGGTAGGGAATTTAATGCCTTTTGGTACTGATTGCCTATCAATATTTGTGTAAAGCAACTTCATTGATTCAGGAGTTTTATCGGTACTTTACGACAGTGTTCCCCAACCCCCGGTCCGTTGATCAAATGATACCGGGCTGCCCATTTCATTGAAACTGAATTTAAATTCCTAGGTTTATATCCCTAATTAAAAATATCTGTGTTCCAATAAAATTTTATTTATTTAAAGAAAGGGGCCCCCGAAGATAGTGACATAAATTTTTTAATGTTTGTAATGTATCATTGTCCCCGATTACCCCCAGATGGAACCGTCTCATTGCAAAGAAACAAGCTCTTGGTTCTCATTGATTTAACGTTCTTGTAAGTTAAAATCTTAAATCACTTTATATTCATTTTTTGGTGTAACTGTATTTTATTTTGAAGGCATGTTTAAATACTATTAAATTAAAATTAAAAAATCAAAATAATCTTAAATATAAATAATCACCTCCCAGTGGTAAAATTATCAAACGTTGACCGGTTCGTGGTGATAAAAAGGTTGGGGAGCACTGCTTTACGATATTTAGCATCTTTCAATAAGTTAACAAAATTCAAATAAATTTAGTTTAAACTGATTAATTTATGCTGATTATTTATTTCAATCATGAATTAGTAATATAATTATAATCATAAATTAATAAAATAATTATTTATGCAGAAATTATTGGGGTTGACATTTTCTGAAGTGAAAAGTCCCGAAGTTTGGCATAAGGATGTTGCAATGGTAAGTGCAATTTATTTTTTAGTTTGATAATGTTGGATTTATAATGTAACTAATATTACTAATTTTATAACATTACAAATAATATTTAAGCATATAGAAAATATTTTAATTTTTGATGGTTAAGCCAATGTTGACTGTTCTTCTGCATACTATGTACCAATTTTTCTGGCAGACATGCTCAGGTGCATCATATATCTTTAGCTTTATATATATTTACAGATAGAATCTATATTTTAATAATTTTTATATGAACGTTTACATGTTTTAAGCAACTGTCCCTTATCAGTATAGTTATGTTAAGTAATGATCTCAATAAAAAAAAATCAAGTCAATAGAAACTAAAAAGATGCTTCCCATAATATTGAAGCCCTTTGTATCACCAATTATAATTATCCAATGTGCCATATTTGTTATGTGTACCATGGTTAGGTCACTTTTGAAATAAACCGCCACCAAATTTTAAATGGCCTTCACTTGTTTCAGGCTCAGTAACATTTTAAATTTTCATCTGATTTACTTTTAAATTGACCAGCACATATTACTATTTAACTCTGTTGTTTATATGATTTATTTATAACCATTTGACCTACTTAGTGGAATAATGAATCATTAATGAAATAATAAATCATACATTTTCAGAATTCATCCGTATGTAGCTGGTTTGAAATTTTTTTTTAAAAATTCATATAATGAATACTATGAATCTGTTAAATTTCTAATGGAAATCAAAGAAAAATACAAAGCTTATCAATATCATATGTTTTCAAACAAGCTTTATGTTTTTGTCTTTACATTCATTGCTTTTTAAAATTAATTTCCTTTATTTCAGAAAAGGAAATTTTCAATTAAAGGCATAAATTTTTATTATACCTTTAATTTTTATTATGCAGTCATTAATGCTGATTTTTAAATGAGTTATATAAGTTACCTTATGATATCTCAAGCATATCATCAAAATGTTTTTACCTTTCTTTCCTGCTCTTTTTTAATTTTAGAACTAGAAAACTATTGTCTAAAAAAGTATATTTTATTTTGGAAACATATTAGATCACGTAAAATTGGTGTCTATTGCATGTACCTTACTGAAAAATCTAAAATTATTCTTTCTTTTATTAGTATAGTGTGACAGATACAGCTACATCTGAGCTTTTAGGATATTTTTACTTAGATTTGTTTCCAAGACCAGGAAAATATAGCCATGCTTGTTTGTTTGAGATGCAGGTAAAAGCTGCTAAATGATAATTATATTTAAGTCCCTTTTTAATTTATTCATTTAATTTTATGTACATCTTGTAGTGATTGTTTTAGGAAAAATATTTTCACCTAAATAATAATTTTCAAATTCATTGATGAAAAAAATGAAACTGTCCAACAAAAATATTGAGACCTTGGGTGTATTTTGTTCTGTTAGTCATCAATATAAATTGGAAAAAAAAAGAATAGGCTGATTAATAGATCCATTTGTATTAAATATTTGTTGAATGGAATTATTTTATTTTATTTGAAATATTTTAAAATCATTTAATGAAACGGAAAAAGAGCTTATCAAAAGTATTTGAATCGTATGTGCAACATATGCTTTTATTTTATTATTCCATGACCATAAATTTCAATACATTTTTTGTGCCTGAGTTTATTTATAATAAGTATTCCAGGATATTTTTTAAAAATTCCTTTGAATCTTCCACAAATTTTGGCTCTCTTTTTCCTGCAACAAACTTTTAACCCTTCCTATGACTAAGGCAGTTTTGTTACTCTGTATGGTGCAATACATAAATATTAGTTAAAATGTGCAGGATGTGTAGTTTTTTTTAAAGAAACATGATGTGTTGCTAATAAATATAGTTAAAACATATAATGGAACTGTGAGATGTAGGTGTGGCTCATAGCTATTCTTTAACAAAAGGGAAAAAACTCATATGCAGTTTAATAATTTTATGCTCTGTCTCATGGCAAATGGCTAAGTTGTTTAATTTAAGACTGAAGACAGTGAACAGAATTGTGATGCACCTTTATTAAGAATTATGTAGCGTTAGAAGCATAGTCAAAATTGTAATGTAATGATGCATGATAAGACATTGTAAATGAGAGATACGTACGCTGCAAAATACATATATTCATTAGCGTTACCAAATAAAGTATGTGTGACTGACATATTTAACCTTCATCTTGATTCTAATTTGACGCTGGGAAGGCACACACAGATCAAAGAGTACAAATAAGTTACAAGAATGAAAAAAAGATTGATCAATAAGGTCATGGTGCATGACTTATTTGATTTTCTGAAATTGTTCACAATAGTGAATGAAATTGTTCACAGCTTACTATAAATTGTAAAAGTATAGGAAAAAACGAACAAACAAAACTGATAAAAAATAGGCACATATTAGAATGGATTTTGGTTTGCAAAACTATTTGTTTGTTTGTTCTACTCTATTTCCAGGGTATCCACGCACCTGGAAAGTCATGGATTTCGGTATTGAACGAAATTTGTCATGAACTGTCATGATTTTAACTATATTTTTTTAAAAAAAATCATGAAAAGTCATGGAATTAGATCATCAAAAAATTTAATTTTTAAAATGGAATTTACCCCCTTCCCTAATTTTATGGTATTCCGAATATTTGAATTTGTAACAAAATCCCTACTCACAGTTATATTTGATTAAAATATAAAATGTTTTAATCCTGTTCTTTAAAAATTATGGTGTTCTTTCAAAAAATGAAAGAAAAAACAATTTCTGGTGCAAATTACCTTTTAATCCTCTGTGATTTCAGAATTTTTGTTATTATTTATTATTTTTATTTTATCAATTTAAAATTCTAGCTGAAGCAAGCGAGTCATTGGCGAATTTTTTAATTCCGAAATGAGAACAGAAAAATCAGGAGTATTTCTTTCCTTTCCGATAAACAAGAAAAGTATCTTTAGAATGTAATTCTGCAGAAAATAAGAAGAAAAATTTGCTTTTGTGTTTTTTTCAGATATTTTATTGCTTAACTCTTCTTTGATCTGTTTTTTAAATTTAAAATCTATAAATATGAAGATGCAGAGTATAACAGTTTTGGTTATACCTATCATTTCAATTAAATGTTATTATAATGTTTTTTTAAATTTACTGTTGTGTTTTTGTCGGAGAAAATAGTAACTTAGTTAAGTCATGAAAAATTCTTGGAATTTGTCATGAAAAGTCATGAATTTGAAAATTTCAAATGTAACAGATACCCTGTATTTCGTACAGCTCTAACAATATTTTGTGATTGTTTGGGGAAAATCCAACATTCTTTTTCCTGTTAAACCCAATGCATGAAAAACAGTTGTAACTTTGAGTTTTTCTTAAGAATTAAAGTAAGCTAACTATTGTTCATTACCTTATTTTAAGAAATGTATTAAAAAATTTATTTTATTTGCTCATTTCTATGGATTGGTTTAAATTTAGTGTTTTTTAAACTGCATTACTCACGAAACTGAATTCTTGCTCTTTATGTTATTATATATGATTTACACAGTTTATTCCTATTTAATATATATTAAACATTTCAATTTAGGCTGGGTGTTTGTTACCTGATGGTTCACGTCAGCTGGCTGTTGGTGGAATGTTAGCAAATTTTACTGAATCAAAAACAGATAAGCCTAGTCTGATGAATCACGATGAAGTCACAACATTTTTTCATGAATTTGGTCATGTTATGCATTATCTTTGTTCAAAAGCTGATTTTGCCATGTTTAGGTAATTATTTTAAATTCAAAATCCAAAAATGATAATCATTAAAACCTAAGAATATACATGAACTAGATTTTAAATTATAATTTAGGGAAATTTTTTTATATTTGTATAGATTAAAAATTTATTATTCTTCTAACATCATCCCTTTTGATTTAAAGATTTTGATTAAAAAGGCATAAATATAACATATTGACTGATTAAGAGACAATTTTAAGGAATAAAAAAAAACTCTTTTTAGTAAATAAGTATGCCCTCAAACATTTTAGATAAATTGTATTAATAATAAGGATCTATTTAAATCAAATATTTTAATATATTTTTGTATAATCATAAAAACTTTTAAATTATAATTGCCAAGTTTCAGTTGTGTGTATTTATAGCAAGAACATACCAAACATGGTTTTACTGAGAAAGATGTTAGCCTAAGTTTATTTAAAAAGTATTTAATAAGTTTTGATCTGTTACATTAAATACCTAATGTTATTTGGGTTGGGTGCAGTAGTGCTATCAAATTTTATATTTAATCTAATGCCTTTGCAAGATTTGGTATCAATCATGGGATGTTTCAAAAGAAATGCAAATCTATTTTTTCCACCTCCAATTCTTTATACCATCTTTCAATCAAACATCAGACAATGAAAGCTCTAAATCAGACTGGAATGCAGGTGCATATTTTTATAATAATTTGTTCTTAATGATACATGGTGATTTTTCATCAATTTAATGTAGGGTTTTCAATTTTAGGAATAATATGAATTTGACAAAAAATTCTTTTAAGGTATTGAGGTTGACTGCTTTTTTCAAGTTCATTTTCTGGCCTCTTGTAAATGGAATTTTTGGATTACAATAGTTTGCATCTACCTAACATGCTTAAACAGATCTGCTTGTTCTTTTTCTTCTACAAAATTGCCAAGTTATGTTCTCATAATATAGTAGCTATTTGAATAATAGATTTTGTTTTCTAAAGTAATCTGTACAAAACTCATTCTTTTATACTTATAGAGTGTTCCTTTATCATCTCTTAATATGTACTTTTGGTCCAATCAAAGTATGAAATTGATTTAAGCAAATTTTAAGAAAAAAGCTTTAAAATAATAAGTCAAAATGGAAAAGCGCTAAAACCAAATTTGTCTCATGTTAACAATTTAATTAAAAGGCTAGAAACCAAAAACAAGCAATAGCAAAATTCTAAAGATATGTATGTTCACACGTAAAGATATGTATGTATATATTCTTCTTTGTAAAAAATGAAGTAAACAGATATCTGTATAAAACCTTACAAACTATTAATGGGAAATTTAAGCCACCAAAATTTGCTTAATTCCCAGAAGGAACTAAAGGTGAGAGGTTACTGTTAGAAACAATTTCAATTTTTGATGGCCAATCAAAATAGATGTTAACTTTTAATTCCCACCTTCCTCATTATGAAGTTGTCAGTTTTTTTTTTATCATTCATATATATTTTCTTCACTTAAGATTTACATGCTATCCCTAATATATATAATTTTCTCTTTTTTTTTTTTTCTTCACTAGAATTCAAAAAATATGTATTAAAGGTGGTATTAATGTAAATATATGTCTCAATATTTACTTACAAATATTTTTATCATTAATTAATGCAAAATAAAAGTATATTGTTTATTTTTTTATTACATTTGAAATGTTTAATCTTTTAACTTTGGAGTTTGAATGTACGAAAAATTTTAAATTTTATGCAAAGATTTTGTGAATGAAAATTAAAAATTTCATTAATTTTGTGATTATGGCTAACACAACGAGTGGGGCAAAATAATAGGCTTTAGCATGCTAAGCATCACAGGTAAAAATTAAGAATATTTAGTCACCAGTCCAGAGATAAAATGATATTACCAGTTAGTACTCATTTTTGCTGGTCCATTTACATGTCCTTCATCTATCTATTTTAAAAATAATTTAATGAAGTGAATTTAAATGAAAAATTATGAAACAAAGTTGCGCAATGTTCACAAATATGGTGAAATAGACTATTTTGTGACAATAACTCAGACCAAAACACGAAACTAATGGTCAAAAAACTAAAACAGCCTACCTTTCCTTTAAATTGATTGCTGGTCCTCTAGACCAGTGGTGCGCAAACTAGGGGTCGCGACCCCTGTGGGGGTCGCCAGAAGTTTTTTGGGGGTCACCAAATTTTTATCAAATGCATTATCCCTGCATGCTGCATACTATACAGTGTACATATAAAGAGTGAAGCGCCGCCACTCACTGTTTAATTGCAATTTCATGCTATCCACTCTTTCTTTGACCGTAATGCGTAATGTATTCTCTATCTGGCTATCCGTGAAAAAACAATATCCCGTTTTATGCAAGAATGCCATCAGAGTGTTAATACAATTTGCATCAATGTATTTATGTGAAACTGGATTTAGCAAACTAGTTTCAATAAAAACTAAATACCGCTCGCGTTTAAACCCTGAAGATGGTATGCGAATTGCAATTAGTAACATACATCCAAATATCGATGAGATAATTAGAAACTTGCAGCCACATACATCTCATTAAAGGGTAATTACTGATTTTTGAGTTATACAAAAAGTATTTTCTTAAAATTATAAATAAAAATTAATATGAGTTAAATATGATGTTTTTAATCGATGAAACGAAAGAAATGCGCGAAATATACATTGTATTTGTGAACATTTATCTCTAGGGGTCGCCGAAAATTTTCTCTCTACAAAAGGGGTCACAGTCGAAAAAAGTTTGCTCACCACTGCTCTAGACCATCAGCAATTATTTTTCAGTGGTCCCAGTCAAACACAAAGCGTGCACAGTGTTTTTAAAAGGTGCTTATTTTCGATTTTCGTTTCTTAAAAGCCCTTAAAGATGCTTTTTTCATTGGATGTTTTTAAAAAGTGCTTAATTTACCCTTTTTTCAAAATGAGATTTCTCCTTTGCTATGCCGATTTTCCCTTCGAATTATGCAAAAAGACACAGTTCACATTGTTCTATTCAACATTTTCACACTTAATTTAACCCCAATCTTTTTCGGCGTATTGTCAGTCTGTAGCGTATGAAAACGCCATTCGTTTTACATGATTCAAAATTTCACAATTTTGACCATTTTATTTTATTTTATAACCGTCGTTGAACAGCCAACCCAATTTTATGGGTTTTCGACTACTTATGTCCAACTCCGTAGCCTTGTAATTTTGAACCCAATCCAGAATACAAGGGAACTCCTGGATCGAGTATTGGGAGAAATTTGTCTTCGTGGAGGACTTTTTCATGAAGCCAACCCGCATTTGCTTTACATGGAGAGGAAGACCACAAGAACCTCCCACGGTTAGCCTGACGGCAAGGGGACTCTATCCCATAATCCATCTACCTCTGAGGATATTTCACGTCAGCACTGTGGTCGGTGCAAGCCGGATGCTAAATTCGTATCGACTGGGATTCGAACCCGGTTCGCCGCATCGGAAGGCGAACGCTCTATCCCCTGAGCCATCGCGGCTCAATTTTGACAATTGTGAAAAACGATGCCAACATTTTTTTTTACATGACTTTTTTTTTTACAAGATAAAACCGTCAATTGTCAAAAACTTTCCAACCCTGCCTGATTATATTTTTTTAAAATGCTTAAAAATATTTTTTGAGTGCTTGAAAAGTGCTTAAATGGTGCTTATTTTTTGTTGAATAATTTGGTTACGCACCCTGTTTAATCCTTGTTTAATCCTCCCTAAATTTGATTATATAAGTAATTAAAGCATATTAAAAAAGACATATATTTGTTTTTTTTTTTTTCAAATTTAGTGGGACGAATGTAGAACGTGATTTTGTTGAAGCTCCATCTCAAATGTTGGAAAACTGGTGCTGGGAACCAGAATCCTTAAAGGAACTTTCATCTCATTATGAAGATAAAAGTGTTATACCTGATTCTTTATTAAATAATTTAATCAAGTCTAGACAAGCTAATACAGGATATACAAATTTGAGACAACTTATCTTTGCTCTTTATGACTTTAAACTGCATTCTAGTGATAAGGTAAGATCATGATATAATAGTATAGTAGAGGGCCGATTATCTGAACAAATCAGGATTAAAGCCGATCCGAATAATGAAACATCTGGATAATTGCACAATTTAAAAAAAATGAGAATTCAAATATAAATTCATTAAATTGACGTTCACATTATCGGCACTCTACTGTACCTGTATTGTTCATTATGTTAAGCAAATTTTAACTAATGTTTTTCAAATATGACTGTTTTTCTGTATAGCAGTGTTTCCCAAATTTATGACTTTTGTGTACCCTTTCTAAATTTTTCGTAACGCTCGTGTACCGCTAATAAAAAAATGAATGTATTTTTTACTATAAAAAAATTGCACAAAAGTTAAAAATCACTACTGGCTGTTGACACCACTAATTATTAACTGTTAACTTCGCAAAAAATATCCAATAGAAGAACACATTATCGTAAATTTTCATGGCTAGCTTGGTATGCATACCCCTGGGGGTATGCATACCACACTTTGGAAAACACTGCTGTGTAGTAATATTGACATAAATCTCATTCCAAAAGGGAGGGTTGACTTGTACTTAGAAAGGGGCATATAAATGAAGTTAAAACAACATAAATAAATTTTTGTTTTTATGCGATTTTAACATTAAAAATCAGTTTGTTTTGTAAAAAAAAAAAAAAACAACGTTGTTTGTATTAAAGCATTAGAAATTATATAGTAGATCTACTACTTATCTGTAAAATGGTATAAAATGTTGGTTATTAAGTACATATTATTTCGTCCTTTTCCTCAAAAGAAATAAACTATCTGTAACTGCAATATTTAGTTATCAGTTGTGATGTAAATTGAATTTTAAGAAATTTCACAAATATACATTGTAAAAATCAAGAAAAAGAAGTAGTCGGGAAAAATTATTCTTCCGAGTCCGAAGCAAAGGTGAAAATGAAATATTATTACTACCAGTATGTAATCTTTTTCTCATTAGTACTAGTACCTTATGTGAAAAAATAATAGTAGCCCTATTTTTTTACTTTTCTGATATTTTGTGTTGATGCATCTGGATTTTCAACTTTCAATTAAAATTTATTTTGAATTTTATCAAACTTTGACAAATAACTCCAAAATTTCACTTTTTTTGCATTAAACTACATTATCAGATGAATGAATATTATTATTTTAGTTTTTATGACGATAGTAAACGTATGAACTTATCTTACTCACTCTTTCAAAAAAACTTGTGTGCACTTTTGTGAATAGTTACTGTGGGTACATATTTTGTCGCAGCATTAAAAGTTATGACTTAACGTATTTTAGTCACAATTTTCCTGTTCAAGTATTAATGCTCCAAATAAAATATTTATGCTTCATTCTGAAATACTTTATCTTTACACAAATATGAACGTTGTGTGATGCCGGACATAATACTACAGTCTATGAAACATATGCACTTATTTTGTAACTATTTACTTTGGTAAAGCATTCTTTTTATTGATGTAAAGTAATCCTAGATAACATTCAAATGCATTTTTGCCACATGCAAATTCTATTTCAATCATTTATCACCTATTCCAAACATAACTTGAGACTGTAGAAATGACATTGAACATTTTAACATGACTGAACAACTGTCTACTTTTATGCTGCTCAACTATTTTATGCACCTCACTGCATAAAACTATCTTATGGTTAGGCTTTAGCATTTAATTTGTTTTGTAAAAAAATGCATTCAAATAATAATAATTTTCAAGATTGATTGTCACTTCATTTAGAATTTTTTACAACTGATTGAGTTTTTTGAGTTAAGTTTTTTATTTCTTAAATTGGTTGTATTTTCTCTAGAATGATGTTAAGGAAACATATGCTGCTTTATTAAAGGATATTTTAGGCATACCTCCATCTGAAGGAACAAATTTCGGTTGCAACTTTAGGCACATTATCAGAGAATACGATGCTCAGTACTATGGTTATTTGGTATGTATTATTTCCTCACTTATAAGTGTATAAGCAGTTGAAAATAGATAATTTTAAGGTATTCCATTTTAAGTTTAATTTTGCTATTAAGTTTTTTTAATTTTTTATTTTATAACAATCGTTGAACAGCTGACTCAATTATGGGTTTACGGCTACCAATATTCAACTCCAAAGCCTTGTAATTTAAAACCCAATCCAGAAGACACCTGAACTCATGCCTTTTGAATGAAGCTAACTTGCATTTACGTTGCATGGAGGGGAAAATCCCCTGATGGTTAGCCTGATGGCAAGGGGACTTTACCCCATGATCTGTCTACTATTGAAGACATTTTACATTAACACTGTGGTCGGTATCAACCGGGTACGGAATTCGAATCGACCAGCCATCACTTTGATTTCCACACCTGATTCGCAACCAACCGCAGTGCTGACGTAAAATGTCCTGTAAAGATGCAGAGTTAAAATTTGTAGTAACTTAGACATTGAATCGTTTCAATTTATTCTTGTTTTTAGGATTTTTAAATACCCTTATACTTGCATTTTTTATACTTTTTTTTCGTTTGGAAAATTAAGTACAACCATTTTTACTGTTAGGACATTAATTATTTTATAATATTTATATAATTAACTCAAAATCTATTAGTTTTGATATAAAATCATCTCAGCCAAACAGTTATTCAGGAAAGAATACAATTTTGTTTCTTTTAATGCCATATAATTCTTTTTTAAAATTATTTCTTATTTACTACTCATAACTAAATAATCTAATAAATTAGTTGGTGGTTGAAAAAAAAAAGTTTTGTTTAAACTTTTTTTTTCATTAAATGAATATAAAGGAAAGTTTATTGTTTAATAACATTTCACTATAACTTGAATGTCTTGTGCATTTGACACAGATTGGAAAGCCACGAAATTTCTCTATGATGTTTGTTTGAAACAGGGCTGATTGTGCTCCGGATTTTTCGCTAACTGTGATCTGCAAGTTTCCGGAAATCGAAGGTTCAGACGTTTAAAAAAATCATTGATCACAAAAGTTTCCGGAAAATCAATTTTTCAAAGGTGGAATTTAAAAACACAGTTTATTTTGTTTGTTTGTAAGGGAGAGCCAGATGCTTTATAAGCTTATATTCAAGATTAATATTCATTTTTTATCAGAAAATAGTTATTATAATCATAAACTCAAGAAAGAAAGATATATTTGTACATTTCAATTACTTCTCCAGGTCATCATAGGTATGTGTAAAATTTTAAATGTATTTTAAGTAAACTAAGAAATATTGAGAAAAAGGAAAAAAACCTTGTTCAAAATATTTTTTTTTTTTTGAACTCAAGAAAATTTTTGAAATTTTGACTTGGGCTCACAATCACCCCTGTTAAAAGTCAAAAAATTTTTGTGGCATTCTTTTCTTGTAAGGAAGTGAAAAATTGATGAAAATAAACAGATTTAAATTACAAATATAAATATAACTATAACATAACTATAAAAATTGTCTATAAGGTCTAGGCAACTATATTTGTTTCTAAATCTTTTACATAATTTAAAAAAAATTTCTTTCACTCGACTGAATGCTGTAAGCTAGTCTTTCATTCTCTAAATTATGCAAAACTTTAATTTTAGCACAGTTGTAATTATTCAAAAAACACTTTACCGCTTTGTAAATGGAATGATTCAAAATATCTTTTTTAAAAATCTACTTTTTCGCAATATTAAATGTAGCTACATTAGCCAAATAATTCTTGTTCATACAATAAATATTTCTTTAAACTGCATGGCATGATATTAGGTTGCATGTAGCATATTTTTATGACTTTTTTCCTAAGAGTTCTACTCTTTTTTTGCAGTGGAGTGAAGTATATAGTCTTGACATGTTTGATACTCGCTTCAAACAGGGAAATAATGTTTTAAACCCAACAGTTGGAATGGACTATAGGAGAAAAATTTTACAGCCAGGAGGAACAAAGGTAATATCACTTAAGTAATTTAAAGAAATGTAAACTGTGAAAAATGTTAATTTGTCAAAATAAGTATTAAAAATATTTCATTATTTATCTAAACAATTATTTCTATTTAGTAAAATTTTTTTTATTTTGTCCATCACTATTCCAACGAGTTTTTGTTCCAAAAATCATTGTAACTGGGAAAAAACAATTCATATGCTTGCATTTTTATTTATCAACTCTTAATGGTATTTGCATTAATATTCTCTGTTCCTTAATTATAGTGATAACATAACAAATAAAATTATATAGTATGAGGATTTTTTAATTTGAATTCTTATTATAGTTATAAAGAATAACTCCATTTTTCACTTCAAAATTCATAATTTTTAAAAAAAAATGAAAAACAGAAATATTGATTGTTCTCAAATGATAGAGAATAATAGTTTAAATAACTCATTGTTTTGCTATCATTTAGCCTGACAAATTAAAATACTGGAACCACTATCCAAGAAATTTTATTTTAACTCCATTTTTGGTGTAAATCATAAACTGTGTTTACACACAGAATTTTATTGTTGTTTTTGACACTACAACAATTGCATGTCGTCCCCCGCATTAGACTGTCTTCTTGAAAATTAATATAAAATATTTCCAATTGCATTAATGCCCTAATTTCCACATTTCCAGTTTATCATTATAGTGTAATTTCAGAGAAATTCACACGTTTTTCCTTAAATTTTGAATTGTAGCATTATCATTCTTAAAATAAGCAGCAAGGGGTTAAAAAGTAAATAATCCAAATTTTTGTTGTTAATAAATATAGTATAGATTTCTCTGTTTCAGATAATCGATATAATTTTTAATAGAGTAGAATAAATGCTATTACCCTTTATTTTTTACTGGAGGATAGGGAAATTTTTAAAAGATGTGGGCATTATTTTTTATTGTAGGAAAGGGACATTTTTAAAAGATATGGGCATAATTTTTTACTGAAAGAAAGGGAAATTTTTAGAAGATATGGGCATTATTTTTTACATCATCTTTGTTTCATCAAAAACCAACTACTTTCTCACCAAAAAAAAAGAAAAAAACTTCTTTAAAGCTGTTGTTCTTGAATTAGATAGTATTTAATGAATAGTCTGCAGCTATTCGGTTGCCAAATTATTTTTATTATTATTATTTTAACTATTAATTTTATTTATTGAAGCTCTTCCTTTGCAAAATGTACTTTTGGGGCAATTTTTAATTGTTCACGGTTCAAATATTGTATTTATTTGCAAATATATCTAAAAAAATCAGATTATTAAAGGCGTTATTCTTATATCGTATTAAAGGTGTTTGTATTTCCTCTGAATATTATTTAACTGATAAACTGTTGAATCTTAAGTTTTAACAATTATGTTTCCATAAGTCTGTCAAAAGAAGCAATGAAGTTTTATCCTCACATTTTGTCATTTAAATTGCATATATCAGTAATCAGATATGCTAATGTTTATCTTTTAATACCCATTTTTCTTTCATTCTAAATAATTTATATTATGAGAACTTAAATCTCAATATACATAACTTCCATTAAAAAGAAAAAAATATCAAGACCATGGAAGAATTTAAACACTTTTATCATGGTTTATAATATATCATAGTCAATCAAAAATGTTATATTTCCTTAGAACATTTTTGAAGACTTTTTTTCTTCTTCTTCATAAGCGCAACAGCCTTTCACAGGCCAGGGCTGACTCGCAGATTTTCCTCCATCTGGCCCTGTCTGGTGCGACGGCCCGCTTGAGGTCCTTTTCAACGTCGTCTATCCATCTTGTAGGTGGTCGTCCCCTACGCCTCGTCCCTTCAATTGTGGAAAAAGTCACTTTTTTGGCAAGGACGGCATCAGAATTTCTGAAGAGGTGGCCCAGCCACCTAATGCGTGATGCTTTAATAGTTCTCACAATGTCGGTCCCACCGAATTTGTCATATTTTTTGTAAATTTCGTGGTTGTAAAGAACTCTCCTTACGTTATTCTCTTGAAGAGATTCAAAGAGACTTTTTTTAGTTCTTAATTAACAATGAAGAATACCGAGTTTGATTGCTCTCAACACCTGTGTACAATAAGGTTTGTTAAAAAGTGAAAATATAAGGCAGGGCATGATCTGAAAATTTGCCCATTTGATTTAAAATAATCATTATTGAAACTAAAAACCATTAAAGCTGTTTTTGTTATATGTTTTAAATGTGATATTTTTTGGTTTTTCAAATGTTTGTGCTGTTCTTTTTTCATAAAATACACGTGAAAAATATTGCAGGATGCAACTGAAATGCTTCAAGACTTCTTGGGACGCAAACCTTCTAATGAAGCTTTCTTACGAAGTAAAGGATTAAAAGTTTAAATTTACTGTAATATTTAGTGCAAAAGTCAGTGGAAATTATTTTTGTTAACTGTTTCAAAAATGATGGCAAATAAATGCACTTATTTTTAATCAAAATAATAATAAAAAAATTATCCTCTGATGCATTCATTATTATTGAAATAACGCATTTGAAAAAAAGTTTTTGTATATTTCTATAAGCCATGCTTGTTACATGGGTTAAAAAATTTCTATAAGCCATGCTTGTTAAATGGGTTAAGAAATATCTGTAAGCCATGCTTGTTAAATGGGTTAAAAAAAATATCTCTGAAGAAGAACAAAGCCAAGTTTTAGATTTTTGCATTTTCATGGCATTGCTTTAGCGAAATTCAGCAACTGTTAGTGTTGGATTCATAAATTGAAATGACATTCCTAGTAGATATTTTTTTGGCAAATTAAGTAATTTTTTGCCTAACACTTTTATAAAAAGAATGAGATTGACTATATAAGTACATAAATAAATTTTGTTAGAGTATGAAATACAGGGCTGATTGTGCTCCGGAAAAAATCCGGATTTCCGGAATTTTCGCTAACAGTGATCCGGAAGTTGCCGGAGATCAAAGGCCCAGACATTTAAAAACATCATTGATCACAGAAGTTTCCAGAAATCAAATTTTCAAAGGTGGAACTTAAAAATACAGTTTATTTGTTTGTAAGGGAGAGCCAGAGAGATACTTTATAAGCTTATATTCATGATTAATATTCATTTTTTATCAGTAAATAGTTGTTATAATCATAAACTCAAGAAAGAAAGACATATTTGTAAATTTCAATTACTTCTCCAGGTCATCATAGGTATGTGTAAATGGTATAGGTATGTGTAAAATTTTAAATATATTTTAAGTTAACTAAGAAATATTGAGAAAAACCTTGTTTAAATTTTTTTCTAAATTTTCAATTTAAACTTTTTTCTTTTCTTTTTAAACTCAAGAAATTTTCCGGAATTTTGACTTGGGCTCCCAATCTCCCCTGGAAATTATGTCAAACTTGACATTTTTTGTAGTTATAATTGTTGTGTGACCAAACTTCAAATATGTTGCTACCTAGTTATTGTGAAGGATGTTATGTAAAGATTGCCTTTAATTTTGGTATTTTAAGAATTCATCAAAAATTTATACATATTAGGAACATTAAAACTATAAAAATCTGGCCAATCCACAGTTGAAGGCATGTACAAAAAGCAAAAAGTTAAGTTGTCTGATTGTTGGAGAAAACAGGGAGGACCTGAAAAATGATCATTATAAATGCCTTTAACAGTGGGTTGGTAGAGCACTGGGCCCATGTCCAAGAGGTTGTGGGTTCTATCCCTGCCGGTCGAAGACTCTCCGTGTAGTGAATGGTGGCTGATGCATTTCATGTTAACTCTGTTGAGTCACTAAGTCCTCCATGTTGCCATAACAAATCAATACCTCTGGGGTACTGATCCAGTAGTTTCCTTGTAATCTGGATCTGTTCAAATTTACAAGGCTACGGAGTTGAACATTAGTAGTTGTAAACCCAAAATTATGTCAGCTGTTCAACGACGGATATAAAATATAAAAATGCCTTTAACACCTTGGTTCTTGCTCCTGTCAAAATGATGGGCATGCCGTAAAGATTAAAATCTATTTTTTATGCCAGAATAATGTTTGTTTCTTTATCTATACACCTGATGGCTGTTTCAGACTATTTGTAATATGTCTAATAAACATTAACTTTTTGAAGCTTTATATCTAGTTTAAAATAAACTATCTCAATATTTAGTGTATCTATCCTGTATAGTATAGTATATTTAAACTATCTCTAAAGATAGTTTATTTTAAACTAGATGTCAGCACACGTCAAACATGCATATTTGCAATTAAAAAAGAAATACACATATTGTACTTAGTTTCATGTAATGAAAAAATGCGAATTAAAAAAGAAAAAGGCTCAAATTATATGACTGTTAAGGGGTTGAGTTTCAACCTGAAATTACACTGCGGTTGACGTTCTGTACACTAGGACTGGGCTTTATACCGATGTAAGACAATATATCGATTTAACTCCAACATCGTAATACCGATTTATCCATTTCATCTTCAACAAAATTCCGGAGTGAGCATTTCGACTCTACTAAATCCGATTTATTCATGACAGCAAACGCTAAATCGATGTTGCTCTCTCCGATGTAGTGAAACACCGGTTTAATCATTGCGAGAAAGTACCGATCTGCCGTAGCGTAAGGGAAAGATTCAAGGTCAACTATCAACTCATTCTCTTGGTAACACGTGCGCTCAACTTCTTTGGCTATTTGCCAAAATCACATCTGGTGCAGGGGTTGGTATAGTTAAATCGGAATGGGCNAGAAAAAAACAACAATACATTTGAATAGAGGAAGGGGTACTGTGGATTTATTTCTTAGTTTTGTCGTTTAGATTGTTAAATCGATATAACCTAATATCGCGATATAAAAGGGTTGATTATATCGATTTAAGAAATTTCTATATCGTCCAGCCCTACTGTACACCCACCTTTCTTTATTGTCAGATTTTGAGAGTGTTTTTTGTCCTTTCTTACCTTCTTCCCATTCCTTTTAAAAAACGCTTCAAAGAGATGTTAAGAGCGGTCTTCATGAGCACCCTGTATTGTTTTGGTAATGACGTATAAATAGATTTAAAAAATTCTCTTTAATATTGAGCTTGGCTATAATAAATACAAATTTACATCACATATAAAATTGCAAAGTAAAATATGATCTCTTATGAGAGCATTCCTCCTGTTTCTTTTGACCTACGCGTTGCAGATTCTACTGCAGAAATAAGTGCAGATCTGAATCCACTTTTCTCCAATTCGTGGACTGCTTGTATTGAAGTTCCTGCAGGTGAGCATACATCATCCTTAAGGGAACCTGGATGTTGTTGTGTGTCAAGGACCATTTTTGCAGATCCCTATAAAGGGGATTATGCAAGGTATCTTAAGAATAAGTCAAAAACTATTCATAAATATGAGATATTCGTGCATTAAATAAAGAGTTTTATGATACAGAAGCAATATTATATCACATTGATAGAATCATTTTCATAATTTTGTTTTCCCCTTAGAGTAAAATACAGGCGTTGACAGTTTACGGTTATTGCAACTGGGAATGAAAGTTGTGGTTATATATATAAAACATATACACTGCCCTAAATAATGGAAGAGAATGGAAGAATTTTTTAAAAATTTCTCAAGAGGGTTATTTTGTAACTTCAGAGTTGTTTAATTGAAGCGATTTTTTCATACTTTGCAATAAGTTATTATAATGCAATACATTATATTTTTTTATTATTTTATTTTGTTAATATATATTTATTATAATAACATAATTTTATTTTGTAGCAATGCAAATGACACTACCTTATAACCAGACAACTGAAAAAAAAAGATTGTGGAAAACTAATCATTTTGAGCTTTATTTTAAAAAGTGCAAAAACTACATAGAAAATTTATTGAAACTTTTTACATTTTTAAGATATTCATATAAGACTTTTTTTTAGCCTGTAGCATTACAAAAGAACTACTTTAAATACTCATATCTTGCACAGATTTAAGCAAACTTTTTTTCAAATTTTAAGACAAAATTTTTGTATTTAAAATTAATTTGCTCCAAATATTTCGTTTAATTTTCGTGATTATTTTTAAAGTTGGAGCAAAAAAACATAAGACAAAAAAAAAATAAAANAAAAAAAAAAAAAAAAAAAAAAAAAAAAAAAAAAAAAAAAAAAAAAAAAAAAAAAAAAAAAAAAAAAAAAGCTTTCTATAAAAATGCTCATATTTCTATAAATGTTTAAACTAGAATTACGAAACTTTATGCAGTTGTTTCAAACAACAATTAGAGTAATCAGTACAAGTTGCAAGTTTCTTGCTTGATTTTCTGGCAAAGGGTATTTAAAAAATATTAGTTTTCTTTTGTGATTTATTATCGGCTCCTAAATCCTCTGAAAGCTCTAAACCTTATTGCAAAGTATGAAAAATCGCTTCATCTAAACAACTTTAAATTTACAAAATATGCCTTTGAGTATTTATTGAGAAATTTAAAAAAATGTTAAAAAGTGAAAGTGTTCCGTCTTCCATTATTCTAGGGTAGTGTACATTTCTATAGAAAATATGAATGAAAATTTTCTTTAAATACTAAATTACAATATCATTAAAGATTAGATGCTAATGTAGAATAAATGGTTTTGAAATAAATAAATGAAAATATAGTAAATAATAAATTATATTTTAACATCTGCAGAAAGGTCCAATCTAGGAATGACTTTCAATGTTTAAAAATGAAAATATTTCATCATCCCCAGTCTGTAATTAACTTGAATGCATTATTGTGTTATTTTAGAAGGAAAAAAAAAAAACATTTGCTAGACACTATTAGTATTTAAATACTATTTGTCATCATCATCATAGTTGGCCAGACAGCCCAATGTGAGCCAATGCCTTCCTCTGAAGATTTCTCCATGACGACTTCCGATTTATCTTTGATCTCCAATTTTTTTTATTAATTGCGAGAAAATCAGACTCCACTGAGTCAGCCCACTGAAGCCTTCCCCGCTTTCTTTTTCCAGTGGGTCTAAAAAGCACTATCTTTTTTATTGTGTTGTCGTTACTCATTCGAATCATGTGGGTGATCCAATTCATTCTATTTATTTTTATGTAAATACTATTTGTAATTAGATATAATTCATCTTGCATCTATTTTAACCTTTATACAATATTGACTCACATCTTAAATGTAAAAATACTATGGTAAGAATATTTTCATTCAGTTAAGTCATTATTAAGATCTGAATCCTTCAGGTGTACTTGTAAAACATAGATATGTTTTGTAGTATTAAGCTATAGTTAACATAAAAAAAACTTACCAGTAATGTTTGAGCGGCTAATTTTACTGCCAGATCTCGTCTTATACCCATCTTAACACCTCCATCTGCTAAGGCTTCAATCGCCATATAAGCCTGAAGGGAAAAAAAAAACAGGCACATATTTAAATGATCGGAAAATATATATTTAAATATATGCATTACATATTGAAAATTGTGTGTTAAAAATAGTTTCCATCAATTTTAAAGAATTACTAAACATATATAAAAAGAAAACTAATTAATAAAAAACAGAGAACCTGTATATGGATTATTGGTAAATTAAATTTGACCTAAATAGTTATACTCAGTGTAGATGAAAATTTTGAAGCTCAATTTACATTTAAATATACTGTTGTCATATTTTTTTAAAAAAACATGATACACACATTTTCTTATGTCAATCTTCAAAGAAAGTTTAAAATCCTAAGGAGAAGAGACTTTGTCAGTTGTAGTGAGATATTATATACTCAATGTGTGCGCTCCGGTAGCGCTGTCGGTTAAGGAGTCTCTCACGCTGGTGAAGAGTCAGATGTCATGAGTTCGATCCTGGCAACCGACAAGACATACGGCGTGTATACTCAGCAAGGTGCCCGTTAAATATGCAGTGGCTGCAAATGATCTCATTAGTTGTGGTGTAGAAGTTTAGAGTAAGGGGTACAAGCTCAGACATTGCCCATGTCATATGGCCGGGGTCAAAAATTACGTGGCATTTCTACAATGGCCGTTAAAAGATAGTCCTACAATTTGGTCTAGATGCTTGGCCATGGTTGAAAGTGTAACGTAAAGTAGGCAGTCATAGACATTCAGCAGTTTTCATAATTTGTTCATACAATGTATAAGCTAGTCCACCCCAGAAATGCTTTTAAGAGGTCTATGTAGTAGTATGTTGTCTAGAGTAGGTAAGAAACACAGATGAAAAAGAAAACCTCATACGTTCACTTAGGACTTCCACCTCTTAATAGCAAATAGCATTCTTAAGCAGAACTTGATATAATCTTAAAAAATTTGTTAGTTCTAAATGTTGTTTCTTCAAATATGCTAACTATTGATTTAGTTATAAAACCTGACACAAAAATGTATTTTCTTTGAAAAAAAAAAAAAAAAAAAACAGATGATTTTTGACCAAACACTAAAAAATAGTGTTTCTATAGTTTAGAGAAGAGAGAGGTCGACATTTTGAGCCCCTTAATGTTAAATACACTTTTCTCCCCATCTCGGAAAATTTAAAGTGCATTAAAAACTTTTTACATTTAATTTATGAAGCTCATTAATTGAAAACTTTTTTTTTTCTTTTTCGAATGGCAGGCACTGAACTTTATTTGTTTCGCCTTAGAAGATGCCAGAGGTGTTACTCATTTCGCGTTACCCAGTGGGCACCTGTGAACCAAAGTCACGGAGGCGAGTAACATTGCCCACGCCACACTGCCACAAAACCGTTCATAGGGTGGGCCACATTCACTCATCACACACAAGAGAGAGAAACATCCATGCCCAGAGCGAGATTCGATCCCTCGACCATTGGCGTCGCAGTCAGGCGTGCTAACCGCTCGGCCACCTGGCTTGATTTAAAACTAATTCATTGCAAAAAAAAGTTTTTTTTAAAAACTATTTTATTAAGTTATATTAGTAATACTAGTTTTTACGCATTGTTGTTTATAATGCCCCTTGCCAATTAACCAGCAAGCCTGCTTGGTGAAATCAAGCGAATTTAAGACTAGGGTGCGTTTCTTGTTTTTTAGTGGCGCCATCTATGGCCAAGAATAAATTTTCAACCACGCACTCGTGACAGCCCGTATTAAAGGGTGGACCCGTATTCATACATCGATTCATTCATCCACAGTTCGTAATTTTGACCTGAACCTGTGAATGACCATTCTTCAATTCAGTACCCTCAGAAGTATTGATTTGTTATGGGAATTTGCAGGACTTTGTGAACTGACAGATTTAACATGCACCAGTCACCATTTATTTCACGGGGAGTCTTCTACCGGTAAGGATCGAACTCACAAACTCTTGGACATGGACACAACGGTCTAACAACCAGGCTGTCTCGGTCAAGTTTTAACATAGTTTCCAACTGCAATTTTAAAGAAGGAAATTGGCCTAGTCTATTACTTAAAATTTTTAAATTTAGCAACTCAAACTTTTCGATCAAATTCCTTCATGCTTCATATATAAAATCAAAACAAAAATTTCTTTATTAGATTAGCAGAGCTAAGTGATTTTTTTTAAAAAAAATGACATTTCAATTTTTTGCCCAGTTGTGTGTAGAAAATAAAGTATAGTTTTCGGTTAAATCTTTGAACAAAATGAAAAATAAGGGCAGATGTGTCAATGCTGTTGATACATCTGTTCTGAAAACTAGATAAAACAGTCAAGTCAACTGTAATTTTCTGGGGGGGGGATTGGTTATTTACGATCCAAACAGTAGATATAGAACTGCCAGTCTTAGAGGCAGAGCATTCTTTTTTCTCTTAAAATCGTTCGAAAAGGGCTTCTATGACTGAAAACATATATGTTTGATTGGCAGTAAATGGCTACATCCTTGACAATAATTTCCAGTATCGCGAACTCTAGGCACCGATATGTTTGAATCCATCACTGTGAAATTCAAGATAGAGTCTTTCAGCTCAAATGAGGACGTAAAATCTAAAAACTTTATCTTTCTGAATGAGTACGGCACGCCAATTTTTAGAAGCCCAATGAATATGCTAGGCAGTAGGAGGACCTTGACCAGGTCATTTAAAAGAACTGTATGTCCGATGTAACATCATTTCTGGACGAATATGTTTGCAAGAGCTTCCGTAATTCAAGTATTGCCTTGTAAAATCCTGTCATGATCATTCACTTGCCAGCTTTAGAAGATGTGAGTTAAAATTTAATAACATTGGTGTACTTTCTTTTAAAAAAAAGGTAGAAAAATATTCTTTACATATTGTATTTTAAAATAATTTAAACGAATTTCTTGAAATTTATGTAGAAGAGTATTTAAATAGACTTACATAAGCAGGACCACTTCCACTGAGACCAGTGACAGCATCCAATAAGTCTTCCTCTATTTGATCACAAATACCAACACTAGAGAATATTTTATGGGCAAGACCTGGATCTTCCTCCAGTATGTTCTTACCACACGAAAACACGGAACATCCTTCCCTCACTAAAGCTGGCGTGTTTGGCATGACTCTGATCACTCGGGATTTCGGTGGGAGAACCTAATTTGAGAAACATGTAGGATTATTCAGATTACGAACAAAAAATCTATTGTCTTACCACACTAAATCAAGAATTTTTTATAACTACTAATTTAAAAATATTTGTATAACAACTATTTTGTTAAAATTCGTTTAAAAAAAAATTCATAAAAAAAAAAAAAATACTAAATCACATGGACTACATGGATGGAATGATTTATATTCTTAACAAGTTTGAACGAAGGGGAAGTCCGCAAATAGAAAGCAACATATTTAATTGTAATGTAAATTTTAATAAATGGTAATTTATGTTACTTAAACGCGTGCATTTTATATTAAAATTGTATATATTGTAGAGCAGGATTTTCCAACTTACATGAGGCAGGGGGCCACAATTAAAAACACAAATCAAATGGCGGGCCGCAACTTTATCAAAATTTTATATAGGACTCTTTTATGTTTGAAGGAACATTAAATATTACTGTCAGATTCTTACCAAGTTGTACAAAACAAAAGTATTGAATTACAAATTAAAATAAGAAGTAGATTTTTAAAAATATTTAATTCCATATTAAAAAATTCGGGCTACTATAACTTCATTGTGCGCTCAACAATCAACAATGAATGTGCACCCATGTATTAAACAATTAATGTGCAACAGATATTTAATTGTTAAGATATAAAACTTTAAAAAGGTTGGTATTAAAATTTGCATAGTAGCACACAAAATTTTCAATGAGAAAATTGAGGTTTGTCTGCTACAACCACCAGAGAATAGATATTAACATTTAAAATTTACAAATGTGTGTGTAAATATTTTCGTCTAAAATGGGTGGTTTCAAGAAGTTAAATCGGAGAATTCCTTAGAGAAAATTTCTGATACACACATGCTAAATTATATTCACAAAATATTAAAAAAATGAAATGGAAAAGAGCAACATACACGATTATTTTTGTATTTGAATAAATATTTTCTTGGATGCAAAACCTGAGAAATATTTTTTTTTTTTTTGCACCGTTGGTATGATAAATTGCACAGAAACGAAGAAATTAGGTTTTTATTAACGAGAAAAGTATTTTAAACCCATACAGATTTTTTACGAAAATCGTCCGCAAAAAAATGACAACTAATATATTTTAGTTGGCGGGCCGGATGGAAACCACTGTTGTAGAGAGTTATATACTGAGTGCTAAATAAGAAACGGATCATCCTGATCTAATGATCAGGATGGTTTGCGTTCTATTACTCAATCTTAAAGGTTAAAGGGTGTGACCTCAAATATGCTAATTAATTAGTGCAGACAATATTTTAAGTTACGAAATCAGACACAGAAACGTACTTTGTCTGATAAAACACACCCATTTTTCGATGGATTCGCATTTCTGACCCCCAAAATCTGGCTATCTGGGAGATAGGGTCAAAGTAGTTTGGTTAAGAGAGTGGTCAAAGTTTGGCATTAAGTAATGTTGATTTTACTCTTTGAGTAATTCATCATATCTCGAGAACTTTTTAAGCGAATTGAAAAATGTGTGCCCATAATTATAAAATCCTTTTATCCAAAGGTAATTCCATGAAAAATATAACTTTTAGTTTATATTTATTATTTTTTTAATAATAGACGAAAAAACTTTTGAATTGTAAGGTATACAATTTTTACATCGCTTTGAAGAATGCAATTTTAAATGGCAAAACACAAAATTTATACGAAATCGGTTGATTAGTTTCTGAGAAATCGAATTTTGAAAAGGACGATATTTTTTTATAAAAAAATTCGATTTTTCAGGAACTATTCAGCTGATTTTGCTCAAACTTTGTATTTTTTCATGTAAAAATACACTCTTTAAAATGATGTAAACATTTTACACCTTACAATTTAAATTTTTTTCGACTATTATTAAATAAAATAATAAATTCTCACTAAAAATAATTTTTGCATGGAAATGTCTTTGAGTAAACTAAGTTCATAATTGTGTGCAAAATTCTTCAATTCGCTTAAAAGTATCTCGAGATATAGCGAAATACGCTAAAAGTAAAATTAAAATTTATAGATTCAATTTTTGACAGCTCTCCTGGACAAACTATTGGGATCATATGTCCCGGATTGTGGCTACCCCCTATTTTTTGGGTGTCAGAAATCCGAATCCGTTGGAAAAAGAGGTATGTTTATTCCGAAAAGGTATATTTTTGTGTCTGATTTCGTAACTTGAATTATCGTCTGCACTAATTAATCAGCATATTTGAAATCACCCCCTCGAATCATTAAGATCGAATCCTAGAGCGTGAAAATCCGATGATTAGACCAAAAGTTTTTCTGGGTGGTCCGTTTATATTTTGCTCACTGTACATGCACACATGCTGCAGTATAACTCAGGGATGTGATGTCTGGCTGTATTAAATTACTAGGATACCTACAAGCAACGTTGTCGTAAGTAAATCGTGGCCTTTGTCCATTCAAAAACCTATCAGGTTCGATGCACATGCGTGATGTCACTTATAGATATCCAACGAAATCTGATTTAAATCACATGATTAGGCACTTTTTCTCGAGTTGTGAGCATTCAATACAAGTCTAATTATTATCTTATAGGTAATACTAATTATAATAACTAAGCTTTTAAATTTAATTACCTTTTAATTCCAGATAGGTACTTAGTTTACGTTGCACAATGGGTTATTTTAATTTCTGACTGAGGTTGAAAATTGCAAATAATGTTATTAAGTTAAGGCATGAATTTGTATTTTTAATTATCAGAAATTTGCTTTTATTTTAGTTAATAATAATGTTGTATCGCTTCTTGATATTTCTTTTTAAACCTTGTTCTTCAATATATTAAAATTTGAATTGGATCGTGCGTAAATACAGAAGCTTACCTGCTCTATCTGTCGTGTTGTAATTCCCATAGCTACAGAGATGACTAAATGTTGAGGAGTTATGTACTGGGTGATCTCCTTCAAAACAGATGGTACAACTGGGGGTTTTATAGCGAGAATCAAAACTCTTGCATGTTCAGCTACATCACCGTTGTCTGCAGTTGTACGGCAGCCCAATTTCTATAAAATAATTGCAGTTTTTATGAAATAATAATATGCGGTTATAATAGTAATTTCTGTAAAATAATAGTATGCAGTTTTTATTGTCTTGTAATAAGCGAAATTAAAGAGCCAAGCCTTTTCTTCTTATATTTTACTACTTAATATTGTTCAACTGTTTACCCCTTAACGATCGGTTAATTTCCAAGAAAACGGTAATGAAAGTGCCTATTTTTTTTTTATCTCTGTATCCATGATTAGTGCTGACATCTAGTTTAAAATAAACAATCTACAATTACCTTAAAAATATCCTGGTATTGCCATCTGGTGTGTAAAATGAGAAATAAAATGTTTTGCGGGCAAAAAAAATTGCATTAGTTTTATTCTTAATGGTGTGGCTGGGTGGCGCAGTTGGTTTGTCGTCGGCCTTCTGAGCCTAAGTCTGCGGGTTCGATCCCCGGCCCAGACACCGGATTTTCGGGATGCAGAAAATCCTCAGCGGCCATGTCGTATGATTATGCGGCATGTAAAAGATCCCCAAAAATTTCAACGATGGACCATAATAATGAGTGAATTTGCAACAAACTTAATAAGGAGTCGATTTGAACCATGCTTTTGCTTGTACTTGACAATACTGTTGTGCAATCGAAGCTAAAAAGAACGAAAATAATGATCAAATCGCTTATCTAATCTAAATGAACCGAATTTTAATCTACACTCTTAGAAAAATCGGTTCTGCAATGAATAATAATATCGTGCAAATTTGCTACAGCCTTGGTAAGGTGTTAATTTGAACCATCCTTTCGTTCGAATTGAGCCGAAGTATTGTGTAATCAAAGTTGAAAAAGCACAATAACATCGTTCAAATTTGATGATTCGTTCAATTTGATTCAATGAACTGCGTTTAAATCTACTCCCTCAAAGAAATTGGTCAGGGGATGAACCATAATACCGTGCAAATTTGCTACAGGCATGATATGGTGCTGATTGGAAGCATGCTGTTTTATAGTTGGACCATAGTATCATGTAATTAGAGTTATGCTCAATAACATTGTTCAAATTACTCTTTTAAAAAAAATCGCATTTTAGTGAAGTCGTTTAGTTAAAATTTGGCTTTCTTCAGGAACTTTTCGATCTAATTCGTTCAAATTTTGTACTTTACCTTATAAAATTTGATCGGCCTTCTGAGGCCAAGTCTGCGGGTTCGATCCCCGGCCCAGACACCGGATTTTCAAGATGCAGAAAATCCTCAGCGGCCATGTCGTATGATTATGCGGCATGTAAAAGATCCCTGGAGTGCCTTATTGGCTCTTGGCATTTCCGGCAAAATTAAATTCCTAGTGCACTTTAGCATCCAAATAGAGTCTCGGTGCTGCCATCTAGTGTGGCAGAAACTAGACGTCCAAATTAACATGACCAACGGTATCTCACCCATTGTGCTGGTCCTGAAAGAGTGGATACCGCCTCTGGAGAACGCACTAGGTCTGCTCATCGGCAAGACCGATTGTGCAGCTCATTGGAAATAATATTCTTAATGGCGCGTTACTACAGAACACTCCAACCCAGAAATAGAGGGCGAAACCTCACCCCGTCATTTTCACGGGAGTGAGAAGGAAGGGGTTAATATCCATTTCGGTGACTCAAGTAAATTCAGCTATTTTGTTTATCTTTTTATTTATTTTTAAAAAATAATCGTGACATAAGAAAATAATAGAAAGTATTTAAACAGTTGAATTTACTTACGCCCAGTGATTTCACATTGGAAACTTTTTTATGAAATGAAAAAGTAACCCTTTCAATTAAAATATAATATAATAATAATCTACTAAAATAACAGGCAATGTTTAGGAAAAATAGGCGTTACTATATTTATTCCGTTTTGAACTTCGAACCAGAATTAAAGATGTCAGTGTCCTTGATTATTCCATAAAACAACTTACAACACACGAAATGATTTATTTTACAATTACATTAGGGGTGCACAACCTTTTTGAGTGAAGGGCCACTTGCACAGCAGGTTGGATAACGAAGGGCCGAACATGTATTGAGACATGTTAATGACAAATATAGTAATGTTTATTTAAATATTAGCGTTCTATTTTTTTTATCAATAAACTTAGTAATTTGTAAAAAATTAAAGGTGTTCCATTTTTAGAATTCATTCAAAAGTAAAAAAACTTATAATTTTTTTTTTACAAAAAAAAATTGCTATTCTTATTATATGAACAATAGATTTATCAAAATAAATAAACATTGAAGAAAAGTTTTTTTTTTTATCATTTCATGCAATACGAAAATTCATTTTAGAATTACGAGACGCATCCAGAAAGTAAGTTTCTCAATTTTTTTAAAAAAAAAGAACTCATACTTTCAGGAACATATTTATTGGCAACAAGTACAGCAATATTTCAGCTATTTTTCAACATAGCCACCACCAGAATTGAGACACTTGTCGTATCGTGGGATCAACTTTTGTATCCCTCTGTCGTAGAACTCTGCCGCCTGTAAAGGAACCAGCACAGACGTCTTCAGATCTTCGTCGTTGCCAAAAAGCTCACTGGAGGACAGGAATTTCTTGAGGTGCAAGAAAACATGAAAATTGCTGGGAGCAAGATCAGGGCTGTACGGTGGATGATCAAACAACTCCGAGCCAAATTTCGTCAAAACAGCTGCTGTGCGTCGAGCTGTATGTGAAAGAGCATTGTCATGGAGGAGCACAACACATGCAGTAAGCATTCCACGCCTCTTGTTTTGAATGGCACGTTGCAATTTCCGCAGTGTTTCACAGTAACGGTCAGCGTTTACTGTTTCTCAACGTGGTTCCATTCACAGGCGGCAGAGTTTTACGACAGATGTATACAAAAGTTGAACCCATGATACGACAAGTGACTCAATTCTATGTTGCTATTTTGAAAAATAGCTGAAACATTGCTGTACTTGTTGCCAAAAAATATGTTCCTGAAAGTATGAGTTCCTTTTTTAAAAAAGATAGGGAAACTTACTTTCTGGATACGTCTCGTAAATTCTAATAAATAAAAAAAACTGCTATGCCCACAGAATGAAAGTAGGAAAAAATTTATCATAATTAAGTCATATAAATTCAAATTAAATATTTTAATTGTAGAAAATTTATAGGTTTTGAACAAAAGCCTAAAATAAAAGCAAAACTGTGATAGTATAGGAAAATAAAATTCAATGCTTATTTTGTAATGTTCTTTATTATTTCATTTTATTAATTATTAGATTTTTTAATATCGTAAAAAATTTTCTTTTTTTATCGAAAAAGATCACTTAAGCAACAAAAAATTGAAATCTAAACTGCAAACAGTGAGCAGCTTAAAAATTCACGTTTTCCGCCATTTTATGAATTTCTCAAGTTGCAAAAACATTGCATTTAAATTAGAGATGTAACGAGTATTTGGCCCTTCTGTGAAAAATTCAGTTGGTTGAATGATCAGTCAAATATTCGGCAGAATATTCTTTAGAAATGTATTTTTCTAAGTTTTTTTTTTATTTTTGAATTTTTACATACTTTTTTTTTAAAATTATAATCATACAAGTCAATTTTGTCATTTTTTCGATACTTTGAGAATTGAGAAGGACTTTTTTCCATTTTTTGCTGTTTTCATTATAACCCAACAGAACGTCTCATACTATTAATTTATTATCACTCTTTCCCTGTACTGTAATATAAATAACCAGTAACATAGAAAAGTGTGATTTTCAGTATTAAAGTTTTGTTTCTGGAACTAAGAAAAATCTGTTTTTATTTTTTTTCGGCATTTTTATTATGACTCAGCATTTTTTTTAAAAATAAAGTTACTAACAAAATTAATTTTATAGCAATTTTTTTTCTTCTAAAATTATGGCAATAAGAAAAATTTAAATTACGATTTTCAGCATAAGATTTCCATTTAAAAAATTAAGAACGTTTTTTCTAACTTTATTTTCTTTAAATAAAAAAAACTTTTTTTTAGACATTTTTATTATAACGCAGTAATTTTTAATAGCATTTCTGTTGACTTAATTCTTTTTTCTTGGCTTTTTCTGGTAATTGAAAAACTGAGATGTTCAGCTTTAAAATTTTCTTTCAAAAATTAAGATTGATTTTTATGTTCTCTGTTTCGCTTTTCGACATTTTCAAAAACGTTCTTGATTGGCCTTATTTTTTAGAGTTAATTAACGTTTTTCCAGGAAATATTATTCTGAGCATTGAAATTTTAGTTTCAGTGTTGCTATACTGCTAAAAGATTTTGCTATTTGGCCCCAAGTGAACGGCGTTCAATAGATTTTTTCTTCTTTTTTTTGCCGAATATTTGGTTTTTGATCAAATCACAATTCATTACCACATTCGACCAAATCATATTCGTTGCGGAAATAAAAACGAAGGAAAAATAACTAGGATTTACGATAAAACTGTACCGAAATACCGTATCAAAAAGTGATTATTTAATTGCGCGATTAACAATCACGTGTCGTAATAACATCATAGTTAAATAACGGGATCGTCAAAATCATGTGGAAAAGTATAGAAATAATTGGGAAAAAATATATTTATGCTGAACTCAGCACGAATAAAGCGTGTCAAATGCATGATTTAAAATTTGCATGTCGTAATAGAATAATTGGAATTTTTTATAATACGTGGGAACGCATAGCAATAACTGCCGAAAAAAATTTTTGAAAAAAAAGAAAGAATTGCAAAAAAAAGATAAAAAATCACTTAGATTTAAGATGAAATCGTCACAAATAAAGTGCACAAAAAGTGATTATTTAAATTTGCGATCTGAAACTCGCGTCGTAATAAAAATTCGGGATTTTCGAAATCACGTAGAAAAGCGGAAATAACTTTTTTAAAAAAAATCATTTATATTTACGATAAAATCGGGTTAAAGAAAGCGCGTTAAACGTACATTTACTAAAGAATCTGTTAAAATTGATTGTGTCAAAACATGATGACTTAAAAGTGCGATTAAAAATTGCCATTTTTTAACAAATTTTTATTGTGTTTAGAAGCTCTCGCGGGCCGCACTTCAGTAATCGAAGGGCCGCATTTGGCCCGCGGGCCGCAGGTTGAGCACCCCTAAATTATATTATTATCTTATTTACTTACTTTCAATTACATTATTATCTTATTAAAGATATAAAATGGCGTAAATATTTCCTACTCATATTAATGCTCAAAAATAAATAAATTTATATAAGCTCAAAGCCATTTTGTTTCTTCTCCACAAAAAAGAATGAACAAGCTCAAAAGAAAAAAAGCAAAGTAAACCGTTACTATAGCAACTTAATTTTATGAACTAGATCAAAGTTAAAAACTAAGCAGACGATAATTCTCACCAATATTTGTGGGGAAAATAAATTATTTTCTCTATAAAAGTTTACTTTGAGTACCGATTAAAGTAGTATTTATCTTTTACTTACTTTGGATGAGTAGGAAAAAGATATGTACATTGTACAGAAGGGTGTATATAAAATCAACGTTGGGATACCTGCAAGTGACGTGGTGTGGGTATCTCGATCCTGATTGGTTGTTGAAACGTGACATTCGTTTACGTTTTCACTGTTCTTTCCATTCTATTTCGTGTAAGCCCAGCTCATCAAGTATCAATCCTCATAAGTGACACATTCTTTTTTCTTTCACTAAGATTCGAGTTATTTTACTATATATTTTTTACTTATCACAAAGACTGGCACGAAGCCGTGTAGAACATAGAAAACTAATTATGCATTAAAGCTGCCAGGTACTCAAAACTAAAAATCGCGGTTTCCATAAAATACATAAAGAAATGATAAATCTAAATTATGTAAAAGACGTAGAAGAGAAATAATTATACTTTAACAAATTCGATTTGCGGTACGGCGTTGTATTTAATTAACTTAGTGACATCCTAACTTATGTGGAGCTACTTATGTGGAGCTACTTAGTCCGCCATTAACACACCGTTTTTGTTTATAAACGATCAGCCGGTGCTGAGATCATAGATCACGTTTCTGAGTATCAGCAATCGTCATCTCAAGTTGCAAGTACCCAATTGAAATGGAAAATTGCCACACTATTATTGACGACAATGATGCTTAATTAATGTTGATAATATGTATTAATTAAAAATTTTAAAAAATTCATTACAAGTTAATGGTGTAAAGATACTTATTCATTTTGGGGATATTATTAGCCATATTATTATTGATACAAAAGTTTAATTAATATTGATAATATGTTTCGATTAAAATAAAATTTAAAAAAATACGCTACGTGAGGAAAAACAAAGTTAATGAAGAAAAGATTAATGGGAAATTCGTTTAGGGGAATCGTAAAATTTCTCAGATAACGCTTATCTGCGTAAATTTTAGTAATATGTACTAGTGGTATTACGGTAGTTTCTGCAGTTTTAAAAAGAAATCTAACTGGTTTTCCGTAGTTTCAGAAAATATTTTTCCTGATAGCAAAGATAGTTTATTAATATTTTAATGAATTAGAATTAAAAGAACATTTTACCACTACTAATTACAAATATTTTAAACAATAAATGAAAGGTCAGATAGAGAAATGTTTATGCTCCTTTAAAAGTCCTTATCAAGATCTTATAAGAATTCTATTTGTTTTCAAAATGTTGTCTTTAGTTTGCTGCCACTGATATAAGTATTTCGCCCAAAACTCAAATGTTGAAGGGTTATGCAGTAATTACCAAGTATACCTATATAGGTATATTATATTGATATATTTGGCGATTATTAAAACTGCATCAATACTAAGTTTTAATACCGATACTGTGGAAATACGAGTCTTACTGTTCCTTGAAAGGGATATCTACCGGAGAAAGTTACTTGATATTAGTAAATTTTGACTATTCGTTGGCCGCGAGCCATATCATCCCGCCAAGTGATGCTAAATACAGATAATCTCTATCTCGATGGGATGAACTACAAAAAACGTGTTTTGCTCAATCTAATAACGTAAAGTCACCGAAAAAGTTAAATTTTTTTTTTGTTCCAAGACAAAATTTTTTGAAAATTTTGTTTTGGACATTTAATGGTTTAACTTAAAAATGCCTAAAACAAAAACTTAGTTTTATGTCAATAAAATATCCTTGTATTAAACTTATGTTTAAAAGGGATTTCGTGTTATCCCTTTGAAGACTGAAAAAAAAATTTTTTTTAAAGAAAAAGAAAAACGTCTTATTGCTACAGTAAGGAAAATTAGATTGCTGTTATTAAGCGTTAATATTTAAATTACCAAGTCTAATCGAAAATATGTGAAGAACTTAACTTACTCTCATCTGCTCCAGTAATTGAACATCAACTCTAGGACAACTGCAAAGGATCTTCTCTGGTTGTGCAAGCTCTATATAGATTTTTTTAAAAAAGAAAAAAGTATTAGGCAAGCATATTGACTACAACTAAAAGTACGCAAGATTTTTTTTAATGGAAATAAAAAATTTGAAACCGCAAAACGTGTGGTTTAATAATATTCATATAATATTCATCATGTTTCTTATGAAATTTACTGTGCCTGTTGCTTACACCAGTCAAACTAATCTCCCAGACTGCTAAATAGTTACAGTTATTAAAAGGATTAACTAGTAATAAAATAATAAGAAAAAAGTAAACCATGAAGCTTCAAATACTGATATTTTCAAAATATCAAAATGAAAACAAGTTATAACAGGATAACTTAGTATTACGCAATGGGGAATTTCTCTTCTATTAATTTGTTTGCCATTTGATATTTTAAATTTCTTCTTTTTTTTCAGAAATTGAAACTTCATGACTTAATCTAGGTCTGCCAGAACGCAATTTTTTTTATATTTTTAATTATAAATTAGTTATATGGGGGTGAAACAGAATTTGCGAGGAAAAATTTCTTCCACGATATAGCGTCCACTTAAGACTAATTACTGAAACTCCCCCCCCCCCCCCNCCCCCCACAATTTTTTTTTAAATGTTTGTTATTCCTAGTGTCATTCTGTTAACATTTTGGTTTTAAAAAAAAGTGAATAATTTTTCGAATTTTAAAAGGATACGCATTTTTAAAGGATGGCCCAAACAAAAACTGGACACTTTTTCCGAAATATATTGTGATTACCGCGTCACCATATTGTGAATTAATGAGGAAGGTAGGAGGAGTGCATCGTAGATTCCGTATAACTGTTTAACTATTCTTTTTATATTGAAATTAATGCAAAGGAGTGCTAATAGCAAGAACGACCATTTTTTCTTCTTTTAGTGGCATAGGGTACTTCTTTTGGTGGCATGAGTTCTTTTAGTCAGGCAGAGTGCTGAACAGGTGTCTAACCCCAGAGCTAACTATGAACAGCCTCCATTTTCACTATGAATGTGCGTTTCCAAAGAATATCCAATTACTAGCATTAAAAATCGTAAGACTGCACTTTGTCCAGTTCTGGGCGCATCCATCCTGAATACAACTTTACATTACTTTTAAATGCTCTCAAGTGGGCTGCTTAAACACTTGTATGCAGTTGTGTTGCTTTCCTTCAACCTTCTTTTATGACCATAAATTGCACAAACGGCTTCTCTAACGCTATAGCGCGTGTCCACTTTTTAAAAAGTGGAGTGAAATAATACATTTTTAAAAATTGAGTAGGTCCATTTGAAAAGTGGTATGAATCAGAGGCTTTTAAAGGTTATTGTTTGAATGAATTTAAATATATTGACAAAGATTAATCAATTTGGGAGAAGTTCTTAACACTATAATTTTAAGAAACATCAAAAATCAACAATGATTATGAAAATCGTAAGTAAGATACTTTTTAAACTCCAAATGGACTTTTATTTTCACAAATAACGGTTCATATATCATATGCTATTGCAAGTATCGACTTGCAGATCAGAAAAATAATAGTAAAAAATGAAAAAAAAAATGCCGTTTAGAGACCCCTTAAAGCTCTGAGCATGTGTTTCGTAATGCATTCCCCAACCCCTAAGTTATACACATTAAAAGGACATTAAAACTTTAAAATCTTGTACTGAAATTAATGCTAGTTGTATTTGATTTAATAGTTTTCTATTTTTAAAAAAACTGTTAATACCGTATTTTATGACCACTGTAGATAATTTTAGATCTTAGCTGGTATCAACAACTTCAATTTAGTAAAAAGCTTTGTTTGTATCCAAGGATCTTTCAAATTAAATTACAAGACTATGTTTATTTAGCTGTTTTCTCTTCTAAAAATAATTGAATCTCAGTGAAAACAGCTGAAATCACGCATAACCGACAAACATCCAAAACAGTGTATGAAAAATAAAAATAAAAAATCGTTAATATTTTTCAACACAACTAAAAAAACATTCTGAAGTAACTCAGCTGATTCGCTCTTAAAAGTTAGTGCCTAGTGAATTATTTTTTGAAAGTAGCAATTGCATCAAATATTAATAGTATTGTTCGTAATTTTGATAAGTTTAGTCTTCATTCAAACCGCTATCTGATACAATATATACAGGTATCTCACTACTTAGCTTCACAAGCAAAATACAAAAGATTTGTTTATGGGATATTTAAGGCTCATCATATCCAGTTGCTTTTTGAAAAAACTCTGAATAATAAATGTTTTTTTTTTAAATGGTTGTTGCTTCTTCTCTCTTTGGAAAAAACACAGCATCTTTTTACCACAGCTTTTCTGTTTTACCTGTATCGTCCATTTAAAATTTTAGGTACAGAAAAAAAAGGGAACTCAGGTAAACCAAGTTCAAACATTGAAAATTCCTTTTCAAAATATCAAAACACAAACATATTATTGCAGAATTATACAAAGGAGAAGAATATTATCTTCTGCGTAAACATTAACTATTACATATTAAACACTATAACTGTAACATATTAACTATAACATATTAAACATATAATATATTAAACACTGCACAAACATACACTCTATAACAAAAAAATCGACGCACCAAGAAGGAGTTGTCCGATTGAAACGAAAATTGGTGGATAGGAAATCAATGTACAGAATAGCAAATGATTAAAAGTTCAGAACAATTGAATAATTTATTGCAGAGTTGCAGTAACAAGCTCAATAACGTGTTGACCCACCTCTAGCCTGGATACAAGCTGCCACACGGCGTGGCATAGACCGATAAAGCTCCCGGATGGTCTCTTGCGGTATTTCCTGCCAAATTCGATCCAATTGTCGAACGAGGTCATCAACATTCCGTGCCAGATGCAATCGCCTTCCCATCATATCCCAGACATGCTCGATGGGAGAGAGATCTGGTGATCTGGCAGGCCAAGGAAGAGTTTGACAAGCTTGCAGACAGTTCATAGCAACACGTGCCGTATGTGGTCTGGCATTGCCTTGCTGAAAAACCAGCCAAGGGCGCTGCAAAAGGAACGGTAGCAAAACAGGTCTTAGGATGTCGTCGACGTACATCTGTGCAGTAAGTGTACCTCTAATGACGACCAAAGGGGTCCAACTGTCAAAGGAAATGGCACCCCAAACCATAATGCCCTGTTGAGGGCCGGTGTGGCGTGCAATAGTGAAGGCATGATCCCCCCTCTGCCCTGTGCGTCTCCAAACACGTCTTCGATGATCGTCAGGACACAGTTGGAGGAGGGATTCGTCTCTAAAGACTATACGTCCCCAGTCTGCATCATTCCAGCCTGATCGAGCGTCGATTTTGCGCGTCTTAGTGCGTTCTTGGAGCGTCGATTTTTTTGTTATAGAGTGTATTATCTTCATAATTTGCAAACAAAGTATGGCAGGATTCCATCTTTACTGCATTATGCTGCCAATAATTAGTTTGCATTATATTGAATTTTCAATTTTGAAGGAATTTTCAATACTTGTAACTTCATGGTTTACTTGAATTCACTTTTTTTCTGTACTTTAAACTTTAAATTACCTATGGTCCCAGTAACATAAGCCCTTCTGCTCGGCAACGGGTGCTAAAGTAAATAATAAAAAAAAAGACTACAGATTCCCTATAGGGTGTCTTTGGATTCATAATATCCAAGTTCTTTTTTTATTAAATACTACAAAAGCTCGGCCCACAAGTTGTTATAAATCACATTTGCGCAACGTTGATCTAATTAGCAATAGAAAATTGTGGATCGGATGGAGACGAATGCAAAAGAGCTCTAATAAATTTAAAGACGGTCTAATATCTTTATTCTTTGATATAATTTATTGCCATGCTTAGAGGATAAAAAGGTGTTTGGACAGTCACGTTTATGACAATTGCTTTCAGATGATAAAATTTATCAAATTCCTTTTGATAAAAATTAAGCAAGATATATTTTTATCTATCGCTTTTTACAGATGGAATCTCGCATGAAAATTTAATTTGATTTATGAGATTATAAAATATCATAAACATATAGTGAGCAATTTTTTCTTATTACTAGCTGAATACCCGTTCCCCGAATAAAATAAAAAAAGCAAGTAATCAATAGATCAGCACTGAACAACCCTACAAAATCATGCACAAAAATGAAAAGAATAATACCGCCATAATTAATAAAGCTGAAATAATTCTAATTATTTTATTTGTTGTCCTTCCTGTGGCTCTACGCTATTACACTCTATTTCATAACAGTCACTAGCCGACCCAATTTATGAGTTCACGACCTCCCACAGTTAGCCTGACGACAAGGGAACTCTAACCCATGATCCGTCTACCACTGAGGATATTTTACGTCAGCACTGCGGTTGGTGCAAACGGAATGCGGAAATCGTATTGACCAGTATTCGCTCGGATTCGAACCCGGATCACCTCATTGGAAAGCGAACGCTCTATCCCCTGAGCCATCACGGTTTTAAGCTATTAGACTTTATTTTATTTTATAACCGTCGTTGAGCAGCCGACCTAATTTTGGGTTTATGACTACTAACGTTCAACTCCGTAGCCTTATAATTTTGAATCAATCTAGAAGACATGGAAACGCCTGGATCAGTACCTCCAGAGGTATGATTTATAATGAGAACATGGAGGACTTTGTGACTCGACATACTTAACGTGCACCAGTCACTATTTACAACGCGGGGAGTCTTCGGCTGGGATCGAACCCACGACCTCTTGGTCATATTTTTTTGTAGTTCGTCCTATCAAAACAAGGATTAATTGCATTCAATATCAATTGGCATGATTTTTTGCTCGAGGCCAACTCATAATAGTCAAAAGTTGCCGCTATCAAGTAATTTTCTCCGGTACTTATTCATTTCGATGGGCCGTAAGATACCTATTTTCACAGATTCTGTGTTAAAACTGTTCAGTATTGATGGAGTTTTAATAAAAAAATATATCAATATAATATTTGGTACCTATCGGGCTCGGTCAGTACTCTCTAACTTTCGAGTTTTCTGTGAAATGCATTTATCAGCAGTA